GCAACGCGATGCATCCTCAGCAGAATGGATTTTGAAAAGGCAGGAATACAACAGCTGGCTGTCTAGTCCGGGTTCAGCATTGCTATGCCTTAACGGAACACGTAAGTGCCTTGACTCTCTTGATGCCTATGCTAAGCATTATCTTAGAGGGCTCAGGAAAGTCAGTTATCGTGTAAGTCTTTCCCAACGATGCTGTTTATTATGATGTAGTGTTGATAGGTCTGTAGATCCAAGGTCATCGAATCGCTTCAAGAGTCTACGCTTGAGCCAGGAAGTGATGCCGTCATTTACCACTACTGTCGCTTCACCAACCCATCCAGCCTCTCGCCTACGAATCTAGTCGGGTCGCTCATAGGTCAGCTTCTCAAACAATCCTCTAACCCAAGCGCCCTCTTAGAAGTTGTGAACAAAGTCTACGAGAAATATCGCAAGCGATCAGCCCACCCAAGTCTGCAGGATCTGCAAGTTCTATTCTCTGATCTCTCTAATTACTTCGAGAGAGTCATCCTTGTTATCGACGGCTTAGACGAAATGGGTGGATACTGGGAGATCTTGGACTTTTTAGAGATTCTACCAGAAGCAGATACCGAGTTCAAGGTTTTGATAGCGAGTCGAGCTGGAATGGGCCTCGACGATGCTTTCTCATCCTCCTTCAAGATCACAATCACGTCAACAGACGTTGCATCCGACATTGAGAGCTTGGTCCGCAAGAAGCTCAATAAGCGCCGATTCCGCGGATCTGATGTTGAGGCTGTCATCAAAGAGCTGATCGTTCGCGCTGATGGAATGTAAGTAACCACCAAATCTCATATCCAACCGCTGACGATCCGCTTCAACAGGTTTATCTGGGTCATATGTCAAATCGATCATCTTTCCCGTGTCCGAACAGCTCTCAGTCCAAAGCTTGTGCAGGCTCTACCTCGGAACCTCGAGAAGACCTTTGAACAGGCCTTTCAAACACTCGAAGACGAAGAAGAGAAGAAACTTGCGAAGCGCATCTTACAGTTTGTCATGTTTGCTAACAAATCACTCGATCTGTCAGAATTGGTCGAAGGAATCGCCATTACATCGGATACAAAGACACTCGACGATGTGCAAGCCAACTCGTTTCGTGAGAAGAGTTACGTCTTCGAGCTCTGCGGCAGCCTGGTTCGAGAATCTCAGGCCACATCCAAGATTGATCTGGCACACTACTCGGTGTATCAGTTTCTGCAGTCTACCAAGATCGAGGGCAACAGAGAGAACGAACTCTATCTCGACAAGTCCAATGGCAACCTCGAGCTTCTCACGGCTTGTATTCGATATCTAACCATCGAGAACGTCTCGGCTGGTGGAATTGCCGAAGAGGTAGAAGCTGCACTAGAGGATGACGATCTGTACATCAGCCCGGAAGTGTTTGCAAACACGCCATTTCTCCAGCATGCCGTTAGTAACTGGCCAGCTTATGCTTCGAAACTTTCAGAGGCTGAGCTAAAAGATATCTGGACGTCTGTTCTACTCCCCTTCTTCGAGCCTGGTTCGAACTACTTTAAGTTCTGGGTACGCAAGGCACGCTATCTTCATGGATACTATAAGTATCCTCCAGGAATCACACCACTTCACGTTGCAGCTGTTCATGGACTGTCTGATCTGGCAAGAATACTTCTAGAAGATACCCATCTCAGCAAAGCTGCCTGGCAGATATCGAAAGCCAAAGTGGGAAGCAGGACGCCGCTGCATATGGCTATCGAGAACGGTCAAAACTCGGTGATCGATGTGCTTCTGGAACTTGATATTCTCGACTCAACAGATGAAAGAGATAGAACCCCTCTGCATCTGGCGATTGAGTGCGCGAACGAGGAAGCCATTACTAGACTCATCTCAGCTGGTGCAAATGTGAATCGCTGCGAAGCTGATGGACGGACACCACTCTTCATCGCCATTGAGAACAACTGGGACGGTCTGGCAGCACAACTCGCAGGGATGGCAAACCCATATAGAACCATGCCAGATGGGCGCGGGTCACTCCACCTTGCAGCACAAACTGGAAGCATGACGTGGTTGAAATGTCTAATGCCTGCATGTCCCCCGAGAGCCATAAACAAACCTGATATTCGTGGTTGGACTCCTCTACTCTATGCTGTTGATAGGGGCCATTTGGATGTCGTCAAACTTCTGTTGTCAAATCCAAACTGTACAGAGGTCGGTGACCAAAACGGATGGACGCCTCTGCATGCTGCTATCAAGCAGCAGAATCTAGACTGCGCTACAGAGCTTCTGATCTCTAATGTTCCGAAATTGCCTTTCTCGGAATACAGGGAAGAGCCTGAAGGAAGGGGGGGTGAACCTGACCCTGAGATGACGGGGAAATATGGGGAGGGATACAGGCCCAGGCAGTCCGATGCGGCAACTAGAGGAAGCCCAAGTGACAGATGGAGCGCTTGGGAACAGCAATCATCATCTGGCCCCCACCAAGCAGCGACAGTCTCGTCTCCATTGCTTCTCGCTGTCTCGAGCAACTTCAAGGCTGGGGTGGAATTGCTCCTTCGTCACGCCGAAACATACGGTCGAAAAGAAATAGGCTTGTTAGAGGAAGATGGCGAGTGCCTCAAAACATCGATGATGTTGACTGAAGCCACGATTTTCAAGAAGCTCATTCCGGTCTCAACGGAAAAGAGCATACTGGCAGTCCTGCCCGATTGTCTTGAGAAGGGCGGAGTGTTTATGGATGTCTTGAAGCAAAGGTTGGACAGTGCCTTCGTACACCAGCAGCTTCTACCAGAGGCTTTGTCTGACGATAAGTTGACTCTTGAGGTGCCGCATATGATACTCGATACCTGGCCTGTCCAAGCCAGTTCACTTCCAGACAACATACTTCAGCTCGCTGTGCAGATTGAAAATTACCAGGACCTACATTTGTTAAAGCGTCTGATAGATAGAGGGGCGAACACCTCTTACGTCAACAAGAACGGGGAGACACTTTTGCATACGGCAATCAATCACCTCAACTGGCCCCCTACTACTTTCATGATTATCAACCTGCCATTTAGCAAGGAGACACTATCTAGTGCCCTCCACGGTCTCATCGATATTGCTCCCACACAAGGAAAAGATATCAGTCCTGATATCCTCGCAATCCTGAATCTGCTCCTCGAAAACGGCGCCGATGTTAATAGCCAAGATAGATCTAACCGCGGTATTTGCCATATAGCAGCTGGCAGGGATGACACGGCGTTCTTGAAATGGGCGTTGCAGAATAAGGCGACACTCACTGCTCCAACCTCAAGATACGACACTCCAATCACTGTGGCTGTGAGGTACCGAAAATACGAGAACTTACAATGTCTTCTCGACAACATCCTTCAGACTGCGCCAGAGACATTGGTTGAGTTTCTGGCCACGCCGAGTACAAGCTTTGAGACACCCCTCATACAGGCTATTGAGCTCTCAGACATTACGAGCTTGATCAAGCTTGTGGAAGCTGACAAGGCTGCCGAGTCGCTGGTTAGGAAGGACGTCGATGAGCATCAAAGTAGGCGGCTGACAGCTTTTACTGATGCACTGTGTACTGCTATTCGAAAGCAATCGGACGAGGCTGCGGTGCTATTGATCAAACACATGAGTAACATCTCATCGACAGGTTCATCAGGGGCGACACCCCTTCATGTGGCTGTGCAGCAGGAAGATGAAAAGATCGTAAAGGTGCTTCTCGAACACGGGGCACAGTTGAACGTACCGCATCGCGACACGGGAGAAACGCCATTCGCAGTTGCAACAGTTCTTAACCTGACGAGAATAAGGGCTATTTTAAGCGAGCGCCAGGTGGAATTTCAGCCTCAAGATATCATCGCAGCAGCCAAAGCAGGAGATGAAGGCCTGGTTGCAAAAGTCTTGGCTGCATATCCCGATGACTTGTACAATCAGAGACAGGCATTATTCACAGCTCGAAAACTCCGGCAGAAGAAGATTGAGAAGACCCTCTACGAAGTTTTGCCAGCACAGGCTGCATCTTCTCTGGTAGACGATATAACCAGGAATGCGTACGGCGATACAGTTTTGCACCAAGCGGTTCGTGCAATGAACCCTGAGAAACTCAAGTCGCTGTGCAGTGGGAGTGACAGAGAGCTGTTGGATGCATATGACCTTGGTGGTGACTCTGCTTTGATGCTTGCAATACGGATGTGTCACTGGAGTGGTGCTGACGTGTTGGCTAAAGAAGGGGCGGACATAGATGAAGCTCTTGAGAAGGCGAATGCGGAGAAGTGTGAACTCTGGATTGGTAAGCTTAATGAGCTTAAGAATCGTTATGGGAGGGTTAGGCAACGCCTGATTTCCTCTGGGACTTGTAGAGCTTAGGATTATAAGCCTCAATACAGACAACTTTGTGTCATAGTGATATAAAATCGGTGAGGTCGCACACATGAATTGGAGTCTTATTAGCTACCTGAGCTTAACCTAGGGTTGCCACCCCGCACATTTAGGTCGCACGGTTTCGTAGTGTGGCAAACGTGAGGTTTTATTTTTTATTCCAAACCGAGTTAAACCATATTACTGCTGATGATCATTGCTCCGGTCAGTGAACTCAAGGCAACTAGATCAAGGATGAATTTTGTTGCTCAGTTATCCTGCGCGTTTAAATTCTTTCTAGTCATATTCCTCAGATCCAGAATAATTGCATAATCTCCCGTATCAAGACCAATAGGAGATGAACACACGACGACCCCCAACAAGTTGGGGCATGCAACGGGCTCGAACCCATATTTTCTTGCTTAGCTTATGCAACGTGAGGTGTTTATCACAAAGCGCTATCTTTTGCCACTTTGCAACTTGTCTTAGATTTTGCATTTACACCACGCAGGCCACCAACTTACTCATTTTGCACATTTCGCCGACTGCCCCTCTTATAACACGAATATCGCCTGATTGAGCGCCCTAGTTCTTCCACACACTCTTCACCATAAGTCCCAGAAATATCTATTCCACTTTAGGAATCTCATTCTTGAGCTATTCCTGGTGTGAAGATGAGTCTTTGCGATGCTTGTCGAAAAGCCTTGCCCAGCATTCCGCCATCAGGCGGCAACGAACAGTTAATCGCAGCTACATTGAAGGTACTTTCAGAAAATGGAGGTTGGAAAAGATACGAATCAGCGGTATCTGGGGAGAACTGGTACCGGAGAGACCCGTTCCTTCTGCACACATCGTGGGAGTCCCTGGTCGTATCGCTAAGACATGACTGCCCTGTTTGTTGGACGCTTTGGCGGAACATTCGATCTTCTCCGATTGCGTCCCCAAATAATGAACCAATAACGAGGTTTGAGGCACAGATCACTCAGATTGACAACTACCCCGAATCGTGTCGATATCATGTTAACATATGTCTAACGGGCCACCAACTAGAGACCAAACAGCTGAGATTCACTTTAACTAAGACAACAGAAGAGCACTACTTGGGTACGTAATCCAGTAAGGCCTTAAACGGTTTTATGAAATATACTCATAAATTTCTTCATTAGAGGCTGAAAGAGAGTGCCCGCTTACTGTGCAGCATACGCCTCAATCGGCCGCTCACGTCGCAAGCCGCTGGATAAAGGCATGCGAAACACATCACCTTCATTGTTTAAAGCAAGCTGCTCCACCAGAACATGCAAGAATGCCAACTCGGTTGTTGGACTTAGGCGACGCCAATTCAAAGGTTTGGCGTCTCCATCAGGATCCAGAACATGTTCCATATGCTGCGCTCTCTCATCGATGGTCTTCCGACACGCCTGAACTGCATACGAGCAATTACGATGATTATTGCAATTCTCAGCCGGATAGTGCCCTACCACAAAATTATCGTGATATTATATCCATCTGCCGCGCCATACCTATTCAATATCTCTGGATTGATTCTCTTTGCATTATACAGAATGATAATGGTTATGAATTCTCTGAGGAGGCTCCATTTATGAGGGACATCTATCAATACGCATTCCTTACACTATCGATTTGTTGGGACTTCCCAGGTCTTTCGATATTTCGCAATTGTCGGCCGCGCAGTATACCTCGACCTGAGCCTCTTGGTCATTATGGAAAACATCTCAGTGTATCGGAGTCAGATGAGTGGGTATTTGCTGAGGAGATAGGAAGTAAAGAACTGCAAGTTCATGTGAGTGGATCACCCATCAACCAGCGGGCGTGGGTCTTACAAGAGCGGTGCCTTTCGAGACGGCTACTCTATCTTGGAAACGACCAATTGTACTGGGAATGCGATGGTTGCACCGGGAGTGAAGCCCGTCCTGAGTATCTTTCCAATGAAGGTGGACGTCAGTCTATTCTAAATCTCACCGGGAGATTCAGAGATAACGCTTGGAGGTTCACACTTGCACAGTATACCCGGAGCGGCCTGACATTCGAAAGCGATAGGCTCATTGCCTTAGCGGGCCTTGCCAAGTCCGTCGCAAGCAAATCTGGCGATACATATTTGGCCGGCATTTGGTTAGAGTATTGGATGCAAGATCTTCTATGGGAGCCTCAGGAAGAAATAGCTAGAAGTTCGAAGTTGAAGCTCAAAGAACTCGCTATGGTGCCACCCTCATGGTCTTGGCTGGGATTTCCTGGGTCATTAAAACCAGGTAACATTAGCTCAGGAGACCCGCCGAGGATCTCAACCATGACCCCTAACTCATTTGAGTCAGATGAGTACCAGCCATTGGCTCTGTTAAGCCAAGCTGTCGTCATTCCACCCACAAGCGACCCTTTCTCTTTCTTTGAACGGGCAATTCTGAAGTTCCGATGCTTGCTTTTGCCTGTAACATTCGCTGGCATTCCCCACAAAGACGAGCAACCATGGTACTTCCGGCACGAATATAATGTCGACCTATCTTCAGTGGGACTAGATTGTTTCCGGCTTCAAGCATGTCAGCTGTTTGAGGATACTACTATTGCATCTAGATTCTGCTTTAGCAAGCCTGTGGATATGTCTTTACAATACTTCCTCCTTCCATTATGCCTTCGCCAATTTTCGAAGTCTTACCCGCGGTGTATGTATGGACTTTTGTTGCAGAGAGGTCTAAGGGAGGGTACAGAAGAGTATACTAGGGTCGGAAGCTGGTCCGAGGATCACCGCTACTCATCTCAGCTCAGCCCTATGATTAGCAACACAATTCTCAAACTAGGCATCGGGAAGAATTCAACCCTTAGCGATAGAAGCTTGACGGAAAACGAGCACGTTTTTGACTCGAAACTTGGTGAGTATGCAGCGGGTCAAGTTAACTCGAAAGTGCTGTTTCCCATGAAGGTCGTCAAGAGTGTGATTGAGCATCAGTCAGATATTGAGGAACTTGACGAAAGGGCCAGTGTTTCGGGGTCTGAGGCTACTGAACAGGAGGCGATTGAAATGAAGGAAGAAGAAGAAGGGCCCCTTGTACGCGACGAAGAAGTCGCGTGTGCATTGCTACCGCATTTTACTACTGCGGAATGGGGTACTATCTCCTTAGTATAGATTGTAGGTATTAATTCATACATTTGGTAGGCCAGTTGAAAATCCCTTTTTTTCCAATGTATCTAGAAGGAAAGACGTGAAGGGTACAACAGACTAGTTTCAGCTGCTCTTAACACAACTCCAGATACTACACGCTGGTATTGTTTTACATTTTTGAGATTAAATTTATAGATAGTAAGCAGCCAATAAGTAAATGCGAAGCGGACACCCTGGTTCAGGTAGCGTATGGCGCTAATTCTGACTCCATTTATGGTACAGTACCTTACATATGGAATCGCAAGCACTGGTAAGGAAAAGAATTCGTGTTGCATAGTATTGCATCATTATTAGTTAATCTCCGCTGAGGTGGTCGAATAATTGGGCAGAACCCAGCGAAAGGTCGTCACGGACATCGATGACGTGGGCTATGCCGTTAGACCCGTTAATTGCAGTGTCTCAACGTCATCAGACATTCAATCGATAATACTGATGCTTGTATTTTCAGAAGATTACGTGCTTGATATGTTTCCTTTTTCTATCTCCAAAAACTTGCACTGGTAAAACTTATATTCTTAACTTTATCTATCTTCTGTCTTTACCAAGACATTGCCTTGATCTTTCAGCATAACCATGGCTACTCGTGAGTGAAAGCGATAGGCTATACAGACCAAAGATATATGCTAACTTACTTCAAGACCACGCGAAGAATGAAGTTCTTAAGGCTGCCGCCTTATTTGATGTATCTCACATCACATCTGTCGTGACAGGCGGCGCAACCGGCATTGGATTAATGATACCCCAAGCTCTGCAGTCCAATGGAGCCAAGGTTTACATCACAGGCCGTCGTGAAGAAGTTCTTGAGCAAACGCAGAAGACCTATGGCACAGGCCCGGGAAGCATTCATGTCCTCCCTGGTGATGTCAGCGAGAAGGATGAAGCTATCCGTCTTGCAGAGGAGGTTGGCAAGAAGGAGCCGAATGGCATCCATTTGCTCGTGAACAATGCTGGTATTGCAGAAGATGATAACACCAAGTTCTGTAAGCTGTTTCGTCTGTCATACCGAACCTCGTGCTGATGCAAGCGATGTCTTAGCCTCGGCTGGTGAGCCCGATATGTCTGACGCTAAGGCTCTTTCGGAGCACTTCCTCAAGACTGAGCCACAGCAGTGGGCTGCCACATTAAAGACAAATGTGACTGGACCTTACTACATGTCCATGGCGTTCCTCCCATTACTCGCCAAAGGGCGTGAGACTACTTCAGGTTATTCCTCACAAATCATCAATGTCTCCTCCATCTCGGGAGTTATGAAGGGTTCAAGCATGGGACAACCAGCTTACGCCACCTCCAAGGCTGCTCTTACCCACCTCAGTCGCATGATAGCTACTCTCACCAAGGACGTCAAAGTGCGAGTCAATGTTATTGCACCAGGATTATTCCCCAGTGAGATGACTACTGGAGAGTCTGATGAGGGCAACAAGAGCAACATCGATAAGAAGATGACTAACCCGGCTGGTCGGCCTGGTCATGATACTGATATGGCTGCGACTATTCTTTTCCTTGCTGGGAAGGGAGGCTTATTTTATAATGGCCAGATTGTCTATCCCGACGGAGGTAAGTTTCTCTGGATCGGAATATCTTTAGCCCTGTTCTGACATGTTGTTTAGGTTCGACCCTGATCAACCCAGCGATCGCAAACTGAACTTGCTGTTCCTGAAAGAGCTTAGTGAAGTAGCTACTACAGTATCCCACATGGTACTTCGCAATTCATAATCCTTGTATCATAAGTTGAAAACACGTTGTTTCGTTATTAAACTAAGTCTGACTACAACCTCTAATAACATGAAGCCCTGCTATGTAAACTCCTTCAAACCTGCTCGTTCTCTTCAGCGATAGCTCGAGACTTCTCAGCAGTAAGGTCAGCACCCTCGGCATTGCGTCGGAACTCTTCCTCCTGCAGTGTCAACTCCTCAGACAGTTGAGCATGGGCCTTCCACACGGGCTTGATCTCGAAGAGGCGATCCATGGTGTCAAGAGGCAGACCCTTGGTCTCAGGGATGAAGAAGAAGACAAAGATGGAAGAGAGGATCATGAGCGACGCGAAGAAGAAGTAGACGCCATAGCCCATCTTGAGGAACATCTGGGGGGTAAAGCGAGAGACGATGAAGTTCCAGAACCAGTTGTTGGCAGCAGCGGAAGCTTGACCAAGTGATCTGCAGCATGTTAGCAATTTGATTAGATAGATGGATGGCTCAAGAAACGTACCTGGAGTTCTCGTTGAAGATCTCAGAGTTGAGCACCCAGGGGATGGGGTTCCATGTGGGGGAGTAGAAGGCAGTCCAAAGGTAGAAAAAGAAGACGGCAGCAATTCCACCGCTCGTCATCTTGGGTGCCTCAGTTCCGTCCGCAGCGGCAGCAGCAACCTTGGAAGCGGGGTCTGCAATCTTGATGTAGGCTCCGATGAACCACATGCAGAGGGAACCACCAACTGAACCGATGATCAACAACTTTCTGCGTCCAACAGTCTCAATCAGGAACAGAATGAAAATGATAGTAATAGCGGTTTTGACGACACCGAAGATACCGGTGGTCAAGAAGGAGGTGTTGGTGCCCTGGATACCGATGCTCTTGAACACAGTAGGACTGTAGTAGTTGATAGCATTGATGCCGGAACCGTTCTGCCAGAGGAACATCATGCCGCCGAGGAAGAAACGCCATTGAACCTTGCGGCTCTTGAGCGCGGTGAAGGGCTTCCAGAAACCAGGGCCGACTTCCTTGTTGTAGCGCTCGAGTTCCTGGTCGATGTAGCTGACCTCTTCGACGAGATAAAGGTCACTGGCGGGCAGCTGTCGCAACCAGCACAGGTTCTTCATGGCTTCCTCACGGCGACCCCTGGAGAAGAGCCAACGGGGCGACTCCGGGATCCAGAAGGAACCGAAAAGAAGCATGCCTGCGGGGATGAGCTGGACAGCGAAGGGAATGATCCACTGCTTGTGGCTGGGAGCCATGGTCTCAGCAAGTCCGTAGTTGATCCAGAAGCCGACAAGGCCGCCAATCTGCCAGCCAAGCTCGTAGATACCAACCAGACGACCGCGAATAGCAGGAGGGGACAGCTCAGAGCAGTAGATGGGAACCATGTTCGAACAAGCGCCAACACCAACACCAGCGAGCACACGACCGCCGATAATGAGACCCAAGCCACGCTCAGCATTAGCGCCAAGCATCATACCCGCACCCAGCATGAAAACAAAGCTGAACGCAATGAGCGAGTATCGTCGACCGATGAAATACGAGGTGATGTATGCGAATAAACTGCCGAAGAAAGCACCGGCTTGATAGACGGAGACGATGTTGGACTTGAGAAGCGCGAGGTCATTGGGTTCGTACGAGGCAAAGTCGAATTCCTCTGTGAAGCTCGGCAGCGCGATCGTGGTGCCGATGAAGGCGGAGTCATAGCCGATCATGCATGATGCGAAAGACGCGATGGCAGCGCAGGTGTAAACGCGCCAGTTGTAGACTGCCTTGGGCGTCGGCCTGTCCTCATTTACGGCGAAGATGTTGTTGATGGAGAGACCCATGATGAAGATTGTCAGCCAGCACAAGCGGGAGGAGTTTGTGTCTGCGGAGGAGATGAAGATCTGGGGATCAGAACTAAGTATGGGGAAGAGAAAACCCTTTAATATATGCGTCCGGTCCAATGGCCACGAGCCAATTACAACATCGCGTGCGCTTGAAAGTTTATCCCGTCCCTGGTCGTAGTCTGGCACTGGCGCGTCTTAGCGCGTGCACTGAGATGTGCGGAGAAGGGCTCGTGGTAGGACTAGAAAGGTCGAGATTCAGAAAACCCCGCATACGCTGGGGTAGCGCCAAGGGAGATTTTTCGCTCTAACCGGAACTCGGGATCATGAGTAGCGTGGATGGCTAAGTGTTTACCCCCTGCGGTGTCGCACAGTTGCGCTTAATTTCCGTATTCCAGTCTTTGGATGGTTTGGAGTCGTCGTTTGCCTACATCTGGAAGTTCTGGGGTTCGATACCAGATTCTGGGGACCCCGCATGGAATTAAACTAGTGGGGTAAGTAATCATCCCCACGCGTCTGCTGATTTAACAGATTCGTCGTAAGCTCGGGGGTAAGTGTTGATCCCTCAATGCCATTTTGCTCCTTGGATAAGTCCCAACAGCCAAAGTGCAAAGTTTTAACCAATCTAATGTGATGCCGATATACTCAAGAAGTCGGAACAGTTCCTTGTGTTGCCTCGGGTAAAAAGATGCTTGTTCAATAGGATTGATCCAAAGCTGCATGCGACTGCAAAGGTGATGGTGGACCCAGCCAACTGGAACGAGGCCCATGTCCGCCACGCGACTTCATCCAGGAACGAAAGGAACAGGTGACAGGTATGGATCTCAAAACAAGGACCCCATATTGGAGCGCGACTGTGGAGAAAAGGGAAAGGATCTGGCGAGGTCAGGGGGCTTCGGTAGCCGACCGCGTTCCTCAACGGGTGCATTGCAGCGTCGGTCATGCTTGTTCGCCGGTATTGATCGCAGCGTCCTAGACCACGGTGTCTAGGCCCGTTCCCCAGAGTTTATCCCCAACGCTAAGCTTCCCCATCCGCTTAGGACTTGTGATCAGCTCCGGTGGAATTGGGGGACATTACCCCTGATCGATTGGCTCATGAGCTTGGGCATGGGCTGGCTTTGGAGACAGGCTCGGGGAGCTCAAAGGGGATAAAGGAATAAGAGAAGTCTAGTGACGAGACCAGTGAACGCTCCTAGCGTTACTGTGAACTTTGTGACGTTAAGCCATGCTATTGGACACGCTATCGTAATCCAAAAACACCAAAACTGAGCTCAATCATTTCATCAATCCATGTTGTAAGATTTTGTGTTTCTGGTGACGCGTCAAATAGCCAACTCCATAGAAGTCTTTTCAAGTTACCTGTATCTTACAGTTAATCCAGATTTGTCAAAACATCGACGAATGGCTCACAGATATGGAAAGAGGCCACATGGTTGATTCGCGACATGATGTAGGGTAGGGCTACAGCATGTCAGGACCTCACCAATTTAGACTTAGTGGGACCCACATGGGTTCAGTATTTTTCACTGTACTCCATACATCCAAAAGGGTTAGTAATAAAACACATGGTAGTTTAGGTAGTATTTAAGAGAGTAACATAAAGTATTTACATAAATAATATTCTATGTATAATAGAGAATATAGCGAGCTTGCGCCTATATTCCCGTTAGAGCTTGCTATAAAATAGAATGAAGTCCCTGTGATGAACTTTAGCTTGATAATGCTTCATGGTTGCGCTAGCCTCTTAAATTAACCGGTATACCGCAGTGAAAACAGGCCCCGCTCAATAGAGCTAACCAAAATGTTGCCACTCTGGAAGTAAGGGTAAACAGACCAAGCACCATAGAACTGGGCTTCGCCACCAACAGCATCATCCTCAGGGTGGACGTCAAAGAAGCCAATCTCCTCAAACAGAGCGCCAGTGTCATCCTGAGCAATAGAAGACACGTTCACCATGCGAAGGCCAGATCCGTAATTAGCCTGGTATGACACCCCGCCAACGACGTACTGGTTGTGATCGATAGAACGAACAGGGCTCTTGTAAACACCACGGAAGACAGGGTACTCAAGGTCCTGAATATCAACAATGTACGTGGTGGTGTGCTGGTCAGCTGCAGGACCAGTCTTTTCTTGCTCATCCAGCTCGTCGTCGAGGAGGAGATATTTGTGATCCTCTGTCAACCAACCCTGGTGAGTATACGTTGCGCCATTGTATGTAGTGCGCGACAGTTGGCGCGGCATAGTACGGCGAGAAATGTCAACGATGGTGAGCGCATCCTCATTGTAGTTGAAGCAGATCTCACGGCCCTGGAAAGCCTTTTGGGGACCACGGTAGATGACGCACTGCGCGTCGTGGACGTAGCCATCCGAGGCAACGCAGCCAGCATCCTGAGGACGCTTTGGGTTAGAGACGTCGATCATCCAGAGGCCAGCGCGACATTTGAGATCGTAGGCTGTACCGACGGCGGCAATGAGCGCAGTCTCCTCGTTGGCGACGATGTTGTGGCTGTTGCCGAAAGCGCTGAAGTGCGCTGCCAAGTCACTCCTGATGCTGAAGGTGGGGGGGTTCTTCTTATCCGTGTTGAGAAGCTTGGTGAGGTCAAAGATCTGGAGACCGTGGCCAGCTGCCTCTGAGCCGATGTAGGCGTAGTTGCCAATGACCTTGATGTCGCGCCATGACGAAGCGACGGTCTGGGTTGGGAGGCGTCCGACGTAGGTTAGGCTGCCGTCGGGATGAACTTCTGCAAAGGCTGTGCCGTCTGATTGCCCGAGAAGAGCGAACTCGCGACCACTGGAGGCATGTGTCCAGCCTAGGGTCAGTTAGCAAAACGAAACATTACACAAGACTAGCTACAGAACATACCCCAGACATCATTGCCCACACGGGTTCGGCTGCCCATATCCTGGTGGCGCAAGAAACCCAAGAGGTCAATCTTGTTACAAGAGTAACCTCCCGCCTTGCCATCAGAACAAGGCGTGCCAGAGCTGAGGACCTTGTAACGATCTTTGTCAAAGACACCAGCCGCCGCCTCACTCTCGTGGAGAGCCATCTTGCGCTGCTTAAGCTCCCCCATGCCAATGGCATGAGGCGCACTCTTGGCACGGAGGTAGTCCTCATTGTACTTGGCCGTGTTGATTCTCTGCGTCTGTGCGACGGCAGAGCCCGCGAGGGTGGCTAGGAGGAGAGAAGTGATGCTGGCCTTCATGGTGACGGATTGGGCAGGTTTCGAAGAGGTGATGAGCGAGAAACTACAGAGCGGATATCGCAAGGCATGGAGGGAGTCTTTATACTTGATGTGAGGTATGTTTGTTGGGATTGGGAAACTTGTGTAGATCATTTCTCAGATTGGAAGCTAGTTCTTTTGTTCTTGGAAGCTGGTCCTTTTGTGCTTGGCAGCTTATTCAATCGACGAAGTATGCGATAAGGTCCATGACTTGGTCCGGGCCAAGTCAACGCTATGGACACGGATACGACCCTGAATATTCGGAGTGACGATTAGAATCAAACATGCAGCATCGCTGACCACTGAGATGCAAGAGGTCCCCTGGAACGATGTATATCGTATCTTCTTAGAGTTAGTGACTATGGCAAAGGTTCCCCAGAAAAATCGGGCCAAGGATGAAGATGAACAGGCACATAGATAGGCTACGCATAGATAATCTTCAAGGCCACCAGTCACGTCTCGTGTTTTTCCAAGCGACTCGAGGCCAAGACACTGCCAAGCCTTGGTGCCGATGAACTACCAGATTCATCTTAAGCTTAACATAAATATCTCACGGGTATATCACACGACCCACTCCGACCTTTGGGAGATGCCTATTCGGGATAAAGGCCCGCTTCTGGCCATGTGACCTGGAACTTTTACCAAGACAAAAGGACGGTCTTGGCTCCAACCTTTATCCTAGAGACTCTCCTCTTGTCGTATAGAAGAGTAACGTGCTTTGTCCCCGCTTGGCGTTCTTGAGGAGCTCTGCGATGATTGACCAGACGGATACATAGCCTCATGCTCTACTTCTTTTGACGTCGTTGCAGTGCAGCCAGCGCAATTCATCATTTCCGGATCGTTCTTTGAGAGAATTGCATCAATCAGGAATTGGTATAATCTCCAGAGAGCTGATAGTATGACTATTGTGTTGATGATGACAGACACAATAAGCGTTGGTCCACTTTTGAGACGAGGGATCTGACAGAGAAACGTAGTCGAGATGACAGAAGGTTCAATTCCTAAATTCTTTCTGGACGAGTCCTTGGAGGTGAATGCATGATGAGCCAATCCTTCTGTGGTGTTGACTCTAAGATTATCACCCCAAATGGGCATGCGATTCCGGATAGCTTCATACCCTTTGGTGGAATGCGCCAAAAGCTCGACGTTGTCCAGAATACTCGGCCCAGAGTCTTTCTGTCCAAGATCGGCGAGAATCGTGAAATAGAAAGCTTTCGCCAGGTTATCTGCTGAGATCCAAATACCAGGCAACGGCATCAACTGGTCACTATCATCCGCTTTGGAGAGCTGCTCGATCAAGTGCGTGTTGTTCATCTTCTCACGGCTGCAGTAATAAACGTTGGGAGAAACGCCATTATTACTGAAAGGGACGAAGAAACAACTGACTTGGAAAAAGTCCAGTGCCTTGATATCCTGCACCGATGGCACGACTGTCTTTCTTTTCGTGAAGGAAATATGACCCTTGTAGATCGGAGGGATACCTGTGTCATTCTCACCCCGGAAGAACTTCTCGTTGGAAACGTGCATGTCGTTGGTCAAGGCGATTGAGTACCAAGCGAGAAGTGACTCTCCCCACCATAAGCTCGCCTTGGCTGTCTCATTCCGACCTGGGAATGCTGTGCCTACATCGTTATCGATACCGTTGACGTCGTAGGTAGTTGTCATGTTCATGGTCGTCGTGCCGCCAGGCGTGTCTACCTCACAGGATAGCGAAGCTCGTAGCTTAGCACCCCATTGTTGAAGCGCGATTTGAGACGCACTCCGATCGATGCCCTCAAACTCAATCGTGATACCGTTCACTGCACATGATTGGAAAGGGTTGTTGAGATAGGGTAACGATCCTAGCAGTGCATCTGGTTCTTTTAGATTGTCACCGCGCCAGATCTTGTTGACAGTGTATTTGAGGGCGGTGTTGTTTGTGTAGAACTCAGTGCCGATTGGAATGGTCGTGGTAGAGCAGAGGGACTTTGTGTTTGCGGTGAGGAAAGAAGGCCAGTCTGAGAAAGGGTTGCGATTTTCGCTGGTGGTGTTGGGGTTAGAAGTGGCCTTTGAGATAGTCTCGTAGCCTTGTGTCGCGACGCTCAGGAATGCGATAAGCGCTGTCGCGACCAATCCGCCGACTAGGACAACGGGAGTAAACCATACGTAAGGGTATGGTCTGCTGAGGTTGTATGAGAAATATGAGGCATGCATGGCCAGTTTTGCGAGTAATGGGTGACTCGATCAAGTAGTCTAATTGCGGAAAAGCTGTTCTTGAATTTATTAGCTAGTGCGCTAGACCAGTTTATATGCAGCCATCTTCGTCGAGCTGCTATATCAGCATCGGTGAGATTTCACTGGGGGCCAAAAAGAAGCGCTATGGTGTCCCGCAGAGATACCTTCAAACACGGCACAACTAGATACCGACGGGAAGATTTAATAAAGAGTTATGCTTAATAATTACTATGAGAGAAGTTGCGAACATCGTGGGGCTAGTGACTGTGCATGAGGCGAAGTACGTTGAAGGAATATCGCCGCTTACAGCCCCGGACATAAATAGACTTAGCGCGTAACGATTAACAGCCCGTCTGACCTCTATGCACACAGCCTCAAAATTATCCATTGGATTCCAGGTACAGTTTCTTGACACAATATTACTGCATTTCAATGTGCCCCGGAACCCAGCGGAACTAATGGTTATGGCATGGGAAGACGTACGCAATGGTCACTGAGAAAAGGACAATGCTCAGAGCCATTAGAATTGAAGATCCAAGTCGGCTATCAGTATTACAACAACTGCATATGTAAAAGTGGTACCCTGAGAGCATAGAAAACATTCCATTTTTAATATTTTCCGTCCATTTCATCCCTGGCTTACCAAAGGCCACTCGCAAGCCGTCAACCAAGTCCCTCCATAATATTATCTCATCTCCCAATAAAAGGTGCCAAGCTGAGCTTAGTTAGATACGCCAACGGGAGTCATACAAACAAGAGCTTGGCCAAGCTACAGGACGATATGAGTTAGCATCTACTCTTTCCTGCCAAAGAACAAGACTTACCACTGGAAGGGCACAGCATCGTGCTCGTTTACCACTAGCAGCGCAGATGGCTTGGAAGTCGGCGGCATCGGTAGGGGTTTCAGTGGCTATGAACCATGTTAGCTGCAACGTGTCATATTTCAGCACGAATGTACTCACGTGAGTCGCATTCAGCGTCTGCAACCCCAAGAACATCAAGGGAACAACACTCGGGGTTTCCATAGAGACTGTCGGGGCAAGGATTAAAGTTGGCGGCCGCGGCGCTGGTGGAGGAGCTGGGAGTAGACTCTGTGGAGGAACCGGACGCTGAGGTAGCCGCTGACGAAGCAGGGCTGGAGGTGGTGGGGTTGGCAGGAGAACTGGTCTCTGCATCGCTACTTGAAGAAGCAGCAGAGGTGGCAGGGCTGCTCGTGTCTGCATCAGAACTGGAGGGCGCAGCCGAACTACTTGCTGGCGTGCTCGAAGCAGTATCATCGGTAGTCGCCTGGCTGGGGCTAGATGTTTCAGGAGCAGAAGATGATGGTACAGTACCGCCAGTGCTACTAGATGGAGCGGCGCTATCGCTGGGCCCCTGAGTAGCAGGGCTGCTAGGTCCAGTGGAGCCAGGACCTCCAGAGCTACTGTCTCCAGGTGATGAAGATGAAGGGCTGTTGGTCACAGGCGGGACTTCGACAATTACTGTCGCTGGGCCAGAGCTTGCGGTGGGAGAGATGGTAGTGGTGGAGGGCTCACCATTGCCATCCTCTCCAGTTACAGTGCGAGTGACAAAAGAGGCGGGAGTGGAAGATGAGCCGGGGCCAGCAGGAGAACTGGAAGGGGGGACCTCCACGATGACAGTGCCCGTACCTGTTGAGCCAGATGGCGAAATAGTGGACGTGACTGGGTTGTCTGTGGGGTTGAGAGTGCTACCGGTGGTGGTAATAGTGGTAAATGGGATTGAAGAAGCAGGAGAACTGGAAGGAGGAACCTCCACGATGACAGTGCCCGTACCTGTTGAGCCAGATGGCGAAATAGTGGACGTGACTGGGTTGTCTGTGGGGTTGAGAGTGCTACCGGTGGTGGTAACAGTGGTAAATGGGATTGAAGCAGGAGAACTAGAAGGAGGAACCTCCACGATAACGGTACCTGTACCAGTTGATCCTGATGGAGAAATAGTCGAAGTGACCGGGCCGTCTGTTGGGTTGAGGCTACTACCAGTGGTAGTAACGGTAATAAAAGGTACAGAGGATGAGGGTGCAGCCGTGGAGCTTGGCACTATAACGATGACAGTGCCGGGATCGGAAGGGTTGCTGGGAGGAACAGTGCTTGTGAGAGGGTCATCAGTAGGAGAAAGGCCACCTGTAGTAGTGACAGTGACATAAGATGCTGAAGAGGGATCAGCCTTGGTGTTGGGGACCTCGATGATGACACTGCCGGTTGCTCCTGGCTTATCAGGGGTGATAGTAGTAGTGGCAGGGCCGGTGAGAGAAGAAAAGTCTCCGGTGGTAGTGACCGTGACATACGGGATTGAAGATGGGGACCCATTAACTCCAGGAGGAGATGTTGGGACCTGGATAATTACAACACCCGGCTGGCCTGGCTCAGTCGGGGGGTAGGTCTTGGTGACAGGTTGGTTGCCAATGTCATCAGGGTTCGCAGGAACAGTGAAGGTGAGGTAGCCTCCATCGGGAGGAGAACCGTTGCCGTTGCCGTTACCATTGGTGGCACTATTTGGAAATGATTAGTTGAGTCTCATACAACTGTCAATGGCATGTCGAACGTACCTGGTCAGAGTAGTCAAGCTAGTCGAGACATCAGTGAGGACAGTGCTCAAAGACGTGGGAGCATTGGTGACATGCACAACATGGCCATCATCGAGGACAATGTCAGTGTTGGCAGGGAAGTAGGAGTCGATGAGGATAGGCTGCTGGAACTGATATTCGATGGGCTGAAGATTGATGATGGTTGAACAAAGAGGATCCGCAGAGGCTTGGGCAAGTGCAAGCTCCATCACTGCTGAAGCGGCCATGATACTCTTGGACTTCATGGTGAGTAACGAGTGTCCAGGGGAAGAAGACTAAGCGAGTGATATGAAGGAAACGAGTGTAATGAGAAACTGGGGAGAAGATGTCGTTGAGTTTCAAGTGATTCCCACTAGATTCAGGCTGAGGACGAGCTGTATATACACGTCCGAACCGTGAACCCAGGTGTTGATTTCTGAACAACAACAACAACAACAACACACGGCATTGAGGTGATTTCTAATGTTTGAGTTCACAAATGCCGACACGACCTCCGTGACCCGACTTCGCACCGCAAAAACGAAGCCTTTCAGCTCCCATCGCAAAACTTTGTCTCTTGAATGTCTTCTATTGACACTAGACTATATCCTGCCTGTCTCACATTCTCTCCGCTAAGCGATGCCCCATCGGAGATATTAGCCGCCGATCACCTTCCCGAAACAGCTTTGGCGTGGGAACTCTTATGCAAGGCAGAGATGTCAGTATTGCCTCGTTTGGACGGTTCAACAGGCTTTGAGTTTTTGCTTCAGCTGCGTTGTGTATGTTTTGGTCTCAAAGTTGGAAGTGTTGCGATGTCGCCAGGTATGAAAGTGTGAAAGTAATTTTAGAAGAGTTTGGGTACTGAAGGCCGGTGATATATAATACTTGGCCGAAGGGATGTTTTTGTGATGGCAGACATACAAGTCCCTTACCAACTTTCACTCGTTCACACATTTGTCACTCGCTTCGTCACTCGCTTCAAAATGCAAACCTTCAAGTCCCTCATCCCGTTCCTCCTGACTGCCGGTCTTGCAGTCAATGCAGAGACAACCTCCTGCGTTACCTCAACCAAGACCTTTCCCACCATCACCTCCATCATCGTCGAGCCGACCAGTACTTGGTCCGGCAACGGCACAGGTGTTGGTCCTCATACCGTGTATACTACTGAGTATCACGAGTTCTGCTCCACGGGTCTTCGTCTGCACACGTACACCATCACTGAGGCGTGCCACAAGGAAAAGTGTCAGCCTCGCACTACTGGTGTTCCGCCTGGGTTTACCTCAACTGTTACTGTTTGTAACTCTTGTGGTGAGAAGCCTATCACTGCGACATTGACTGTTCCGTGTCCTGAGGCTACTCCTACCAAGGGCCCTTGGAAGCCGCAGCCTGAGCACTGCGAGACATGCCACGATCAGGGTGAACCATCTGGAAAGCCTCCGGTTCAGCCACAGCCTGTTCCGTCTGCCCCGGCTGTAAAGCCAGTCCCCACGGGTCATCAGCCAGAAGAATGCACCTCGTGCGGCCCCAAGCCTCCATCTGCTAGTCTTCCCCAACCTCTCAAGCCCACCAACAACCCTGGCGAGGAGAAGACAGAGCACCCCAACCCCCCTGCTGCATGCACTACTTGCGGTGCTGGAGGAGAAGTTCCGCACCCCCCTGCCTCCCTGGCAACTTCAGTCGTACCCGGCCCCTCTGGAGAGAAACCGGCTACTAGCCCTACCGGCCCTGCTCCTGGAGAACCATCTGCTATCACCGCTGGCGCAGCCAAGTCTTCCTACGTTGAGTTGGGGCTTTTGGGTATCATCGGGTTTGGACTCATTCTGTTGGGAGGTCCCCTGTAGATTCTGTGCAAGGGTGAGGTGTATAGTGTAGTGTCTTGAGTTGAGCCGTAATAGTTGTTGGCTATCCGGAAATATACTGTCCGGGCTTGGATGTTCAATTCTGAGTTTGGCCACTTAATAGGATTACATTCTTGTTCATAGTTTCGCATTAGCTTGGCAATTAAACTTTTGCATTAAAATTGATCTGTCAGCATTGCTTGGTGTGTGAATTTGACCTGACGTTACTAATAAAAGCATACTGATAATGGCCATGATGATAATGATGGTATTGTTATGCTGTCAATTCTAAGCCAATCTCGCAACAGAGTTCCATTAATCAATTCAGCTCTGCTGGTAAGTCTCTGTGTGCACTAAGCGAAGCATGACAGCGAATGACTTCCTGAATACAGCAGTGATCATCAACTAGTATTGCCTCGCTTTCGCTAAATGATCCATGCGCAGCTGTCAAATCGAATCCAGTAGAGATCAACAATTATTCTCTGACGTCCGAGACATCATCAAGGGAGAAGCTATCAGCCGAGTTGCCGGTAACATGGTGACGTGGAGAATTCTCCGCGAGTCCAGTTATTTATATAGTAAATCTCCACATTTAGGGATAGGATCGGCGGCTGGTTCCTGAGTTTTGTCTAAGACATCGTCACGGTAGTTGCATGAGTCATGGTTTTAGTCTGGATCGAGTAAGTAAAAGCTGATTCATGATGAGTCCCTCGCAGCTTCGGCCATTAGTTGTTCGAGATAGCGAGTTCCGAAACTCAATTACAGGGATACTCCTTACAGTAGCCTTTTTCTTTTCTATCAACAATGAGATCGATTCCTTGCATTTTTATACCCTGTCTCAGCGTTGACAACATTGCTCTCGGCGGGAAGCAAGTACTATCTAGTAGTTGTTCTTTTCTTATTTCAATAAGTCACTGTAGTACTGACCAATATACTGTAAGCTGAGAGTCAAATTTATAGAGGATTTTGGTATTATACTAACCTGATGGAACTACTGCTTCGCTCTTGAAAGATTACATATATTCCATCAGCCGGATTAGTATAGGTTATTAAACTAAACTTGTTTATTATTCTCTCAAAATTCAATACTCTGGGGTAGGCCAATCTTTAGAGCATGATGATCTGCAAATAAATCATGGTAGCGTCGTGGGTTTGACAACCCGGTTGGCCTTATCGAGGACACGGTCCAGTTTCGTGCATCAAAAAAGGACGATGCAGAGCTGAGGAGCATTCCAAACTTCAACCCCCCTCGCCGGAAGCAGAAGTCATCATGTACAACTCAGAGTTGTTGAGGAACGGGAGATTGGAAAATGAAATCCAGAATGCCTAAGAGAAATGACTTGTCTTGGAGCTCTTGAGCTTCTTTCTCTATAAAGGCTGCATCTTGCGCCAGCCTTCCAGATATTTCACCATCATCACTCAGCATCCAAACAATCCATCACTCTCACTCTTCAACCTTTCCAATCCAATCTTTCAAAACCGCAACCATGCAGTTCTACGCCATCGTCTCTCTCTTCCTCGCTGGCACCGCGATCGCCGCGCCTGCTACCTCCTCCAACGGCTACGAAGCTTGCCCCAGCGGTGGCCTCTTTGGCAACCCTCAGTGCTGCAGTCTCAACCTCGTCGGTGTCCTCTCTGGTGACTGCCGCGCTCGTGAGTTCGCCCTTCAATATTCAAGATCGATAGTTACTAATTGTGATAATAGCTACCAAGACTCCCAACAGCGCCAAGGAATTCCAGGAGATTTGCGCCGAGTCTGGTCAGAAGGCTCGCTGCTGTGGCCTCTCCGAGATTGTAAGTTCCCTCTATTTGCTTTCCAAAGTAATATATTGGCTGACCATGATGTAGCTTGAGCTCGGTGCTTTCTGCCAGAAGCCCGTCGGTGTTGCTGCTTAAGCACCTTGTATGCTTCTGGCCTTTCTACTGGAGTGAGGTTGTCCCAAGTTGTCGGCGCGTGTAATAATACTCGGGGAGGATACTGAAACTGCAAGTAGCTATGGACTCTACTAGATATCGGTCGCACGATTAGGTAGCAAACCAATAATCCTAGTTATCTTTGCCACATATGCATTTACACCTAAATCAAACTGTACCTGCAAGCTCGTAATGCGAAAACGCTTATCGATTTCGAGCAAAACCAATGAGATTTGCGATTCATTACTCAGCCAGACAGAAGTGGCTGACTTGCAGTCCGGCCAACACCCGGGTCATGTCTAGCATCCGAATGCCCTCGAGTGGGAGTCCGCCGGTAGTCATTGTTATGTTGTTATGAGAACGAATGGGGGCTGATAAGCTAGCGGCGCCGGGACCGGGACCGGCTGGCAACTGCCGATTCGGGGAAGTGGGGAAGTCCCGTGGGTGCTCTACACGACCCGCCCTATCCGACGATCGGCAATTCATTTCGGGGCGTAGCATATTGATAGACCTCGCATGCAGTGTAGGCTCAATGAATGTTCGAAATATGACAAATACTTCACTGACTAACAACCGGCTTAGTTAGAGGACAAGAGTATCATGGGGCTATTGAACTCCGTTGCCGTACCCGGTCGTCCACAGGGTGTGACAGACGGCTGTCACCATCCATCGTGCCAGGGCCGGTCGCATCCTTTATCTTCAAGACAGCGTCTCAAGTTAGTTGTAGAGAAATTATATAAGTCCTTTCGGTATTCATGATCATTTTGTACATCAACTCATCGCTTCAGTATTCGAGTATTCACTATTCACCATCACACTATGACACGAAGCTTCCCTTTCAAGGTCTTGACCCTTTTCAACTGTTGATACATCGTGGCAAAAGACTAACACCCGCTTTACAGCTGGACGATCCGTCCCTCCTGCACGAGGAATCACTATTAAATGGCCAATGGGTTCAAGCCCAGTCCGGAAAAAGGTTCGACGTTGAAGGTAAGCTAAGCCTAAGAGTCAGACAGCAAAGAACGAACGAAAGCTCATATAATATTCTGTAGATCCTGGCTCTGGTCAGATCTGGGCCACTAGTCCCACTAACGAAGTCTGTGACGTTGACAAATATGTTGAGTCGTCGGATGCTGCCCTCCAAAGCTACCGCCACATAAATCCTCGCCAGCGAGCTAAGATCCTTCTCAAGTGGCACGAACTGATCACCAATGCACGACAAGACATCGCCAAGATCGTCGTCTTCGAGACCGGTAAACCTATGGCCGAAGCCCTTGGTGAGGTGGATTATGCCCTTGGCTTTGCCTGGTGGTTTGCCGGCGAGGCTGAGCGTATCAGAGGGTCTATTGCTCAACCCTCTATATCTGACCGTCGAACCTTTGTCATCAAGCAGCCGATCGGTGTGTGCGTTGCTCTCGTCCCCTGGAACTTCCCTGTCGCTATGATCATCCGCAAGGTCTCGGCTGCTTTAGCCGCAGGATGTTCCATGATCGTCAAACCATCGCCCGAAACACCATTCAGTGTCATGGCTCTGGCAGACCTGGCCCTTCGTGCGGGTCTGCCTCCAGGAGTGCTCAACGTTATCTCAACTGATAATGCCAACACCCCATCGGTCAGCGAGACACTCTGCAAGCATCCGCTTGTCCGCAAGGTCACCTTTACTGGCAGTACTTCTGTCGGCAGTATCGTCGCGAGGCACTGCAGTTACGGGCTGAAGAAGGTCACTATGGAGCTGGGCGGAAACTGTCCTTTCATCATTTTTAATGATGGCAATCTTGAGCAAGCAGTCGCAGCTCTTATGATACTGAAATGGCGAACTGCAGGCCAAGCATGCACCCACGCCAATCGAGTCTATGTTCAAAGCGGCGTTTATGACAAGTTTGCGCAGATGATGGTTGAGGCCACCAGCAAGCTCCGAGTGGGACACGGATCTGAGACCTCATCCACTATGGGGCCGCTGACTACTTCTCGCGGCGTTGACAAAGTGAAGAAACATGTCGAAGATGCTGTCAGTAAGGGAGGAAAGATTCTCTGCGGCGGCAAACAGCCAGAGAATCTGAATGGATACTTTTTCGAACCAACTATCATCTCTGGCATGACCTCGGATATGCTCACGACTCAAGAAGAGATCTTTGGACCCATACTGGGGCTGTACAAGTTTGAAACCGAAGACGAAGTTGTGCAGAAGGCCAATGATACTTCGATGGGCTTGGCATCCTACTTCTTCACCAGAGACGTCTCCCGAACCTGGAGACTTTTCGAAAGCTTGGAAGCTGGAATGATCGGTATGAATACTGGTATGTTAAATTCTATCACTAAGTCGCCCTGAAGACTAACAATATATAGGTAATGCCTCATGTGCTGAGTCTCCATTCGGTGGAATCAAGATGTCGGGCTATGGCAAAGAAGCAGGCAAGGATGTGGCTATTGAGGAATACCTCATCCAGAAGACAGGCACTCTGACTGTTGAGGATGGACCCAAGTTGTGAGCCGATTGATACGCCGTCTTGGGGGCTCGTTAAAGATTATAGAAGTCGACGTTGGCCTTATTGGGAGTTGAGTTATTTTCCATAAATTAAAGCCTTCTTAAGAAAACCTTAACAGCTATGTTTCGTCAGACTCATGTTCCACTGGAAGAAGCAGTCTGCAAACTTGTGTATCTTATTTTATACAGCAGCAAGGCGCATGAAGCACTTCGGGATGTAATTGTGTATCAAGGCAACAAGGCCTACATGAGAAACATGTTGAAATCACATGCTGTCGTGTTCATTCGCAACATGAAGGTAGTGATCCTTAAACCGCCGCTTCGTTAATTACGGTGCTTGTGAAAAGCACAGTACTGCCCTTTTCCTACTCATTATTCATGTAATAGCTTAATTAGGTAAGACTTGGAATAACTTGGTTGGTATACAACCTTTTTAAGCTCTTGGTGCTGATTCAATCTCTCAGCCACAAGATTCAGTTGCACAATAACACGTGTAGCTCAAGGTCTATTCACGGCACCACATATATGATCAATTGATAAACAAATTCCATTCTAGAGGGCGAAATCTCATAATCAGGCCCCGATAACAATACATAATTGCAGGTCTCTCCTACTCATCAACCTTCTAACACTTTACACTACTGTCCACCGTTTCTCAGCTCTTAGTCGACCTGCTTGTTAGCAGGTGATTCGACTACTGGCTCTACATCAATATCTGTTGCAGCTGGGGCTTCTGGTACAAGCCGAATGAGGAACACCATGCAGGGAATAGTGAGGCACAAGATGGCCGCGTGGACATAGAAGGGAATCCTAGCGTCGGATCCGCTGTGAGAGTTGATCGCGTAGGAGACCGTCTGTCCGGCCGTCTCAAAGGCTCGGAGCAAACCACCCGAACGGGCAGAAGATCCGGCATCGGTGGAGAAAGTTCCGAGGATCCAGTATAGAGATAGCTGGCATACGTAGCTAGTTGACTGCATGATCAAATATGGGAGGTAAGCCTCCACCCATCTTCTGGTGTTACTTTGAGGTATCCGTTAGTAATTAGTGCAAGGGATACTACGAGGCCAAGGAGAAACATACGTCTCATAGTCCAAAGCGTTTTCGAGTTTTCTGCCGCCGAACTTGGAATACTCGATTCCAATCCAGATGAAGCAGGCTGCTTGTGGAATTAGCCAGCAAGCAAAAGAGATCCATGCTCGCTTGGTCTGGGACCACCTGGTCCTGTCTAGAAGCTTTCCATAGAGGATCACCTCGACGATGGAAAGGGTAGCTGATGGGTGATACCAAGTTATTATCTTGCACTCAGCATAGGTTGGCCATGCACTTACGGAGGAGGAGAGAAGACAATGCTCTCGCTCGCACTGAAAAGTGCAACGACAAATAGGTGCCCATCGTTCCGCCACAGAAGAACGAGTAAAAGGCAGGTAAAGCCATGAGCCAGGTCTCGATTCCAGTATTAGCAAGTGCTTGCGACCACGGCTACAAACAACTTACCTTTCTGCGCTGTAAATGCTTCCATAAGGCAGCAAACTCTTGCCTCCAGCTAGCTCTCTCAGACATGGCAACTTTGGTGCCATCATGACGTCGGACCCGCCTAGTTGGCGAGAGCAAGAAAGCCCAAATCAGGCCTGTGCATTCTATTGAATTCTAGTCAGACACTTGGTAGACTATCCTTGGGGTGTGCGACATACCGAAGGCAATAAAAACGAGGTAGGTAGACCATGCAACGCCACCTGCTTTGGAGTCACTGTGATTATTGGAAAAATTAATGGCACCTCCAATGACGCTTCCAGAGTTCCGCATGGCAGACCATACACCTAGATAAGCTGTCAGGAGCTCCTTATACAGGGTTTGCAGATTACTAACCTAGGTAGAAGCCTCTGTCGTTTGCGAGGGGGTATGACAGCATGGCCGTAGACTCTGCGACGTACAAAAAGCCATAGGTGAATCCTGTGAGTATCTATGAAACCGGTCAGCAATGACAAGCTATGTACAAAGCTGGAATTACCTTTGCAAAGATGAGATACCAATTAACACGGTACTTGGCGCAAACGTAGTACGCAGAGCCGGAAAGAGGCATTCCAACCGCTGCTATGATGCAGGACCATTTGATACCGAACTTGTTGATCAAGGGGCCGCCGAAGAGAGTGAGCAGACATCCAGCCGTGTAGTTGAGAGACGTCGCCAGGTTTGCTAGGTACGGGGTGGAGAGACCGCCGCCTCCAAGGTTGGAAATGGCATCAGACATTGCTGGACCAACGCAGGAGAGACTATGGAGATATAAGCAAGAGTTGAACGTGATTTCGGTGACATGACTTACAGTCCAAGGAGGATCATTTGAAACAAAACGCTCCTGTAGGACTTTGTGAACTTTGAAGCATTGAAGTAGCCGTAGTCAATTCCTGCATCGAGGACTTCGCCGTCGATGTAACTGGTAGTTGGAGCAAGATCATTGTGTCCACTGATTTTGGTGTCGTCCTTGGGGGCTGCAGTCGCCATGCTGCATACAATATTATTCCGTTTGGATGGTCAGAAATGGTCTCTTGAGCAGGGAACGATTAAACTCGTATGGAATCATTCTGCGAAGGACAGTAATAGCATATATATCATTGGTTATCAGCCAACTAACTTTGGGAGACCTCGCTGCTCATGGCGTAGGGTAGCATTGAGTGGTGGGAGGGTTACCCCGCGTTTGCTGGTTCAAATGCTTATCGCGGGGAACGCCCAGATTTGGTTCAGCTATCAGGCACTAAATTGCCGCGTTATCCACTGTGCTGATTGGCCGTGTAGGGTATGTAACAGCAGACAATCTCGCTAGACCGGGCCGGTTTTACTCGATACGGCAATTCTCTAGTGTTATTTTAGGCTTACTCTGTAAACCCTTTTTTATTACAGGATTGGTCTGGGTGCAACATGAACGAAACACTAGTACTGGATGTCATCGTGTTTTCAGATAAACGTTTCTGCTACCATAACGACCGGGCCGGTCAACTGATAGCACGTATCGGGCTTTAGAGGCACATGATTGAGTTTCCCTTTCTGCTTCGCCCTCAAGGTGCATCGGTGAGTTACATTCACCTCGTTTACAAAGTGTAGTACGGGGTTCAATAAAGTGGAGGCTACTGATTGCTCACACCTATTTTACTCAACATCTCACTTCCTTGTTTTTTCAAAGACAGATAACAACTAAACCAAGATACCTTATCCAGCCACAATCACTACCATGTCGCCCTCTCCTCTTCCTGTCGATAACGCCACAACCCCATTTTGGAGGTCAGAGCCGCATCTTCTCGATAACCACCGCTCAACACTAGAGCTTCCTGCCCAAGTCGACATTGCCATCATCGGTGCTGGCTACGCAGGCGTTGCGACAGTTTATCATATTCTTGAGCAGTGCAAGGCTCGAGGCGTTCCTGCGCCCAAGATTGTGATTCTTGAAGCTCGTCAGGCTTGCTCGGGAGCTACGGGACGAAATGGTATGTGACCCTCAACCTCCAGTGCCAAATTCTGCTTTAACAGTGTTATTTAATACAGGTGGCCATCTGAAACCAGATCCGTACAACCGACCTGCGAATCTTCTGGCTACTTACGGCATCGAAGCTGCGGCAGAGGCAGCAGAGTTCGAAGCCAAGAATCTTGCTGCTGTCAAAAAAGCAATTGAGCAAGAGGGTGTTGACTGCGACTTTGTCTACACCCGTGCTGTCGATGCGCTTATGTCAGATACCATACTGGATAAGATAAAAGCGGGAGTAGACGCTCTCAGACAGAACGGGGTTTCTGTTATGCAAGATGTCTACTTTGCTGAAGGCGCTGAAGCTGAGCAGGTAAGCAACATCAGATTCCAATTGAATAGCTGAAATGGTACTCACAGTCTGTGTCTTAGCTTTCAGGTGTCAAGGGGGCCAAAGGCTGCTTTTCCTACACGGCGGGCCACTGCTGGCCTTACAAGCTCATTCTCCAACTACTGTCCAAGGCTGTTGATGCTGGTGTCAATCTGCAGACCCACACGCCAGTCACTGCAGTTACTGAAAAGCCCGATGAGGAGGGCTATCTGACACTGAAGACTTCTCGCGGCACGATCCGAGCTACAAAGATCATCTACGCAACCAACGCCTACACATCATCCATCTTGCCCGAGTTCGCTGACAAGATCGTCCCGGTTCGGGGCATTTGCAGTCACATCAAGCCGACCAAGACCCCAGCGCCCTTACTGCCAAACTCGTACATTATTCGCTGGTCTGATACCAAGTACGAGTATCTCATCCCCAGGCTAGACGGAAGCATTATTGTCGGGGGCGCACGATCAATGTACTACCATGATCTTGACAGCTGGTACAACAACGTCAACGACGACCAGTTAATTGACTCAGCGAAGAACTACTTTGATGGATATATGCAGCGTGTCTTCCACGGCTGGGAAGACAGTGGCGCGTATACGTCCAAGGTTTGGACTGGAGGTGAGTTGACGTACCTCTCTTTGTTGAAAAGTTACTTACACTCGGACCAGTTATGGGTTACTCATCTGATGGCTTGCCCCATGTGGGTGCTGTCCCCGGAAGACAGAGTCAGTATATGCTTGCCGGCTTCAGTGGACACGGTATGCCGCAGATATTCCTGTCAGCGAAAGGCGTGGCGTCTATGGTGATGGAGGGCTTGAGCTACGAGAAGACAGGTATACCGAAGCTCTACAAGGCTACTCAAGAGAGGCTTGATAGTCCCAACAACACTATACTGGACACTTGGAAGACAGTCCAGAGGAGGGAAGGTGCAAAATTGTAGATAGTGCTTCCAAAATAGGATGCATATCGATCGTGAGGAGTACATCCTGATCCTGACTGAACTACTCGTTGCTCAATATGAATGTTGGACTTACTCTTTTACCCCTCAAAGCCAAATCATTTACCGATAGTTTGGTACTTACTCCTCACTCTTTGGGTTACATTGCTAAATGTCGCGTGTACCCTACCAAAGAGGTCCTCAGCTAGCGTATAAATCCCACGCAGCTCCATCATGACGGGGCTAGACCCGAAGCAGTAATTCTGATCCGGTGGGTTCGATCGGCAGACCACAACAGACCAGTATGTTGCATCAGTTCCCAATACGTCTTGGTGAATGTTACCCAATCGCATAGCTCAACTTTACCCCCGCTCTTGAGTCTGTTGCTACAGCAGTTCTATAACCCAAAGCGCGCCCTCTTTTTACAAACTGATAAGATGAGAAGGACCGGCGTGGTCGATCCGGCTTGATGCACAGGACCGTTATCTGAGGAGATCATGAAGCTTCCATGCAAATGGTTCGAGGTAAATGATCATCATATGCCATCACCGGTCTCACAGTGGTCAACAAGCATGAAGAAGCTGAACTTTCAGGACATGGCAATCCCGACTGGTGGCACTAGAAATGAGTCTGATTGCTGCGTTCACCAGTATTCATGGCGTTAAGCTCTGGCTAAATGCATCGTTGGCCCTGGAACATATGAACTGGGGTATACATACATGGAATTGTCCATTCAAGATCGCAGTATTGAGTATAATGGGTAGGTATAACAACGGCGGCTACTCCTAAATGGGTCGGAATGCCAAGTGTGAGGATTATCTAGAGCTTCCTATACCAGACTAAATTCCATCATCAGCTTATGGGCCTCTAAACCTTGGTTCTGTAAAGGATGGTTATGGAACTTAGGATGTAGCTCCAAAACAGAATTAAGAGCATTTCCCCAGGTTCGGTCGGTGTGATATCCTTGTCTCACTGAACTCGCCGCGCAAGGTCTCCCAACTGTCGTCCCAAAGGAGTACAAGCTGCAGATGTAACAAATAGGTTACCGATCTGAAGATAGTCTTTGGAGGGCGTCATGGTCGTTCGTGTGGTAACAATATGTAATCAAGGCCATAAGTGATCGTCCCGGTGAGAGTCTTCCGGTTCGACCATCAATGATAACATTACACGGCCGGTCCGGGCTTCTCTGAGCTGCCGAACCAAACTTGGGAATCAAGTGACTGATTGATAAGGTTTCAAGGAACTTTGATGTCGTATGAACGCCTTAGTATTACATCTTGATGCGGGGAAGATACATACCCATGCTGTGATTGATAACGACAAACCTACTACTTAATCCCCCACATAATAACAGCCAAACACTGTACAGGAACCAGGCGTAGCCTTATCCATCTATTTCACTCTATCGGTATCATTATCAAAATATCTCTGAGACAATGACTGCCCCCAATAGAAACGTTGTCTTCGACGTGGTCGGAACCCTCGTCAGCTACGAGCATCTCTACGAAGCTATCAAAGAGCGCCTGGGCGATAAGCTCATCCCTCGGGGTATTCAGCCCACACTCCTCGGAATATGCTGGCTAGAAATGGCAGAGCGTGAGTACGCGTACTTGTCTCTCCACGGCCATTACGTACAGTTCCTCAAGCTTTTTGAGGCTCTATTTTACCGCTGTCTTCATTATGCTGGCGTTGAGAATCCCCGCTCTTTTGCAGCCGCAGAGGATGTTGCATACTTGATGAATGAGTTCAAGGAGTTGAAACTTAGGGATGGAGCTGCAGAATGTATTCAGAAGCTTCGTGGTGCTGGTTTCACTGTTTGGTGCTTCACGACTGGGGATATCTCCCGTGTGGGGGGGTATTTCTCGAAAGCGGGTGTTGACATGCCGGCTGAGAATCTACTATCTTGTGACACAAATGGAGTCGCGAAGCCGTGTCCTGAGGCTTATGGGCCTATTTTGAACAGGCTTTCCACTTCTGAGTCAAAGCCTTGGTTCGCTGCTGCGCATCTTTGGGACGTGTCTGGGGCAAAGTCTGCTGGGTAAGTTGTGCTTTTTGTGGCGATTGTTGTATGAGGAACTAACATGAGGTGCTTTAGGTTTAGGACTGCTTACAGTATGGTGTTGGAGGGTGAATATCTCTATGAGATCTATGGGGAGCTAGACGTGGTTGCCGAAACGCTACCTGCAATGGCAGACAAGATTATCGCGGTCAGTGAGTAATAGAGGGAGCAGCTTAGAGTAGCTAACCGTAAGGGTCTTCAAGAGGTCTACGATGACGAATTTGAGGTCGCCATATATAAGTCAAATATTTGCAGACTGCGGTAAAGCCAATCAATGACCTAAATAAATCGCCATTATAGTATTTGATACTAGGATCGCATCGTGCGCCTTCTAGTTAATGGACTCAAAGACAGAGTCCTGTAAACCGTCGGGGATGCAATTAAAGCAGTAATGGCTGTGGTAGACTTACAATGGGAACCAGAGGCCTCGGACTGGAGGCTTCGTCTTGAAAGCGACACGAAGATCAGAAGGAAAGCTTTTCAACATCCAGAATATTGCTGCGGAGAGCGCCGACAATGATTTCAGTCTTCTCGTGAAACTCGATTGGCGTCTTGTCGTTTGTCATACGTCAGATACTATTAACAAATGAGCCACTGGACTGTTTAGTCAAACAACTGTCTCAGATGATTCAAGTTCACGGTTACTGACATTTGCTATTATGATTGGCTGGCCACCTCCGACGCATCGATCATTCGATCAAACACCCCGATAAGCCCATTCGAGAAAGATTTTGGTCCGAAGGAGTTCTTAGCATAGGTCTCGGATAATCCAATATAGCCGATCTCCCCATTTCTTTCCCATACGCCCCCGTACAACCCTACACAGCCCCATCTGAATTGCTATCTCGTCGATATCTGCTCAGGCTGCCTTTTATTTTTTCTTCGTTTGCATCGTCTCGGAAAACAGCTCATGAGTTAACTATACTCTCGACGGGGCCTCTTCGTTCTGTGTCTTTAGGTAATCATGACTCCACCGACTCCACCTCGTAAGGTTTTGATGGTCGTCACTGTGGGCGGCTACACTCACGCTGGTAAGACTCCATCGCAAGGCTTTGCGCTCCCACCGCTGACACTTATGGTCGTAGCCCCCGGTCTAGAGATTGGAAAGGTTCTCGCTCAGCGAGGCCACGTCGTTGACTTTGCGACTCTGGAGGGTCAAGAGTCATGGACCATGGGCTACGAGTATATCAGCCAACTTCACCTCATGGGTCACGGGCCTTCACATGAAGATCTCGAAGCTTATTATCTCCGCATGCAAGAGTAGGACGCTTCCAAGGCCTTTACTGTTATCATAGACTCGAAGTATCTGTTTGACTCATACTGGACTTAAGCATACCAGCATCTAAAGCGTATTGTCGATAATCCTGCTACAAAGCCCGATATGATAATCGCCGACTTTTCGTAAACGCCATCAAGGATATCCAGTACCAGTTAGCCCCATTGCTATGATATATCCTCAGATGCCGGCTTTTATGCATCCCTGCTCCAACATCCCGGGTCAACCAGGGTTTCAAATTAAAGGGATATTAACGTCTGAGAATGCTTTGATGTGGCTGCGTTTCAGGAATCAGCTTGTTGTTTTTAAGGCATTGCCTTCCATCATCAAATAGGTCAAGTGGACTAAGCAGATAAAACAAGATGCTAGGGTAAACTACCCACTTCCAGCTCCAAGCAAAGTAGTGATCAATTCGTTCTTTGGCTTGGAGGTGTCAAAGGATATACCGCCATTGGTACAAGCAATTCGTCCGATTCTTGCCGATGCTTATCCTCCCCTCTCAGAGCCGTATGAGGGCTTTTTGGAGAAGCATAAGAAGACTTTGTACTTGACTCTTGGTACCCATATCGTCTTATCCAACCATCATGTAGCTAAGCTGGTGCAAGGACTAGTCGCAGCTATGGATCAAGGACCGATTGCTGGAGTCATCTGGTCTATACCGGAAGCTGCGCGTCGAGACATTGATACCAGTCATCAATTCAGTGGCACAGGTGGTAAAGGTTTTACTTTTGCATCCTTATTGAAGGGTGAACACTCATCCTTTCTCATCACGACCTTTGCTCCACAGCGTGTTATTCTAGATCATGATCATACAGTTATCTACCTGACCCACGGCGGTGGCTCTAGCGCCAATGAGGGTCTGTACCACAGGAAACCAATGCTGGCTATAGGATTTTTCTTCGATCAGATCTCCAACGTACCCCGACTCGTCGCAAGCGGAACCTCTGAAGCTTTAGATAAATTCCGCTTCACTCCAGAAGAAGTCTGTCAAACAATCAAGCTGTTATCAGAGGACATCGATGGATTATACAAGCGCAACTGCACACGTATGCAGCGGATCGCCAGAGCTGCATCACGTCGCAAGGAACTTGGTGCTGATCTTATCGAAGAGGTCATGTATGATACTGAAGGACGATTTGATGGTGAGAAGGAACTGCGACCGATGCATCTGCAGACAGCTGATATGCGCATGTCGACTTTCAAGGCTAGGAACTGGGACCTATGGCTGGTTGGGTTGGTCACTCTGGGAGTTGTGCCTTTGGCTTCTATTATTGTTGGGAAGTGGGCTTGGACAGAGAAGAGGACTATTGGTCATTGGGTTGGGGGAAACTGCCAAGAGCTTGATAGGCTGATTGCAATAGTATACCGAGCAGATTGTAATGTCTGAAGATTTCAATTAAATGAAAGAATGGTGGTCCGTCATCTCCTCCTCGTACCTGTAGACCAGTATGCTAAATGCCACCAAGCACTACAATGATACTCTACAGCTCGCCAGGGAAACGAGGCATCTCGAGGAAGCGTTCAACCATGGCATTGAAGGTCTGTGGGTCTTGCATAAAACTGTGAAAAGGTTAATCGATGTCGCGTAGATACAGATGCAGTGACTTACGCAAAGTGGCTGACTCCGGGTAGGATAACAAGATCAGAACCCCAGATCTGAGATACTATTAGCAACAGAAGAGAAGTAAGGAATGGTTGATTTACCCAGCTATGAATCTCACCGGGAGTGGTACGAGTGACCGCCTCCTCAGAGTCTCCATCGACAATCCACATGATGGGGGCATTGGTGTCAGAGTAACGAGTAGGAATCTTGGCAAAGGACTTTGCATCCCAGTCTGGCAGAGTAGCCCACATCGCGTCCATCCTCTCCGAAAAGTCGTGGAATGTACCCCTGGATGGTGAGTTCTTCTTATACTCCTTCTCAACTCTCTTCATGTACTCCAAGAACACGGGACTCTCTCCAGCCGTCGCATTGATGTTCTCAGGGCTGTAAGTACCGCCGAATGCAAAGGTACGATCTAGACGAGAAGTAAAGTTCATCGCGAGGTCGAAAGAAATGCATGCGCCGTCAGACCAACCGACAGTTGAGAACTTCTCAATCCCAAGATGATCCATCAATCCAATGACATCTTTAGTCATAAGGTCATAGGTCAACGGTCGACTTGTATCATCTGACGAACGACCCTGAGCTCGAGAATCGATTGTGATTAAAGTGTAGGGGTGATCCTTGAAATATCGGATCTGGTTGGCCCAGTAATCACTGTTGGCAAAGCCACCGTGGAGGAAAACAACAGGACTAAGGCCTTTCGCCATAGTCTCTTTGAGCGGCCTTCCGAAGGTCGCATACCAAAGATCAATGCCGTCAATTGGTGCAGTACCCTTGAAATTGGCCTTGGGCATAGGCGGAAGCTCAGGGAGCGTCTGCCATGGCGCGGTATACTCGCAAGACTTTCCAGCCTTGGCGTCGAGTTTGATGCTGAGACCCGAGACCATGTTTGCGAGCATTAGCGCTGAAGCTCCAAGGTATGACCAAGAATGCATGATGAAGGTCTGCGTGACGACTGGAGATATACTAATGTGGTGACGGGGTTGAGTAGTATTGCATGAATTGTAGGGGGCTATGTGGAGCTATTTATCTTTTTCCAACATCCCAGAAACTTAAAAGATGCGTGGTTCAGCCCCTGGTCTTTTTTGACCGCTCGGTTCGTGATTAGACTTTTTGCGGCAAGGATAGCTGCAGGTTGATCGTTCATGGATGTTTTAGCTGACAGTCTTCAACAAATATGTAATAGCGTTACATGGCAGTGTTGTGCTGGAGATCGGCATAACATGCCGCTACAAACGAGATTTGATATCACGACATGTTATGGCGGCACGCGTCGGTGAACCATGTTGCCAAGTCTTGACCTGACGTGAGACCCTGAGTTCCGGGAATTGACCTATCAACAATTGGTATTCCGACGAATCCGGGCCAGCTATCCTTGTAAGTAGGTTGAATGTGGGGGAATTAAAGAATGACGCTAACGAACACGGAAAAGAACGGAGAATCCGAGATTTGCAGATAGCTCCAGTGTACAAAGTCTAAAGGATTATCATAATGTGCTACAGATGGGATTGGATGATCATTCCATCTTCGTGATGGTATTGAGCTGGTTCATGTTAAGGGAATAGTTGCTAAAACGGTGGATCTTTTGCGCTAACCCGCAAACCCACGGGGACATTGGTGTGTGTGGATTGCCTGCTTGTTGCCGGACCTCCGGCAGATCTTGATCGTGTTATTCATTGGACAACACAAGGTTCTTTTGACGGAACTTGATAGATAGTCCCAGTTGACATTACACTAAAGGTACTTCAAGCTTCTATATCAGCAACTATTGAATCACGGGTGACCGAATGATGTCACGCTTCCGTTGATCCGGCAGCTCTCACATCTATGCGTGGACCAACTTAAGTTCAAGGGTTACGCGGCATCAATTATACTGCAAACTCAATGTAAAAGAGGTCTCAACAAGTAAAATTGGTCTTTGCTCTCAAACTCCAGAACATCTGCGCCATGACCCCTATTGTCTGTAGATTAACCCGCCATGGTCATCAATCTTTGCGGAGTGGCTATCACAAAGAATAAGTAACCCGGATTCTCTTTATATCACTAACCCTTCTGACCTAATGTACGTATCTGAGTAACTGGCTTGCCGCATTGATATTTACGAGTCATGTTGTTGAACGTAAAGCGTTTGAGGCCACAGATAAACATTGCAAGCTTACATAAGTTGATCTTAGCCTGCAGGAGACTGAACTTGGGCGAGCGTGCAAGCCTTCTTTGGTATCATGTTGAGGATGCCGTCGATCACGTTGGTGGCAGTTTGAGCAGTAGGGATCTTCAGAGTATCTTAGGACTATTTTGGTAAAAGCATCCCGTAGATAATGCCTGGATGTTAGTCTTGCAAGTGGTTATGGAAACTGGGTAAATTTGGGTAGGACTTTGCCTCGAGCAGGAGGATACTAATACTGCATCATAGACCTCGGATGAGAGTATTAGGTTACATAGAGGCAGATGCTGAATCGCGAGACTAGCCCATGTTTGCCCATGATGTCTTGACTTTACATCAAGCGAGACTCTAAAGTTCTACTCCGTAGGTCAATCATGTGATAAATGAGAAGACAGATGCCCTTTCCACGGCCACGAATGAGCGGCATTGTTTGTGCTGCTTCTATCTCTCGGGACTCCAAGACTTCAACGACCGTCAAGTTATACACACGAGCTTGAAGTGTGTTTATCCAATAGTTTCTGGCATTGCGTTTGCGTATCACTCGTCTACCTTTAGCAGCTCTGCATTCTTTTTTCTTGAATTATATCTTGCAGGCTTAAGTCCCCATTAAAAGTTTGCTGCACGTAGCCATTGTCTATGTTTCATCACGCTGAAGTATCGTTCCAGCAAGCTATGTCTTCAAATTTCAGGTTTGCCAGCGGCTAAAATACAAGACGACCTAGAGAGAGCATGTTAAGGCCTGCATAAGCAGCTACAGCAAGTGCAACGATTCCCAGGTATACATCTCCAGTGTCCGAGATACCGTTCGCAGATGGCTGACCGTTTCCTGCATCACGTGGAATAAGATTAAAAGTCTTGGAAATGGATGACCACGCTGTGACTGCCGGCGCCACGATTGTATCCGCCATACCGAAGCAGTACTCAAACGGCAGTCCAGTACTCCATGACAATAAATACGTCAGACCAAGAGAATACACCTCCATGAGCCGGTGACGTCTTCCGGATCCAAAGCATGGCAGCGTGAGCAGAATGAATCGGTAGGCTGCGTGCGCAAAAATCCAGCTCTTGGAAGCAGCGGTGAAAACAAAAAGGTCGTCATGTAGCATGATAGTTTCCCACTGCACTTGATACCCTTGCAGAATAATCCAAGCTGAAAGAGAGATGCAAGCGACTTTGCAGCTAATCCCACGGAAGGTCCCTCCAGAAGGTGTCGCGACCATCATCAGAATATTGCCGTAGACAGCAAAGTTGACGTAAATGGTGAACGCGTGGAGCCATTGCACTTTGGTCGATCTGCCTGAGACGATGAACCAGAGGACGGAGCCGAGGCCGAGGGGTAGTTCGGCCATGGTTTTGGCCATTTCTTTTTTGGTCGAGGTTCGATCAAAGAGGACGATGATGGCGCTGGTGGTGTAGACGATGGTGAGGAGAAGGATGGGCTTTGAGATGAGACAGCGGTAAGCGAGGAAGAGGATTCCGCTGAGAGATGCGTTGAAGGGGATGTCTAGATACGGCTCCAAAGCCATGTATACTGAGGAGAATGCCATGGCGATACGCGGGCGTGCCATACGCTCAAGGATTAATAGTGAGTTGTTTATGGTAAGTTGAGTTATCTTATCGCGTCTTGGCGGGAGTGGCGGAATGTGAGGGTCCTTACAGGGGATGTAGTGGAATATTAGTGGTCACAGCACCCAGCGATCCACAGTTAGCGAAGTGGGGTCCTCTGAAGAGCCTGCTGCCTGAAATGGACAGGAATGCTACCTCGACGCATCAACACAAACAATGTAACATCCGTTGAAAGCTTCTTGGACCAAAGGCTCTTTCGAATCTGTCAAATATGGCCCGATCTTACCACAACAAGCCAAGTCTGGCAACGACATACCGAACTGCGACGGGTCGTCGTACTGTTCCGTTAACAGACCCTCAAGGTCTCCGCCTCCGATTCCCCATAGACATTGGAGGCACCAGCGTCTTTTCCAGAGACGCCAATTCTGTCATATTTATACCACATTGCAGATTTTGGACTGATGGCCCAGAGGATGATGACCCAGATGCTGACTGGCGTGAGGAGCCTGGAGGTTTCGTCTGCTTCAAGACCTCTTATGCTTACAACATGATTGGCCAGGAGCATCCTAGGATCGTGCCGTACGTTTTTGAATACTATTACTGCCGTTTATCTTGCTGACTATAGCTACCAGTGTCATAGGCCAAGACGCCTGGACAGGTCTCCCCATCCTTCAGAAACCGACATACGGCTCTTTGGGTAACTTCCTCGGAAGCTATGGGTCTCAAATCTACGCTGCTCAAGAAGATTGTTCGCCTCCCATCACCCGTATGAAGCCGGAATTTCGCCCTCTGGCCTACCAATGGAGCTTGCAATTGCTCTCAGCCCTCTCTTTAATCCACTCTTATGGGATCGCTTACGGAGAGATCAACGAGGATAACTGCTGGATTACCGCAGGGTCTCTATCAATCTCTCTGGCTGGTTTCGTGGGCTCTGAATTCCATGATCCAAGCACTCGCTACAACCTTCCTGGCTGGTTCTTTACCGACACGGACTATGCGCCAGACAAACTCCCTCTGGATAGGGCCGTGAAAGTGCCAACATTGAAAACGGACATGTTCTATTTTGGTAGCTTAGTATACGAGTTTATGACTTATCGTATGCCAGGTCTTGAGGATTCACGCGAGACACGACGCCTGATTGTCGAAGAGGACTGGATGGCTGATTTGGAGGATAGGTTTATGGGAAAGATTGTTCGCAAGTGCTGGAGGTTTGAGTATGAGGACGTTGAGGAGTTGCAAGGAGAAGTACAGGCGTTTGTTGAAGCACAAGGTTGGACTATCAGAGGAGATGAGCTTGAGGGTTTCGACACTCACAGTATTCATCGCGAACTCGAGGCCAACTTTATTCCGGAAGATGACGAATAGGCTTCGACCCGCTGCCCCTGGTTCAAGCCATCTATAGAAGTTAAATACTCATAGTTCTTTCAAACAAAGTATATAACAGGAGAGTGTCATACTATCTGTTTCTTAATTGATTGTACTATTTAGTTGTACTCCGAGCTCATCACCAGCTGCCAGGATATTCTTGACCTGCTCAAGTCTAGCTCCAGATAAGGATGACCGAATTACAGTCAGTACGTGACTAAAACCGACAGCTCTTATCTCCGCCACAGCCATTCTTTTAGCCGTTTTCAGTACTCTTCCCATACGGCTCTCCCTGGGCTCAAGCTGCGTCAAGATTCGACAAGCATCATTCAGACGCTGTTCGGAGATCGACGCAATGACTCCTGGCAGCTCTGCAATAAGATATAATTTCCACAATTCCGGTATTGGGTCATCTGAAGCTGTGTTGCATGCGATAACACCGTCTATCTCGTTCTCACAAGCTGCACCTAGTTCAGTCGCATCGCTGCATGACAACAGAACAACGCTGGGATAAAAGGAAAGATAGCTAGCCAGCTCTGACACTCATTGAACATGTTTAGTAAACTTGCATGGGTACTGAAGGTCAATGCCTCGTGCTTACCTTGATCCTCACGTTGGTATCTAGGAACTCCGTGGTCGTCTATGTGTAGAACTCCGCCCCATCTAAGCGCTTCTTTCGAAGCCTCCGAAAGTCTCTCGTCTTCCTCTTTCGAACTTACAGCAACCAAGGGTCTTTTTAATTTTGCGGATATGTCTGGAAGTTGGTGTTAGTGATGTGAATGATGTCTGAGCACTCGCTTTCGTCGACAAGGCTCTACTTACTCTTTGCTGCCATCCTTGTTAAGATTTTTGAACCTTGCAATGCCAAGACCAGGCCAGCGCCTCTCGTTTGACGACGTCCGAACTTTGCTTCTAAATCCTTGCCTTCTTGAAAATAGTTATCTAAGAGTGTATGCCAATAGTCTATACTAGGAATTGCCAGTGCCGCTGAACCCCAGTAATCCTGCTGATCCCAAACAGGCTGTTTCAACTCACTAACCAGGATGTTGACTGCATAAACTCTGGAGGATATGAGATACCCAGGTAGATAGCCCCGGCAAATTAAAAGAAATTGTCCAATATGGTTTTCGCCGTCCAAATCCTGATTTTCAGTGGGATTGATGTGTGATATGTGGAGTGGCGTCGCTTTTTCTACACCATCGTCAATATCATGGAAGTTATGTAGCCATTGCGAAAATCGATGAGCGAAGTAAGTTGCTGAAGATACTAGGTCTATAACCACATTCTCATGAGTGTGTCTCTGACAGTGTGGTTAGTCTTCGGGATAGGTACTGAGGAGAAAACATACCTGCCAAGCCCTCTCTGTCTGTGATAGTTTGGTCTCCTCCCGTGTGCCTTGTCCCGCTATGCTAGTCATCAGCCTCACCGGGCCGTTGTAATTCCAAATGCTGAAAGGAATGGCTGATAGATGGAGGAATCTCCGGCTTCTTTGTGCAATTGCAATACAAATCCGGTTTTGTTCTTCCTTGGGGATAAGGCTCAGAGGCACGAGACCGAGACCTTCGGTGGTGATATCTCTCATGCCATCATATTCCCGTATATGTCGACTCGTTAAAACTAACTTGGTGCCCGGGCGTACTCCATTGCCCTTCATGTAAACGATCTCTTCCAAGACAAGTCGAAATACATTTGTTCCGTCGTAATGACTAATGAAGTCCTCAACCCTTCTTACACGAAAGCATTGCTCGTACAGTTCATTAAATGGGGGGATTTCGCGCCTCTCATACACTATTCTGCCTGGCGGGAATAGGGTCCATACTTGAAGGTACGATACTTGGTCGCCATGATGAGCCTCTTCGAGAATCTTTCTGGCCCCGGGAAATATGTGGTCGATGAATTTGTCTAGCGCTTCTAAGGTTCTGACGGCCAAAGTCGTCAACGCTGACCGAGAATCTTCTTCAATACAAGCAATTTGGAAGAACAAGTCTCTGTAGTGTTCATGACTGACTGCTACCTTTCGGGGACGAGTTCGCCGCCTATGATAGCTACCTTCGGAAGATGAATCGGAGGAGTCTTGTCGATCAAATCTTAGATTTTGCAGATTTTCTAGGTCGTCTATGTCCCGGAATGCCCTTGGCAGGATCTCGGAAGCATATCCAAACACCAGACGATCTTTGACCTTCGCTCCTGACTTGTTAAATTCCCTTTGTTGCCGAACCAAAAATTTCAACTTTGTCAGTGTCTCAATACTTGCCCATGCCGTCCAGCCTCGGGTGGGGATTTCAAATGTTTTTACCTGGCATTGCGACTTTTGGTCCCATCGCAATGTTGTTCGTAAAAAGGGTAGGGTATCTCTGCTTCGCCGATCATCATACTCGTGTATCACCCTCGCATCATAAGATAGTGCCTCATCCTCTTCAATGTCCGAGAGTTCTCCTAATATAGCTTGGATCAGCCGAAGCTACATAATTATGTCTCTCAGGGAGGTAGTTAAATCACCTGCAGGTACAGGTTGAGTCGCTCTCGTCCCTGCTGATGGCCTCCCATCGTATTTTCGGAGGACCTGTTGGAATATCTGGAAGTTTGATTGACCACTTATGTTCGCCATGTTCGGGGTCATTTAATCATTATATGGCTATGAACAGGGCTTCAGTGTTGGTCAGGGCGAGTTTCCAATGATGTTAATCATAAAAGCGATAAAGTTCACAGACAAGAGGCGGGGTCCATTAGATCGATATAGAGAGTCGAATTATTCCCATACATATCGGGCCGTGTTTTCAAAAGGCGTGGACAAGTGACGTGTTGTGATTTAATTGGTATTTCAAGCTATTGCCTGTAGGTCGTATGACAATTTGGGTATTGCTGACTGCATAATCTTGTCCATCAAGTCTTCCTTGGACCCCGCACATGATGTGTACCAATGTTTTCCTGGAAAAGCTCTTGCGGAGCCTTTGATTATATTAATTTCATTATACTTGTAACCATAACTCGCCGTTACGACCTCCAATCAAGATTACTAGGGAATATGAGGGCTTCAGCTTCCGTCAGAGCAGATGAGCCCAGTAACGCTGCAGACGAAACTTCACAAGCGGCTCCTAACAAAAGCCCCGATGAGATGGCTTCCTCAAAATCTCGCAAAATCCTCAAAGAACGAACTTTGCGAACTGTGAATACCTTACGGACTGCTCTTCCTATACACCCGGGAACGTTCGACTCGGGTGTCGACGTTTCAACCCAAGGGCCAAGGTTTGGCGATCTTTCATGGTATAAAATAGTTGATAAAGATGAGAAATACCTCTGGGAAATAGAGATAAATCGAATTATGGACAGCTTGGACAAGCCACAACAGCGCTTAGACTCTGCGTCGAGTCACGAACTTGCCTCAAGTATCAGCAACTTGGGATTTGCTTGGCTAGAAAGGGTGTCCGACCAACTACTCTGTGCACTATCTATTTGTGCCTTGGACGACAATTTAATGACCGCGCCCGAGCCTCAGACGGAGGTATGGAATCGAGGATCCATAATCCTGCGAAGCTTTGACAGGCTAGAAACAAGACTCGGTTCAAAACTAGAGATCATACGTAACGCCGGCATACGAGAGCGAGAGACGTCTCGACGAGAGCCCGACGTGGACGACAACAGCCAGTACGTACTTCGCGATGGAGTTTCTGGTGTGGCCGATAGCGAAGCTCCGACCTACTACCATCTCGTTGACTATGTTACCGAGACCGTGGCACGACTGCTATGCCAGAACTTCAGCTCAGATGAAGTGTATTGGGTCAGCTATGTCATCACCGCACTGGCTAAATATTCAACAAAGCTGAAGGTTCTGTCCAGAGAACTACCAGGATATGGTGTTGGGGCTCTGAACAGACATTCTGATGTCCGACGACTTCTGAGGGACTACCCGTTCGCTGCAGCCGAGAACCCATCGGAAATTAGTCTTGAGGTGACGGCTGTAGAACAGCACGTGAGCCGCGATCCCGATCCAGAACGTGGTCCCGGGGACCGCTATGTTGCAACATATGCCTCAGATATGATTACGATATCAAATTGGCTCTTTCGTCTTCTGTGGCATATCCTAAAGGACTTGAACACTCGAAACACTCGAAATCGGGACACAGATGAGTTCGAAGTGTCTTCTGTCGTCTTTGCAACAGCAGGGCGGTGTATACCCGCTATCACCTTTCAGAATCGGCTGGGACATGTCTCGGGTTCTTCATCTGGTGTAGCAGTCGGGATGGCCCGACGTGCTATAGACCTCATATCAAACACTGCTGCCCTCATTGAGGAGAAATCCAGACAGGAACTAGGACTAAGGATGGGCATATCCACATTGTCTATTAAATTAGGGAATACTGCAGCACAACAGGACGTCAACCTAAAAAGCATGGCTGACCTCATTAGTATAATGACCATCTCGTCATGTATGGACCCGTCTGTAATGGATGACATGATCCGGCTTTGTGCTTCTCTGCGGGTATCGCACATTCTGTCAAGGACTTATGACTCATCTCAAGGTTACACAGCTTTTGTAACCCTGCATAACACTCTTTCGATAGATCGGCCCTTACTACGACGGAGTCATCCCCTCTCCGATGGCCTCGATTCAAACAGGGCCACTTCAGTCCCTCATCAACTCAGGCAGGAGGAGCAAAGTCTCCGAAAGAATGCCTTCGAAGCCATTTGGGAAGTAGAACGACAAATCTCATCAACCCGTAAGCAGATCTCGGACTTGGCCAGTAAATGGGCAATCGAAGAGCACGCTATCGGTATAAGCTGTCTGCGGTACACCATTTCGATAATGTCGGGGTGCGCCATACTCGTTCTTGGTGGACTTATGGCTGGCTTCTTCGTCGGATCACGCATAGAAGGCGTTGACCCTTTTAACCTAACCATGTTTGCTTGGATCATAGCGGGATTTATTATCCTGGTCTCAAAGAGCATTCGCGTTGGCGAGTGGACTTGGAGAGACTTTTTGAAAGGTCGCGTCACATGTCGAACTGTACGTGAGCTGGCAAATGTTACGAACTTGCCGGAGCAACATATCATAATGTTTCTTTTATCATCCGAAAGGGAAAATGCATTGGTTCTCAGAGGGCCTTACAATAATGTTTTTTCTAATACTGGAGCCGAGGGATTCTCCGTCGATGTCAAACCAACTGTCGCTACACTCTTTGCCAGTGGGTTGATTGTTTTGGAGGTTCTATCGGAGAGTGGTTCTGCGCTTGTGTGTCTTGATATACGGCCCCACGTAACTGCAACGAATAGTGGCTCTGAGGGTAGCTGGTATGAGTTGGACATAATAGGCCATGGCTTGAGTAAACAGCGAATGGTTCATAGGCAGCGCAAGCAGTGTCGAGTACTAGCTTGCAAGGATCCACCCCTTCAGGACGAAACGGCAAAGGATATTTTGTTTCGACAACAGCTGCTTCACTGGGAGAAGATTATTGGTGTCTATAATAGGCCAACTCAAACTGTCAGATAGGGCTCGTGACATTTTAGCATCCAGTGGCCAATAGGATTGACTACAACGATTTTACACTTTATTACGCATAAACTTTATCTGCTGCAATGACGCTGATATCACTCCCTTGCTGACCTTTTTATTGCGCAGGGAAACATCAACCCAAAATGGCTGATATTACGGTCAGGCTCCGCCGCCTTTCGCATTCCATTGAGCGCTTGATGGCCATCGCAGGCACTCCAAGCGTGGCTATCGGTGTAATGACCAAGGATAATCCGATATTCTACGACAATCATGGCTTTCGCGACGTCGAAAAGAAACTCGCTGTCACTGAAGACACAATTTTTCCGATTTGTTCTTTGACCAAAGCCATCACTGCCGCAGGACTTGGCCTTCTTGTTGAGGAGGATCGGGTATCATGGGATAGCCTCATCAAGGATATCCTGCCGGATTTCCGCTCCGTCAGTCCTGTGCTTCATAACAATACTACCATGATGGACATTCTTCGCCATCGTACTGGGATGGGCTGAGGTGACAATGCCATTCTGGGAACTGCAGGTAACGCTATTCTCGAGGCTGGAGATGTTATGAAATACATCAACAACAGGCCCTTAGTACGTCCATTCCGTGCTCAATTTGGATACAACAACCTCCACTACGAATTGGCTGGCTCTGTCATTGAACAAGTCAGTGGACAGTCCTATTTCGACTTCATGCAAAGCCGCCTTCTGAACCCTCTTGGAATATAACGGACTTCCTTCCAGACGCCCTCAAAAAGTGTTGAAGGTGTAGCCGTATGCTATAATGCTCTTGACGATGCATCCACGGTCCCTATCGACTTTCTTAAGATGGGCGATAATGGGTACGGTACCGCTAGCGGTGAGGCACGTTCATCAGGCAAAGATCTGCTCAAATTATACAGCAGCTTTATCAAAGGGTTCAATTCTCAGTTCAGTGGGAGTGATGCCCCCGACTTTGGCTCGCCTCTCAAGCAGCTGAGCCCATATAATGTCTGCAAAGATCCCATTTGACCAACCATCGCAGCACGAGGTCTCGTATGCATTCGGATGGGGAAGAGTTCAGCTTCCAGGCCGCTTCGGACAGATCGGCCTTAACCCAGCATTACTCCCCCAAGGTATGCCTACCATTGGCAGAGGTACCTCCAGTCTCGTTCTGTTCCATCAGGGCAGCCTTCCTGGGTTACTCACCTTTGTGGGCCTTTTGCCCGAGACGGAGACAGTGATTGTTGTGCTTACCAACTCACTCGCTCTTAATGATGCAGCGGACTGGATCGGTCAGCTGATTATTGAAGAAATCGTCAACGTACCTTCGGAGCTCAGAACCGACTTTATAGGGCTAGCAGAAGCGGCTGTTACCGAGAATCTCAAATGGTACCCCCGAGTGTTGGACGAACTGGAGAAGGGTAGGAAAGCGGGAACATCACCAAGACCACTGACCGAGTATGTCGGCACCTACTGGGACGACTTGCATATGTTTAAGGTTGAAGTCAAACTTATTGGAGATAAGTTATATTGGCTTATGCAAGGTCTCGAAACAGAAAGATTTGAACTGTCTCACTATCATGATGATACATTTACCTGGCTCCGACCTCGAGATGAACTGGCGAGCAGAGGTCGATGGGTCGGCAATGACCAAGGCGCAACGTTCTGGAAGGTAGAATTCGGGGTTAGCGAATCTGCCAAGGTCAACAAGCTGATATGGGTTCCTGACCCCGAGCTTTCACCAATAATTTACACAAAGTCATAAGAAGGACTTGTCTTAGATTAGAATGCTATAGATTAAAGGCTCCAGTCTCTTTAACAGTGAGACTCAGTGCGCTTCCCAAATAAGTCGAGACATGTAATTGCAAGACACCTTTCTCTTTCACAACAATCTCCTATTCATACGCAGCAAGCTCCCTATATCTTTCCGAGATCGAAAATAAGCTCATGGCTCTGGAATTGGACGTCAGTTTTCCCCATTCAAAAGTCCAGGGTGTACCAGCGGCCAACTTACTCCGTCTACAATTGCTTGAGTCCATGTACAAGGCTTAACATCCACGGAAACATGAGCCATTGCAGCATCGAATGCCTTGGATACAAGCAGAGCACCCCGCCTGACGAATAGCAAGCTCGAACTCATCGCGAGAAACAAGCTTGCCGGGGATCTCGACTTCGGGTTCAGGGAGAGCAGCAGCCATGGCAGTAGCCACCGAGGCAATTGTGAGGAAGATAGTAGAAAACTTCATTGTGGAGATAGCGCAAGTTGAATGAGATGAGGTGACTGGTAATGAAGACTGAGGAAAAGGTACCTCTGTAAGGCGGGGGATTCACCAGCCTTTTATAGATCAGAGAAGTAGGATTCTGTAACACTGGCTCTATGAGTTATTAATGGTAGCAGGGATTGTTTCCTTCAGATAATCTGATTAGATGATCAGATAACTCGTCCATCTTCCTGCGCCATACTAACCCATGCTCCAGTGAAGCGAGTTCCGTATTCCGTCCTATCATCAGTACGAGATGGATCAATCAGTGGGGGGTTATGCCACATAAGCTTCCTTTGATGGGGCCTTCCCTATAAATCTCACTGCCAAGTAAGCTACGGAAGCTGACAATTGCCCTCATTTGCCTCTTCCCTCGGACCATCGCCGTCATGGCCCGGAGAAAACCCCCAAACCGGCTGGCAATGTAATAGAGTTCAATTGGCAACTGTAGTTTGCCCAGAATTCTGCTGGGGGTTGGTTCATGTGCCCAGTGAAGGATGAGGCGGAACAAGGTTAATACTCCACAACTTCACAATTCCTTGGACCTTCGCTGGACCACTTGATACATAAGAATTGGGTGTCTTCTGCAATGCGTAGGACCTTCGGATGTGGTCAATCTGGCAGCCAATCGGAGAGTACAGGTACCGAAAGTATCCGAAAGTCCGTAGTCATGCTTGACAGGCCTGAGATCCTACACCTGCCCACTAGGGATTAGTAAATAATGGGATGTGCAAAGTACTTCTAAAAAGTCTTATTCGGGATTCCGTTGCATGACAACAACGTAAGGTGAAAGCGTTCTACTTGCCTGTCTTATAGGAGCAACATTGGCAGCTTGTTTTCTTATTGACCTAATGATTTCAGGTACTATGAATCAAACAGCAGTATGATATACAAATGCGCTTTCTTATAATAATCCATTTCTCAGTCTCGATATTATGGCTTGGGTCGCGAAATACCAATAATACAGCATCAGATCTTGAAGGATGGACATCTTCTCGCCACAATTTTACACCAATAAGGTTTCAAGGCGACCAATGGAAGCTTGACAGAGACCTTGATCACTTTAACGCCTACCACTCTCAAGCTCGATGGGAGCATCTTCCTGGGCCTCCTTTTGCTTGATGGCCCAGGCAAGCTCCTTATCAGCCTGCGCTGCCCGCTTCTCATCCTCGGCTCCAAGCTTAACGTTACGAACCAAATAAACCATAACTAAGAGAAGACCCGACACGCAGACAGATCCAATAGCGAGAGTCTGTTGAGTCTCACGATAGCACTCATCCACGGCGTTCCTATCAGCAGTTCCAGCCTCGTACGCACGCGCAACAACGATAGAGCCAAAGATCTTGCCGCCTTCCTCTTTACCAAAGTAGGCGTTGAGTTTTCGGGGAAGGACAGAGTTCCAGATGGCGCCGCTGATTGTGACGCCGAGGTTGGAGCCGAAGCCAAGGGATGAGAGGAAGACGGCTGTTGCGATGCCGACTTGCTCGTTTTCTAGGACAGCTTGCAGTGAGACTTGCAGGGGGACCTGGGTGAAACCACGGCCGACTCCGAGAAGAGACTTGGAGGTGATGAAGGCGGCTTCGCTGGCGATGTGGGTGCCGGAGATGTTGGTAAGGTAGATGGGAAGACCGCAGGCCAGGATGATGAGGACAACGCCGAGCATGATGAATGGCTTTGTGTTCTTGGCGAACTTGAGTGAGAGGCCAGCGACTAGTGCACCAATGTTGTACGCCACGCGCTGGGCATTGTCGACTCGTGTTGCGGCGCCGGGTGAGTAATGGCCTGCGACTTGCAAGAAGCTGGATAGGAAAGGTCGGTAGATGCTATCAGCCATGGCGATGACGATACACGATGCGCAGGCGACAATGACGTTGCGTTCGCGAATAGTTCGGTAAGGAATAATCGGATTTGACGCGAATCTCCCATCCCAGACGAGGAACGCGATAAAGGTCAAAACACCAACGATGATGAGAACGATAGACGAAGGTCGACTCCATCGATCGGTATTATTCCGTCCAGCAATCGTCATTGGCAGCAACGTCATAGCAAGACCACCAATGAGGAGAAGAGCGCCAATGAGATCAAGCTGCGTAGCAACATGCTTAACCTTGCCAAACACACCAGGCTCAGCCCCGTGCATGAACGAAATCTTCTCGGTGATCAGACCGATGCGCTTGGCCCGACGATTCATCCAGATCATGATTCCAATAGTGGGAATAGCAGTGACGGGCAGAATGATAGCCCACATGCCGTAGCCCCATCTCCAGCTCGAGTGCAGGAGCATATGTTCACCGAGATATGTTCCGCCGTAGAGGGTCGGGATAGCGGAGAGGGATTCGGGAAGGGTGAAGATAATACCGCGGTTGACGAGCGTTGTAATGTCGGCGACGAAGATCTGCTGGATAATGTTCCACCACGTATCACCGAAGACGTCGAATATTCCACCTGCCTTGTTTTGGTTAGTCGGAGGAAGTAGGCGAGGGAGAGGGGGCGTACCAAAAAGGTGTCGACGTTGGAACAGCCTGCGTACATGGCGTTGCCGATGGCCATGCAGATAGCTGCACCAGCAAAGCTCTGAGGGCGCCCGAAATACTGCAGACGCAATTAGTAACAGTTTTATCACCAATTCTGGTGGAATCTTACGTTGGCAAGCTTAGCGAGCAGTGGATACGACACGATGCGCACGAGACCGTTGACAATGGCACCAGTCGCGAGAAGAGAATGCGCCTTGAAGTGACTCGTCGCATACGGCTCGTAGACATTGCCCGTGTAGACCGTCAAGTTCATAAAGAAGAACATGACAAGAATACTGCCCAACATTAGTTTCACCAAACTGCAAGCAGATCATCAGTTCAACTCACCATCCAATGGCAAAACCAAGGGTTCGTTTGGTCCAAAGCTTTCTAAAAGCCTCATTCGTAGAACCAGGTCTCGAGATCTCCTCCTCCACCACCTCTCCGCTCTTGCGCTCTGAAGGATCTGCCATGGTTACCGACTTTCGGAAATCAGAGTCAGTGATGAAAAAATTCCGTGCCTAAATCTCCCTCAAAATTTGGGAAGACCGCACCTTATGTGTGAAAATATTCCCCTCAAACCTACGGCACTTATTTCCTAATTCACCCACGCATCACGATGATCCTTTCTCTTAACGGGCAAGAGAGCTGATTGATAGCGAGTCTTGGCGTGGACCCTTTCTTCTTCGGTTAACCTTGCTTTTAAGCATGCCTGACAAATCCTATTACTGGTGCCAAGCAGCTAGTACGTAAATACGGCTTTTGACTTCGAGTTAGGCTGTTTTGAGGGGTCTCCGAGATGAGAAATTGCTGGGGTGCTGATTATCAGACCGTTGAGATCTTATCTGATCGTGTCAGAGATTGGTCGATGGATTGGAGTTCCCCACTGGAGAATGGGCTGATGATGGGTTGGGTTTTTTAGGCGTGTCCACTTTGGAGAGTTTGGGATGCTTGCGCTAGGATGGAATTGTATAAAGGGCCTTGGCGGTAGTGATTCCGCTGATGCGGATTTGGGTACCCATGGTTTGGACTGGAACGGGATTTGTCCGAGGGTAAGAGATGAGTGCTGTATGGATTACGTGACGGTTGGCATGCTGTTGGTAACACTGGTAGGGCTGGTGCGGGTGCTGATGCTGTGAGTGACTAGCTGAAACAAACACCATGACAGACCAACGAAAGAATAAAATTGATGGCTAGCAGTAACCTTGAACCATATGCAATCTGAATAACCGACTTATCATAAATCCTCCATCTCCCATGGTACTTTCATGCTCGTCTCAGACTTCTTCTCAACCCTTTGCAATCTTCTCCGCCTCCTCCGTCGCCTCATTAACAATCTCATCAGCCTCATCCTTGGTAAACGCATCCGTAAACTTGACCCAACTCCCATGCGCAAGCCCCGTCCCCGCCCCAATAAGCAACCCCAACCCGGCCGTCGGAATCGCCACAACCCCCGTCAACAGCGCCCCGACTCCCAACCCCAGCCCGCTCGCCACACCCGCGCCTATCCCCGTCCCCATCGCACCGCCCTGTATCCATCCCTTCTCCAACCTCTCAGCAATCTTCATCAACTTAGCAGCCTTCTTATCAATCTCTCGTGCTTCATGCCGTATGTTCTCCGCTTCTTCTGGATCTTCTGTGTTGTCGGCTTTTTCGTGCAGTTGGAGGGATTTTTCTTGTAGGCCTTTTGCTTCCTCGACGCGGGAGTGGATTTCTTTGGCGATGCGCTCTTGGGTGTTGGATTTGCTCTCCGAGGGCGCCGCGCCGTCGGCGGGCTTGTCTTGGGAGCCCATGAATTGGCTTGGTATTGCGCCGGAGAAGATTGATCCTAGTGCTTCGTTCATGGGTGAAGTATAAAAAAGTGATTTTGGGAAAGATGGGGTTTTAAGATGTGGCTTGATGGGTTGAGGAGCTAGGAAACCTGGTTTGTTTTATGAAGCTTGTAGGTGGGGGTGGCGGATGACGTAGTATCGTGATCCACGTCTGTCGATGCAGGTAATCGTTGCTATGATGCTATAATATCGTTGTATGCATGATTCACGAGATTCGTGTCTCACAGCGTTGAGAATAACAAGTTTGCTGCAAACTTTTTCTAACAATAAAACAATGTTGTGTCGCATAGATGACCAGAACAGAGCTGACTGCTCATGAACTCAAAACATTAGACATAAGTCAGATTTAGGTCACACAATGGCTGTTTTCACACGACTAAAGTGCGCCCTAGCATTGGACAGAATACAACCAAGTTATTGTTATGGAATGATCATAGGAAGCTACGAGCTTCGTTTTTATTAATTTAAATTGACTTAAAACGATATTTATGCTGCGTTGCTTCGATCCCTTTAATCATGAACTTCTCAAGTGCGGCTACCCTACATCTTATCGCATCTCGCTTCTGCTTATCTAACCCGTCTCAAATCCCCAGCTCAAGCATCCATGATTGGCCAAGATCAGCAGTCATCATCCCTTGACCATCCCTTGCATCCCAAGGCCTCCATCCCAACATAAACCTGTCCTCTCTCTCAACCCCCCTCTTCCCTCAATCACGCTCATTAGCTTCAGTCTCCATCAAAATGTCAGCGCGAGGCCTGGGCTCCACATCGCCCGACCCGGGCGCGTCATCTCACGACCAACACCCACTGATGGATCTCGTAGACGGAGAAGAAGCGCGCGGGAGGAGCCATCCCGAGGGTGCTGCGGCGGATTTGATGAGGAGGCTTGGTGTTTCGCCTGAGAGGAGGATCAAAGTCACGCCTGAGGATGATGCGCGCGTGTTGAGGCGGATTGACATGGTTGTTCTGCCGCTCATGCTGGCTGTTTATTTCCTCCAAGGTGAAATCTCATATGACCCATCGAGATATAATATTGACATCTACAGGTCTTGACAAAGCGACCATCGCGTATGCATCCATCTTCGGCCTCATTGAAGACACGAACTTGAAGGGCAATCAATTCTCTTGGCTCAGCTCAATAGTCTACGTCGCCCAACTCATCGCGCAATTTCCACTAGCGTGGCTTCTCGTTAAACTGCCCATCGGAAAATTCACAAGCTGCATGGTCACCCTCTGGGGACTTACCCTCACCTTCATGGCGGCAGCACATACCTTTCATAGTCTGCTCTTTGCGCGTTTCTGGCTTGGTGCTTTTGAGGCTAGTATTGCGCCGAGTTTCGTGGCTATTACGCAAATGTTCTGGAGGAGGAGAGAGCAGCCGCTTAGAATGTCGTATTGGTATGCTATGAATGGATTCACTGGCGTGGTAAGTTGTGTTCCACCTTATGGAATTGGACTGGACTGACGGGTTTAGTTTGGGAGTTTGGCGACTTGGTGGCTTGCGCAGCTGCCGTTTGGACTGAAACCATACCAGGTATGTTCGAGACGACTCATTCTGATTAGGGATACGTACTGACGAGACAGACCATCTTTGTCGCCTTTGGAATTATCACCGTCTGCTTCTCCACCGTTCTATTCTCATACATGCCCGACTCTCCCGCAGAGGCAAAATTCCTAGACAAGCACGATAAACTCATCGCCATTGAACGGCTGCGAATGAACCAGACTGGCGTCATGTCAAGGCAATGGCGATGGGACCATTTCTGGGAGACCATGAGAGATTTGAAGACTTGGCTCTGGTTCTCTCTCATCTTCAGTATTTCGTACGTACTCCATCTTCCGCACCGGACCACTTGCTGACATTCTGATCTATAGAGTACCCTCTGGTGGCGTCGGTTCTTTTGGCCCTCTTCTCATCAAGTCTTTTGGCTTTGATTCTTTCCAGGCCATCCTCTTCAACGCCCCGTTTGGTGTTGTTCAGTTCATTTCTACAGTTGGAGGTTCTTACGTTGCGACCAAGTATCATAAGAAAGGCCCAGTCATTGCTTTTCTGGCTATGTTTCCAATCGTTGGTTGCATGATCATGCTCTCAACGCCGCATACACCTGATGGCAGAAATACTCTGCTCGGCGGATACTACATGATCTCTGTCTTCCCAGGAATAAGTCCGTCTTTGGCCACTACTATTTTTCTTTCTTTCGCGCGCTGACTTTATACAGTTCCTCTGATCTACTCATGGTCTTCATCTAATACTGCTGGCGACACCAAAGGCAAATGCAACTCATCTGTCCTCTTCATCGGCCAATCCCTCGGAAACATCATTGGTCCTCTTCTCTATAAACCATCAGAGGCGCCCGAATATCACCGAGGCTTATACTGGAATCTTCTTCTCTACATCGCAATCGTAGGTCTTGTTGTTGTTACGACTATGTATTTGACCTACCTCAATCGCGACCATAGCCACCGTCGCGTTATGGCCGGAAAGGATGCAGTGATTGTGGACTACAGCTTGTACTCACCCGAAGAAGCTGATCGTCTTCGAAGGTCCAAAGCGACCGAGGGACAGCACATTGAAAATGCGAGAGATGCAACGGTTGGAGATCATGCGTTTGATGACATGACGGATTTGGTCAACGATGAATTTGTGTTTGTATTTTAACTCAATTGGAAGACATCTAGATCTCCCTGGAAGCTGTTTGCGTCACTGTTTTCATAGCATAGGTATCTCTAAAAATCCATCGATAGACTGAACCTCCACATCATGGAAATCGGCCTTCTTCCCGCGAACAATATCCAGATCCATCGTTGATCTCGACATCGTGAGGCTTTTGATTCAATTCGGTCTCAAAAATAGCGACCGACCATAATTACAGTGGAACAGTCCTCCAAATCATCCAACGAGTTGAAACGACGAATGCCACGAATCTTGATATTCCAATGTAACTGGCCAAAACAGGCCCGATCTGCACTTCAGCCAAGGACCCTCTCCACCTCTCATGTGCTGACAGTTGTAATGTGCCTCGTTCGGCAAGTACTCCCCCGAATCAACGCGGGGTACTCATTCTGAGTAATCCGACGTCGGATTACCTCTTCGAGTATTTATATACTTCCCCGTGTCCATGAGGGGTTGTTCATCATCGTCACTCATACACAATATTTCGGACTTCGTCAATTTCATCATGGCTACTCCTCAGGTTAAGCGCTATGTCATTGTTGGCATGGGCGTTCGCTCGGCTATGTACTACCAAGCCATCATCCAGGACTTCAAAGACGTTGCCAAGCTTGTTGGAATCTGCGATACGAACCAGACTCGCATGGACGTGGCAAACGATCACATCGTCGAGCTCGGTGGTGAAAAGGTGAAGACCTACAAAGACACGGATTTTGACAAGATGGTTCAAGAGCAAAAAGCAGATGTTGTCATCGTCACGACTATTGACCTCTTCCACCATCATTACTGCATTCGAGCCATGGAGCTAGGCTGCGATGCTATCACGGAAAAGCCAATGACTATCGACGAGCACAAGCTTCAAGCTATGATCGACGCAGAGAAGAAGACGGGGAAACAAGTCCGTGTTCTTTTCAACTATCGGTACGCGCCGCATCACACCAAAGTGCGAGAACTCATCGACTCTGGCGTCATCGGCGAGATTTCAACAGTACACATGGACTGGATCCTCGACTGTGCACACGGTGCAGACTTTATGCGACGCTGGCATCGGCACAAAGAAACAAGCGGTGGTATCCAGATGCACAAGTCAATACATCACTTCGACCTTGTGCATTTCTGGCTCAACACTGAGCCTGAGCTCGTCTTCTGCCTCGGCGATCTTCGTTTCTACGGCAAAGAAAACGCTGAGCGACGAGGCGAGAAGAATCTTGGTGAGCGATATCAGAACAATGAGAATGCGAAGAACGACCCTTTTGCGTTCCAGCTTGATGAGAATGAACGCATGAAGAAGTTGTACCTTGATGCTGAGCACGAAGATGGCTACATTCGCGACAGGAACTGTTTTGCAGAGGGAATCACCATCGAGGATAACCTATCTATGATAATCAAGTACAAGAATCGCGCCGTCATGACATACAACACATACGCCTATGCCCCATGGGAAGGATACAGGTGTGTCTTCAACGGCAGCAAGGGCCGAATCGAAGTCAACGTCGTTGAGAGCGGGTACAACCCCCTCGGCGATCCCGTGACAAAGGACGCTTCGGGCGAGGACGAGAAGTATATCCAGGGCGGAGTTGAGCAGACCAAGATTGTTGTTTATCCGCTGTTTGATAAGCCGTATGTTGTGGATGTTGTGAAGTCGGAGGGCGGTCATGGAGGCGGTGATCCTGTTTTGTTGAAGGATGTTCTGCTGGGTGGTGAGGTTGATAATTTCAAGAGGGCTGCTAATATTCGGGATGGAGGGAATGCGGTTTTGGTGGGTGTTGGGGCGAATCATAGTATGAAGAGTGGTATGCCCGTCAAGGTTCAAGAGTTGGTCAAGTGGTAAGCAGATAGTCAATCGAAGTCTGAACAATCACAGATTATACTGCCAGTTGAAAGAAAACAAGTGCTTTTATAATCCTTCCCAGTATAAATACATCCTCACTCAAAAGGAATTCATGACCAAATCATCAGCTGCACTCTCCTTTCCATTCCCTTCGTAAGTCTTATCATTCATATCGCCCATCAGTCCCGTAAACATATCACCCATCCCAACCTCCTCGACCTGTCCACCAGCCTGATCAGGCGGAGACCCCAATAAATCATAAGGCCAAAACGGAACGCCACCAAAATCATTAAAGTGTGTTGAATCCATCAAGGACATATCGCTAAAATCCAGCGGTGGAATATTCGTAATCTCGCATAACGCTGCTGTTAGATCAGCGGGAAAGGGCTGTTTGTTGTTGAAGAAGGCTTCTTGGTCGATGTTGCGTAGATCTTGAGTTTGGAGATTTGTTGTCATGATGTTGTTGTGGTCCATAAAATCTGTCAGATTGTCGGGGATGAGATGTTTGTTCATGGCGGAGAAACGCTTCATTGATTGCTCGTCGACGGTTGGCATGGATATTGCTTGGGATCTGGAGCTTAGCCCACGACCGGCCTTTCGTAGAGATGGGGGGAAATCGCATTCGTCTGGGAGTCTACCGTTGCTGATACTCATATCAAGAGTCATGACGAGTCGTAAGTAGTAACTAGGTCGTGTTTTGAGCATATCGAGACAACTGGTCGGTGAGTCGTCGTCGGTGGACATCGGTGCTGGTGATCGCTGTCTGGCAAGTTCAACGACATGTCGAATAGCTCGCATGACCCAGTCTGTGATGTAATATTTCTTCTTATAGCTCTTCATCTGTTTGAGGATATTCTCGACGTGCTGTTCCTTTTGGGTGAGCTTGACGCCTTCTTCTGGTGATGCTGGCTTTTTGGGACGGAGAAGTTCAACGTCGATCATCTGCAGTGCTAGTGGAAATGCCGTGCACCCGATGCTACAAATTGTTAGTCATGAGTTAGGGTTTGTGAAGAATCACGTACGCAGTCATTGGGAGCCATCGTGATAGCCCTAGACGATCGAACTCGAGCAGACACTCGGTCACGCGTGATGCTGAGCCTTGAAGATCTTCGCTTTGTCGTCGGAGCTGTATATCGGATTGAGTGGGCGGCAATAAACTTGATCGAAGAATGTTGTAATGGCAAACAGATAGCCTTGCGGAACTGCGAAAGTCAGTATTACATGCTCATACTCATAACCGAGAACTTACTGGTAGTACATCTCAATGAGATTCTTAAACAAGATAATCGACGAAGACGGCGAAATTTCCTCAGCCATCCTCTCATCCAACGTCGTCTTGGTCTCACTCCACGAACTATACCACCTACAAAGCTCCATCTGACACAAACTCGCATCCTTGCCAACCTCCATCCTCCCCGATAACATCCACGACGGATTATTATACAGCACCGACGTAACCGTCAAAACATCCGTCAGCACCACACAAAGATCAACCAGCCTCGAAAGTAACTCTGCATGCAGCGTCTTGGTCGTAGAGTCATAAACATCAGAATTATACAGCTCATCGCATAAATCCGCACTTCCCAACTTTGAGCAAGAAAAGCTAAAGTTTGAGGGTGTGATCTTTATGCTCTGGCGGGATGTTAGAGGAAGTAAACGGTCGCAGATGATGCAGCACCACCAGAGGCGCTTGAGGGTGTTGCGCAGTTTTTGGACCTTGGCTACTTCGGTGTCTTTGTTGGGGCGCAGGGACGAGTAGCAGTGCGCTTTGGCGACGCGGGCGTAGGATATAGCGATGCCGAGCCAGATTGAGCCGAGGGGCTTGTTGCCTGCTATGCAGCGGGGAATGAGATGTGTGTGCGCGAGGAGGAGGGAGGCTTGGGCTATGGCGATGCAAGACTTTTCGACGCTGAAGTCATAGAGAAGCTGACCATGTTAGCGATGCTCAATACCCCGGTTGGAGAGCATACCTTTGATCGACGATAAAATGCGAGTTTGGCCTGGTGTACATCCTCAAAGCCCAGCATCTTAATCGTATCCGACGAAACAAACTATACCCATCAGCTTCATCCCATCATCTCAATTGAGCCTCTTACCCCGGAGGAAATGAACAATATCCCCTGCAGCACCAGCATCGGCATCTCATACTCGACATCATTATCCACCGCATTATATGACAGCCAGAAATCCTTCTCATTCAGAATCGGAAGCATCGGATGAACATGCAAAAAATACTGCCTCAGAAAATCATCCAGCGCCGCGCGCTGCGGGACAACAAAACATCCTTGACTAACGAGGAATGCTAAATCTTGCGGGAGCAGGTCTTTTGTATCGGGGACTTGGAGAAATGCGTAATCGGGATGTGTTGGCGATCCAGCTGCGAAATTTGGCGGTTGTTGTGTGATTGTTGTAGGGGCGGTTGGTGGTGAGGGCTTCTGTGTTGCGGGGAGGATGTTCCGGGGTTCGGATGTCGAGATGGTTGATTCTTCGATTGATCGGGGCGTCGGGGGTTCGTTTGGTCGGAGTGAGGGGGTCGTTGATCTGTCAATTTAGTTAGAAAGAGAGTTTTGGAGGGATGTTGTAACGTGCATTATTCCATGGCGGCGCTTGAATGTGCAGACCTTGTCGTTGTGTCTGCAGTTGACACAGGGACCAGCTGGATTCTCAATGATGCACCGCACTTTTCTCGCCCGACACAAATTACAAGCTCTCGAGACTCGTTTCCTCATAGTTTTCGTAGACTGCATCTTCCCTGCTTCTTCTCAATCGACAAATCCAAGCGGCAGAACACAAGTCCGTAGGTCGAAATATCGGTATGATGATGCTAGGTCAAAGTTGTCAACTCGCAATCCTCGGATTGAAAAGCAAGACGTCAGCTGCTCCCTGCCCCGGGATCCGATGGCATTTGCCGACACTCTTCCCCACAGAATGGTGATCAATCCCCGCAAAGATTTGGCAGACGCTAGGATAGAACGGTGTGAGCTAAGCGGTTTGAGGGTCGACACGCCGGAGCCAAGGAGCTATTGGAAGCATAATTGGCTTAGCTGAAGCGAGAGGACCAATCTTGGGGTGAGACCGTCATTGTCTGTGTTTAACTCGTTGCACAGCAGGCGTTTCCATGTGATGAAGAAGTTCTGTGCAGCGTATCCACTGATTCTTTAGTTGATGTCAGCCAACGTTAATTGTGAGACATACGTCAGAGATGACTAGGTATTGTTTTGATCAGTGTTGTGATGAAGAATAGCCTAAGCGATGTGGACAGACTGGGAATAGCTTCATGCATAGGATAAGCACATCTGCAATTACGACGAATTGAATGCTGCATTAATAAACATCAGCAGCGGGGCACCAAAGCACGCAACATATGATGACATTACTCTCTATTTATCCGCCTATCACGCCCAATCTCACTTTATCTCAGATCATTAATACTCCCTTATTCCCCTCTTAATCCCAACCTTTCTTCTTCACTTTTCAACGTCAAAATGTCTGCAAAACAGCTCCCCCCTCATCTGAAGCAATCCGTCGAGGCTTCGAAATGCGAGTATCGCAATTTGGGCAAATCAGGTTTGCGCATTTCGGTCCCTGTGTTTGGATGCATGAGCTTTGGTGATAAGAGGGTTCTTCCTTGGGTGATTGGAGAGGATGAGGTATGTCACCAATTTGAAGTAGGGGCATGTCGCTGATTACTTTACAGGCCCTGGAACTTCTTAAAGCTGCTTATGATCGCGGCTTGAACACCTGGGACACCGCGAATACTTACAGCAATGGCGCGTCGGAGGAAATTGTCGGCAAGGCGTTGAAGAAGTTCAACATTCCCCGCCACAAGGTTGTCATCCTCAGTAAATGCCGCTGGGGCGTAGGCGAAGAGCCAGGTAAACCTCATCTCGCCCAATCGCACTCACGTATACTGATGCTGTGCAGGCGCTCGTCACATCAACTTCAAAGACGAATTCGCCGTCTCAAAAGACTACCAAAACCAATATGGTCTTTCCCGCGCTGCAATCTTCAACCAAGTCAACGCATCCCTCGCTCGTCTCGACACAGATTACCTCGACCTTCTCCAGATCCACCGCTTCGACGACGATACTCCGATTGAAGAAACGATGAAAGCACTCCACGACCTAGTTCAATCCGGAAAAGTGCGCTACATCGGCGCAAGCAGCATGTGGGCGACCCAATTCGCGCGAATGCAATTTGTCGCCGAAAAGAATGGCTGGACCAAATTTATTAGCATGCAGAACCATTACAACCTACTGTACCGCGAGGAGGAGCGCGAGATGATCCGTTTCTGCAACGATACGGGCGTGGGGATCATTCCGTGGGCGCCGCTTTGTAGAGGACATCTTGCACGACCGCCTGCGCAGTTTGGAGCCACGGAGAGGAGTAAGGAGGAGAAAGAAGGGTCTGGGGAGTTATCGGAGACTGATCAGAAGATTATTGGTAGGGTTGTTGAGGTTGCCGAGAAGCATGATTGGCCTATGGCGCATGTCGCGCTGGCTTGGATTAATCAGCGGGTTACGAGTCCCATTATTGGGTTTAGTAGTGTTGAGAGGATTGAGCAGGCTATTGGGGCGAGGGGGAAGAACTTGAGTGATGAGGAGGTCAAGTATTTGGAGGAGTTATATCAGGCCAAGCCCATCGCTGGACATACTTAGGGCAATCAAAGTACAGTCACGAGAAATAGATGATTTGGATATAGTGGTACTAGGTCAATCATCATGAACACGATCATGGTTGCAAAGTTCATGATGTTTTCCTTGACTCTCTCCAATCTGTCGATCTGTATCCATTCCGCGTAGAAACGTTGATCCGGGTTCGGCATGTGCATCGGCAAGCTTCACGGAACGGCACTTTAGTTCGGCTGCTAAACCCTCCAAATCTCCAGCCCCGCGCGCCCTGGGATCAGCATTTACAGTGGCACTTAAACCCGCCCAAGCCCGGCGGGACCAACCAGCTCAACGTCATTTTCACCATGAGCTCTTCAATCCCATCTACTCAAAAGGCAGCCTTAATCAAGAATCCTGGAAATGATGCCCGAATCATAATTCGATCGGATATACGGGTTGGTGACCCTGGCGAAAATGAGATTCTTGTAAAGCTTGAATTTACTGGTCTATGGTAAGCGTTACCTTTACCACGAGATCAGTGAACTAACTCATGTAGCGGCTCAGAAATCCGTGCATTATCAGGATGGGGTCCCTATGACCCTATTGTCGGCCACGAAGGCGTAGGAACAGTCGTAAAACTCGGTCAAGGCGTTGACGCAAGCCTACTCAGTAAGCGAGTCGGCGTGAAATGGCTCTACAGCGCCTGCGGGACATGCACCATTTGCAAAAAAGGCTATGCCAACAACTGTCCCAAACAGCTCAACACAGGGAAACACGTCCCCGGTACTTTGCAGGAATACATGATCGCAGATGCGAGATACGTTACTGAGATTCCAGATGGTCTTGCTGGTGAAATCGCTGCGCCGTTGCTTTGTGCTGGGTTGACGATGGCTGGTGCTGTGTCGAAGCTAAAGGGATATGCTGAGAAGGGGGATTGGGTTGTTATATCTGGCTCAGGTGGTGGACTTGGTCATCTGGGTGTACAGATTGCTAGTAGGTTGAACGGTCTGCGGGTCATTGCTGTTGATACTGGAGAGTCTAGACGGAAGTTGAGTTTGGACAGTGGCGCCGAGCACTTTATCGACTTTGCAACCGAGAACGTGGAAGCAAAGGCCAAGGAGATAACGGGTGAGGGAGCATCCGCTGTCTTGGTGGTGACTGGTTCTCAAGATGCCTTTATTCAAGCGCCGAATCTCGTACGAAATATGGGCATCATCGTCACGATTGGCCTGCCAAGGAATGACTTTAACATACCGCTCTCTGCAACGATATGTTCGGCAAGATGTAAGCAATTTCTCACCTATTACCAGCGGTCGATTGCTTACCCACTTACCAGCGCTGACTATCACCGGCGTTGCGGTTGGCACAGAAGAGCAGATGGAGGAGCTCTTGCAGCATGCCCTTGAAGGAACAATAGTCCCCGAGGTTAAGGTTCTTGAGTTTGAGGAAGTGGGCAATGTTATTGAAGGCTTGAAACGACAGGAAATCACTGGTAGAATAGTCGTCAGAATACCATGAACAAGTCTAGCCGATTTACCCGGGCAGTTCTATGGAAACGCGTACCACTTTGTTACAAAGCTCTTCGAAATTAATATTACAGGGAAAAACTGAGAAAGCGCCCAGTGCTGGACTATCTGGCCAGGCCTATTATCCAGGCTCTCCTATTCAAGGCTCAATCTCCCAGCTGCTTCATGCTTCCATTTCCCCTTATCACGTAGAAAAACTGCCCAATGTCAAATCGAGGGGCCCGGGGCTCATCTCCCGCCAATAATCAAGCTCCTTATGCTGCTCAGTAGACCAAGGACTTCTCAACCGACCACTGGCCAAAGGATTATACCCATCCTCCTGACTCTCATCAACTCGCCTCTGCGCCTCTTGCGTAACCAAGTCCATAATCATCGGCACCGCATACCAGATCTTCTCATACAACTCCGGCATGAACCGAATATTCCGACAGCAGTATGATCGAATGTACCAGACAACCGGACGTTTCTGAAACACTCTGTGCGGTGATCTAGCGTCGTACCCGTATGCCCACTTTCCGTTGAACTTGTCAATCAACCATCTTTTTCGGTTCATCCCGTGGACGAGTAAGCTCTGCACCAACGGGTCGAAAGTCTGTAGATGCCGTGTCTTGCGCTCCTGTGGCCAACACGTATTCTCCATGAGTTGCAGGTCATGAACGCCCTGCAACTTAATCCCATACTGTCTGTATAAACTATGGGAGTCATGACTAACGTCAAAAAAGACTTTTTGGTACGAAGCAGAGTCGAGGATGCTTCGTAAACTGGCGCCGTAGTATCCTCGCGTGGAGAACGCCTGGTTTGCGAGGAGGTTGACGTCGACGAGGAAAAGACGTCGGCGATATTCGGGCCCGTAGCACAGCATGATCGCCAAGAGGTTGAGTTCGCCATTTACACCGAGACTGTTTGGCTCGATGTTGATGTAGAGTAGTGGCACTTGTTGACTTTCGTGGGAGGAGTTGAGAACTGCGATACCGTCGGCGAGGGACTTTACACCCTGGATCGTGTTGACGTCCTCGACATCTGGGGTTGACTGTTCCATTTCAGTTGTCGGCTTTGTAATAAAGAAGAGTTTTTATATCTGTCGTTGCTTAGACTCGTTGGTCTGTATGAGGGGTTGAAAAGGTGTAGGAATAACAACGACTTGGTCACACGGACTTTGTAGAGCTGTTAATATGGTCTCATATTCTTTTCTCTCGCTCTATATATATTCCCTCGTCAAAGAATTACTTTCGTGACGCGGTGGGAGACCTTAACCTTTGATTCATTGATCTGATTTACTTCAGACCTAATGTGTTGGCCAAACAGATCATACCAGCTCCAAAATGGCCAAGCTTTGATCCACTGCTCCTCTATCAAAGTATCGACCATGTGGCAAACTTCCAACGTATCAGCTTTTTTAAGTACAATTCTAAGAACTGCGCACGAAAGTAAAGCTGTCGCAGTCCGTGTAATCAGCCCCACGGTACCAAGAGAACCCTAACTTTAAACCTAGGGTTGTTTTCTACAGGTAACTCACATGTTCGGCTAGATCCGGGCGCAGGGCCATGCGCTTCAGAAAAGTCATTACTGATATCATGGGACTTTCTCTTATTTTCAGGGATCTCATTCAGCCCAGTGACAGAATAGGGGAGTTATTGATGACGCTATTTGATCAAGCGCGACACTTTAAAGTTCTAGATTTCGGGAGTGGATCAGACACCATATCACCAGTGCAAGAAGGCATATCGCGACTGAATAGTTATTGAAATAAATAATGTAAGAAAATGAGAAGCTCGCAAATACTTCCGAGACCACATCAACAGAAATCTTTTATGCATTTCAGCTATACTACTGTAACCACTTCTTGTTGCTGTGAAGTGCTGTCTTTATCACATACACCAGAAGAGGAAACGCGTTGGAAAATGACAGCCACAGTCCCCGGCGCTACACTTGATTAAGCATAAATCTCTGATTCAGAACCTTTTTTCAATCGGCCACTATCCTCCAATAGGTTCCATGGCTGAGCTGAATAACGACCTAAGACCCGACACAATGGATCTATTTGGAAGCTATACGCAACTATCGTTTGTCCGCTCACAAGTCAGGGGCAAAGCGCAATACCCTTATCTGCCGTGTAACCGACAATTCGATGATTAGTTCAGACATAATAAGACTTGTTCCCAGAAAATTGCCATGTTTCTTTTCCTTTCTTAGCATCTGTATTAATCGTGAGTGTTCGTCCTCACAGCCACTCTTTCATCTTCCCTACACGCTCTTTAACGATGCGCTCCGTCGTAGCCCTCGCGGCTTTGGCCCTTAGCGGCGCCCTTGATCTCGCCGCTGCAAGTCACTGCAAACCTCGTCCTTCGCACGCTAGCTCCGCTACAACCGATCTCACTCCCTCCGACACCGCGACTTCAGTAGCTGCTTCCGAGACCGCCGGATCCGTCGTTATTAAGAGTGTCGTCGACGGTGGCGGTTTCTCCATCGCCCCTCCCGAAGGCGGTATCCCAGGTTTCACTGCCAGCGGTGATGCGACCATCGTCGTTGGACCAGGTTACAAGGGCGATGGTAGCAAAGACTCGGGCTGTCTTTCGCTGCAGGCTAGTGGTGATAAGAAGCGAGATCTTGGAAGCTTTGCTGGTGTTGCGCAGTCGCTTGAACTGCTGAGCTTGACCAGGCCTTATACCGTTCGCTTCTTCTACTTTGTCGTTACTGCCCCGTCGCTGAACTTTTGCCAATTGACTGCTTCGCTTGGTAGTCAGACCTTCTTCCAGACTTGGATCATCAGCTTTGGAACGAGTGTGCAGTGGGGTATGGCTCTGGAGCAGGTCACAGCTGCCCAACGCTCTGCACCTCTGTCTATCTCTATGAACTGCTTGGTTGGAGGCTCTGCTCAGGTTTACGTTGACTCTCTTTTTATGTCTAACCAGGTTACACCTGCGACTATTGATGACCATCCTCTTGACCTTGGTGATGGAGATGTCTCTGACTTCACTACTACTTCATCCCCGGCTGTACAGACGACTACATCTAGCAAGGTCGGAACTACCTCTCTACCTCCCATCATTCCAACCCATACTCAGAGCTCAGATTCTTATTCCAACTCTGCTACTCCTGGTACTGGAAGTCCCAACACCCAATCTGCTGGCAATCATACTCCAGTCACTGGTAGCCCTCACACTGTCCCCACTGGTAATAATACTCCTGGCCCTGTCGACAGCCAGACCTCCGCTGGAGGTAACACTCAAGCTACTTCACAGCCTGGTCCTCAGACTCCTGGTTCTCAAACTCCAGGTGCCCGGACTACTACATCAAGCAGCGAGAAGCAGACCAGCACCGAGTCAGCTGCTACAAGCGCCACTACATCAGGCGGCAGCTCCTCCCCCCGTCAGTCCTCGACAATCAAGCCCGATGGTCCTGTCAGCCGCGTCTGCGCCAACGTCGGTACATCCTCCATCGAGGGTCGCGGATGCGGCATACAGCCTTACAACAGCGCCGGAGCATACAGCCGCTTCACAAGCAGTAACTATCAGAAGGAAGACTGCGCTGCCCTTTGTCTCGCTGATGAGAATTGCAAATCCTTTGAGTGGAGCTACGGGAACAACTGTGCCAACGAATGCCGTCTCATCGCCTCTGTCTTGAGCGACGTTCCTGTCGGTAACACTGGTACCCAGTTCACCTCTTACGACCGCAGCTGTATCATCTCCAAACCCTGCCCTAGCTTCCCCGAGGATAGCATTTGTATCAACAAGATGGGTGACACTCCTAACAAGGGCTGTGTCCGTCGTAAGGGAACGCTCAAGTCTTGTGCTCAGGAGTTTGCGACTCTTACTGTTCAGCCTTGCGGTGGTGGTGATCAATGTAGAGACATGTGCGCTATGTATGCTGATTGCCAATCTTACTCTTACACCAATCTCCTGTCTCAGAGGAACTGCAAGCTGTATGCTGGTACTACCGATGAGATCACCGAGGAGGGAGGTAGTGATTACTTCTCTGATATCGGCTGCTGGGCTTGCGGACAGAACATGGGTTTCGCCACTTACGGTCTTCTCACAAATGACAATGTTGTCCTCCCCGAGATGACATGTCAGGCTCCTACCAAGGCTGTAGCTGATACACCTACCACTTTCAACACAAGAACCACTCAGGCCGCTGAGTCTACTTCTTCTTCTTCACCTGCTATCCAGCAGCCCCCAACCACTACCACAGAGTCTGCCAGTTCTACAGCTACCATCATGACCTGCCCCACTGGCATCGCAGCCCCCGGCTTCTGCCAAAAGCTTGACAACCTCCCCACCCAATCCGTCTCCATCCCTGGCATCTTAGACCACTGGCCCCAGAGCGACAATGATGTCGAGCCTCCAGTCCAGCGAACCTGCAACGCCTTCGGTGTTAAGAAGGGCAGCTGGTGGGGACGGGGTATCCAAGAAAACGCACGTCAGACCACCATGGAGGACTGCGCCCTTCTATGTCGTGAGCAGGGTTACTGTGAGGCCTTTGGTCTTGATGATACCGACCCAAATCGTGTCAGTTGTGCTCTGTCGACTTATAAGCTTGGTACTGAGGGTATTGACATCGACGTTCCTTATTCCTTCTGGTGGAGTGACCTGGACTGTTATGAGTGCCGTGACTGTCAGGCTGCTTGAGGTCAATGATGTGTCTAGAAGCTCCATTGCTGTACATATTGAACACTATTATCTCAGTGCATTTTACTTTTAGAGTCACTACACAAAGGATAATAACAATACTAATTGGCATATATAACGAATTGTCTCATCAGGAGAAGCCCTTAACTACAATATGACTAGTGACTACTTAGCTAGAGCTCGGACATGTACAAACGGAGTTGACGCAATTGGCGCATGTAGAGGTCAGGTTGTTATCAACATTTGAGAAGTTAAAGGGTTGCTAAGGCGATTAATTGATACTAGATACTAAAAATCAGTATAAAACTTCCATATACTCCTAGGCCCAGAAACGTCATTATTTACAAACCCAGATAACAGTTATTACTCATAGCACTCTGGAGCAAGTTTGTGACGCATCAAAACCTCTCGATGGGGCCCAAGAATGACTTTTGCCTCCATCCCCTTCTGCAAGATGTGTACCAGCTGATGAGGCTGAGACCAAGCAGCGTGATCTCTCGTCAACCAGCCCTGCGTGCTCAGATTATCATAATTCTCCTGCACAATTTACAGATCTAAAGGGAAGATCCAGGTACCGCTTTCTTTTAAATTGACCTGCATTATGCAGAGTCCCGGAGTATGACCGGGGCATAAGTGCACTGTGATACCGCACTGTGATACCGCGTGCGATGAGGATACTGTCGCCTTAGAGTGGCGTCCAGTTTAGGTCGAATTGGAGATAGACTCCTGCGGAAGCTGGTCAATTTATTGCGATAGGTGTTTAGTGATACAAACCAATAACTATCGTGGTTGCCACACAGTAAAAAGCACTTTTGAGTTGAACGTAAATATGCACATCGGTACCTCTGAAATACTCGAGTCCACCTACGTGATCCAAGTGCAGGTGGCCAGTGATAGCGCCCTTAACGTCTTTGATGTCATAGCCAGTCTTTTTGATAGCTGCGTCAGCTCCATGTTTTAGCTATACTCGCCTCTGGCAAAGATATCGGCACGTTGAGGACCGGGTGAGCGCTTAATTGCGTAAAAATACAAGAACCAGAATCGTGTCTGCTGTAAGTGACCCATGGCGTAGGTAGCTTATCACGACTTCTATTACCTTGCTGGACTCTGTTAGTGGATCACCGTACCCAAGCGTCGACTGGAACCTAAAGACTGGACACGGAAAGATATGAGCTGATGAACCTTGATGTATCTCTATTGCTGCTTCTAGTTAAAGGAATGAAGTCTATGTATTAATTCTAAAATTACTTAATGAGCGGGTCTATTATATCATTTGAGTCATGAACCGTATGTCGTATATCCTTTCTCATCCTCATGCAAAAACTCATCTAGTAAGTGTAAACCTGCTCGGGACCAAGATCGCCAAACTCTCCGGACCCGAAGGGGTTGGTAGGAGTGGCCTTCTGGCCGATGACGTTGGGAACACCAAACCAGGCGATGTCATTACCCTTGACAACGGAAACAACAGCAAAGGCAGGGGCAGGTTCTGTCACATATCCCCAAGAGACAGTAAGTTCAGACCCATCAGTGCAAGGCTCGTTAGACCAGCTCTCGGTAGCAGCGTCTTTGCCGGGCATACGGATAATGGTACACTTCTCAGTCTTGCCGTCGGCACCGGCGATCTCAAAGTTATAATCACAGCCTTCATTGCCCTCGCCGCAGTAGCGAGTAAGATCCTTGATGGTCCAAGTCTCACCTTCAACAGGCTTGGGCTCCGGATAAGTAGTACCCTCAGAACTGGTACCGTCAGGTTTGGTGCCCTCAGAGCAGTCTTCGGTAGGAGCGGGGACGGGAGCGGGTTGCACCGCAGTCTTGGAGGCCACGGGGTACGTGAAATAGCTTGATGGGCAAGATCCGGGGTGAGCAGGGTTGCAGCCTCCAGGGATCCCAGAAATAGAGGTAAAGGTCTGAGCCGGAGCGGTATAGGTCTTGGTAAAGTATGAAGAGGGGCAGGAACCAGGGTGCGCAGGGTTGCAACCGCCGGGAATACCGGGAATGGAGGTGAATGTCTCGGCTGGGGCAGTGTACTTGTTGGTAAAGTACGATGAAGGGCATGAGCCGGGATGGGCAGGGTTGCATCCTCCGGGAATCTCAGTCTTGGTTGGCTCAACAAGCGATGCGGTAGCAGAAGAGCACCACTCGCGGATGCGAGCGCTATCTTCGCCAGCGCAGGCAGTTAGAGTGCATGAGCAAGCGACCTCTGGAGTTCCCGCGGCGATGCAAGACTTATAGTCATCCTGGCACTTATCAACGGTGGAGAGAGGGGCAGCAGAGACTGTGGAGGCCACGGCCAGGGCGATGATGAGCTTGTTCATGATGGACTCTGGATGCGCAGGACTGATGTGTAGTTTATAGAGCCCGTGGAGATAAAAGAGTTGAATATTTGTCTTAGGTATAGAGATGTAAGGTGATCAGGATGATGGATATGATTCAGTCTGAAGGCATCAAGTTTCATTTTATATTTCCATCTCTTCCTTCTTCAACCCGAGTATCTATCAATCAGCTGCCCAGCCTCTCGTATAATTAGAGTTTTCGTGATCAACAGTCATGAACAAATGATATCATAAATGTTCTAGCGCGGAAAAAAAGAATCCACGTTAAACCTTAGCCATCCCCATATTGTTTAAGTGCAGTCCCAAACGAGCAATAGGCTATGCCAAGCCTCGTATCCGACATCATAATCATGCTGAAATAGAACTGCCCACATTCATCCCAGCCGATTTTGTTGTGGCTGGAAATCTGGCGTTGCCGACGAACCGACCGACCACTTTCGGGGGCGCTGCTATCTGATCTACAGTATACACGATTCCCAGCTCCACTAACACGAGATCAAGACCATCACAGCTCTTCAGCAGCCGATCATGTGAGATATCCAGCTACTACTATTGGAGCGCAAAGTTCGAGTAAGGTGCGCACGATGCAGATATCGGCTGTCAGGTCTATCAAGTCAAAATGACACTCATATAAAGAGAGTTAAGGCAGTGTACCAACTACCCACACAATTGGCCACAGGCGAGGTTCACCCCACTTTGGACTCGCTGTCTTGGGGTTCAAAGTAACGGCATACATAGATAGAAGAGTGGCAAATTTCCTCTCAGTAACCCAAGCAAATGCCCGCCATCACTTACACTTCTAACGGCATAAAATTACAAACAGCACATAGTCCTCCAGGCTTCATATCTGTGATCCCGCCTGCGGAGTAAGTACAGCGATTATGGTGCATGGCTCTTATATCTCATCAAGAACAATGCTCTTGCACACAATCGTTATCTGCCCTATTGACTTTCAGCGCTTTCGCATTCTTGGTTGGAATATGAATAGCAACAGCGAGAAAAAGTTGTAAAGGACGATGAATTCCAACAGTATGAATTGCAAGTTAGTGTAGACAGTCGGCTAGATTCAATTGAGATATAGTCTTTGATATCCGACAGGAATTAAGTAATCAGTTTAACGATATTAGCTATAAGGATAAAAAATATAAAATTTAGTCCCAAAAAGCATGAAGGAACCAAGGTCCTTAGGGAATTATACCCCTTCATCTGTCATCACAGACAGCATTCTGATCCCACCAAGGCTAGACCTCTTACCCTGGAATGCTTGCCACAACCCTCACATTGGCATTTCCATTTCACAGGAAGATGGTACTATTTGGTCAATTACGATACTATAATTCTTTGAATTAATGCTTTTTACTTAATTGAAGCTACATGTTCACCGATTTCCGGTCGTCCCAAGTAAATGGGGGCGGTTGTTGAAGGCCGACGGCCGTCTTCGGGGGGGATAATTTCTACCCACTTGAAAGAAGGCCATTCCTAGGAACATGGTATAAATCACGACAATATGATTTTATTCTGAGACCTTAGAGTGGCTGCAGGCAATTCTTTCGCACTTTTCAACATTACTTAATCGCCAGGACAAGTGGTATTCCTACCGGAAATTTGGAGTACTGTCAACTGATTGTACGTTTAACGCTGTTTGTAGGGTCAATGTAGTCCTCTAGGCGCAGCCTTGTATACCATAGATATTTGTAATACTCCTGTACGCCCCATCCGCCATAGGGGAATACCTCCCGATTTATTTACAGCTTAACGTTGGCTTTATTGACGCCTCCACCAATGCCACTGCCGGCAGCCTAGTCGCTCCTTGTAATTAAGTTTCAAGACATCCTCAGAAGAAGACTTTATATACACGATTGATACTCTGATAAGACTGAGAGCTTAAGAGAGGCCTCAGCTCCAGGGCACAAGGTAAACAACAGCAGTATACGATTGGTACAATACACCATGACGGTGCTACGTGTGCCGGCTTTCTTCAAGGTAAATATCTACGTACAGAAAGGCGATGGATCATACTGAATCTCTATGTCACAATGCCCAACGTGATCATCGCTTAGCCAAGACATGGCACAATAAAGAAGAGACAGTAGAGGAAAGAAGCACCTTTATTATTTATTGGCTCAGATATACTGTGTGCCCTCTAGGCCAGATGCGGAATCCATTGCGCGATTTCCTGGCCCCTGCCACTTGATCGCCATGATTACCCTGTACGTCGAGAAACATGTCACTGGTGCTTATGACACATCACTTCCAACGGTCCTCAATTACCAGGGTCCTGTGCCAAGTTCTTACCCCGGCTCGCATCACCGATATCCGAAAATGCCCTGATGCAGAATCTGATTACTAGCTCTTACCATTTTCTCAAGCACTTGGGTTGCGTATCATGATCTAAGAGGTGGAATATAATCCTTTAGTGCATGCGCATCAAATCAATCACGCGGTACTGTTTGCAAGAGTCGGACGAATTACTGATCCTGCTGATCGTTGATCCGACCAGCAAACTGTAATCGGGCGTAAGCACTATAACCCAAAGCTTCAACGTCGATGCAGTCCCCTGTCAGTGACTTTGCCTGTTACGGCTTGTGCATCGTGCGGCTGAGGATCAGCGTCAGCGATCATCAAACAATCAGTAAAATGACTCGAGAATACGAGTCAAAACCCCATCATTCTCTTCACTAATAGTCAATCTTGATAGACATAATTTCAAGGTGAAATATAAAACAATCGCAAAAGAAAAGAACCCAATCGGGCCCTGGTGTCATGATGGATATTCTGCCTGATCATCGTCGACTTACAGACTATGAACGCCACAAGGCGCTATTCACAACAGCTAATGCACGCCCGGACATTCCAGTCACATAAGGTTAATTGTCCGCCCCAGCCTCTGTTCACTTTCGGTATAGCATTGAGCAGGGCAGCGAGATAAAGGCTGCACTCTCTTAATTTCTCAGCCTGATTGCTCTTGGCAAGGTTGACGGTCAGGGCAGATCCTCGATCATCGCACCACAGAAGAGGGGTAATGCGCTGGCAACGAGTTATAAATGACTGCTGAGCGCCACGGCCCAGCCTCGCTGCGGGAAGGGCTTTTAGGCTTGACTAACCTTTATTCTTTTCCTGAGGTTTGAATCAGACATTTGCACAGCATGCGGTTCTCTCAGATCGCGCCCCTTGCCCTTTGGGTAGGTCAAGGTTCGGCGAGTGGTGGTCAGCTCTTCCACGACACTTTCCAATTGAATGAGCTACCGAACATGGTGTCACTGGCCGATGCCAAAATGAAAGACATCGTACTCCCCGACTCCCTGTCTGACTTCACCGAGTGGATCGGGGGCATCGCAGAACCGCAGGCCTTTGGCTTACAGCCCAGGCAAAGGCAATGTGTCGACCCAGGTTACTGTATGTTGATCACCAGAATTCCATAATCGGCCTTTGCTGACAAGACCTTAGACCCATGCTCAAGCGGTCTCGGATGTTGTCCCGGAGGCAGCACCTGTATCTCCACCGGCTGCTGTCGCGGGAACGCCAAAGAATGCGGCTCAGGCCGCTGTTACGATCCATCATCACAAATCTGCTGCAGCAGCGGCACGGCGTGTTTGAAAAGCCAGACTTGCGTCAGTGGAGGATGCTGCAGCAGAGGTGAGACCAAGTGCGGTTCATCCGGATGCTACAACCCGAACACGTCAGTTTGCTGTGGTGGCGTCGGTAGAAATTGTCCCAAGGGGTATGACTGCATGCCAGGCGGTGGGTGTTGTCCGTCTGGTCAGAAACGATGTGGAAATAGCAAGTGCTATAACCCGCGAACAACAACCTGCTGTACCGGCCCTGGAACGGTGTGGGCCTGTCCAAAGTCTAGTGACTGCTGTTCGACTGGATATTGTGCCAATCCCTCAACCCAACGGTGTTGTAAGAATGGTTCGTGCTTAAAGGGTACCACGTGCTGCGAGAAAGAGTGCTGTCGATCAGGGGGCTACTGCGGTTCTGATGGATATTGCAAGCCCTGTCCTGCTGCCACCAAGACGATCAAGTCGACGGATACAGTCACAACAACCAAGATGAAGACTGTGCGCGTTACAACCGACATCGAGCCCGAGACCGGCGACGCCCCTGAGTTTACCTGCGTCCCCATGACAGCTACAAATGACGAAGGTGCGACACTGGAGCTTGATGAGGGATGCACTCTGCATTACGAACCTCCTGAAGCTACCACCACTGATGACAGCGCCGCTCGTCTTCGTCGCGATGTCGCAACAGCACCCGCCCACGTCAACAGAGGAATCAACCTCTTGGGTAGACAAGTTTCCTGCACACCTTTCACAACCTATACGAGAACGGAATGGGAGACCGAGACCGAGACTGAAACTGGTACAAAGACCGTCACGGTGCAAGGCGAAGATGCGACGTTCTCATGTCCTGAGATGGAAGTCACCAATGATGTCGGCGATACGCTTGCTCTTGATGCTGAGTGCGTTTTGTCATTTACGCCGGCTGAACCAACGAGCTCTGAGGAGGGAGCCTCGGCACAAGATCAGCCGACGAATGTCCCGGCTGGAACTGGGGAGAGTACTACTACGGTGACAGCTACTGCAGGAAGTGGAGGCTCAAATGACAATAGTGGTTCGATTGGGCGGGTTTCTTTGTCACTGATGTTGAGTTTTGCGGGAATTGCTTTGTTGAACATGTTCATCTAGTCTGATTACGCCTATCGGTAGCCAGTTACGAGATTTTGACGTCGCCTCGACCAATGTTCTTTGCTATACGCTCAAGAATGATGGGGAATCTCCTAGATCAAAACAATTAAACATGAATTCAAAAAATACGGCTCTGAAGAGCATCGAGTAAGCCAGATATTGTTTTGTGCAGTACCTCTCTACCTTGAACTATTACGGAGAGAACGAACTTCAGAATCTGTCACAGGGTAAGCAGGATTGTGCCGTGAATCACCTCAGGTTTTGGAGGTAACTTAATCGCCAGCTAAAGAGTAGACATAATTTCAAGACTTATTCAATATGATATATATGTCTGCGACTACAACCCGAGCATTTATAAATCCTCTGAAAACAAGAACGAGGCAGGTTGAACTTGTCACGACAGAGATTAAGGATAGCCAAGCCAACGGAAGAATTAATGACCCGGGTTTCACCAAGCGATGATAGCCGCCATTGGTGGAAACCCCCCTTTCGTGGGACCATGGCCGTCCAATCTTAGCTGAGTATTTAGTTGGCTCAGCGCCACTCGCTCACGAGACCAACTGGAGAAAATCCTTCAGTTCTTTTCGTTAAGCTTCTCTCACGCGGGCTGTGAATTTTGACCCGAGTTGATTGCCTGGGGACTATTAACTGCGCTGGCCGTAGACTTATTTTGACATATTCATTTCTTAGAGGGACTTTCAATATGTCTTACTCTCAGAGCAAGACGCAGGCCAATCAACATGGAGAGTCAGAGGCTTCATCTCTACTGGCCCCAGCCGCCGACACAGAAGACTCTTCTTCAGAAACATCCTCCGAAACCAGCTCAGATTCCGACTCAACATTTTTAGAAAAACTACAAAACTTCTATTCTAGAAACATTGGCTTATTCTACGTCCTAGTCGCCCAACTATTCGCCTCGATCGTAAGCACGCCACTCCCGCGCCCGATGAAACCGTCATACTAACAGACTCAGATGTCCATGACGACGCGACTTCTTGAAACGGGCTTTGAAACAAAGTTTCACGCTCTGCAGATAATTTTCGTTCGAATGCTGGCTACGGCGCTGATTGGCTCTGTTTACATGTGGTGTAAAAACGTACCGAATTTTCCTTTGGGGCCGAAGGAGGTTAGGGGCTTGTTGGTGCTGAGAGGGTTTGCTGGCTCAGCTGGGCTTTTTGGACTTTACTGTGAGTGTTCCTTGATGGATTTCCCTAAGGAGGGACTCTACTAACGTATTGTTTAGACTCATTGTCGTATCTTGACATTTCTGATGCGACTGTCATCACTTTCCTTGTCCCGACTCTTACTGCGTTCATTGCATGGGTTGCCCTCCGCGTAAGTCCAATCTCCATCTTTGATGCCGGCTTCAGCTGACTCAGTATCTAGGAACCATTCACCGTCAAAGAAGCAACCGCAGGGTTCATCGCCTTCGCAGGCGTCCTCTTCGTCGCCCGCCCAGCCTTTCTATTCCCCGAAAGCTGGCGGACACTATCAGAACTCGAGTCTCGTGCTGTGGACCCCGATTTCACTACTGATGGTGGTATCCTACCGCCGGTAAAGGCAACACCTCAAGAGCGCACCATTGCTATCCTGTGCGCCATCTTCGGTTCTTTTGCAGCGGCGACGGCGTATGCGACCATCCGCGTGATCGGCAAGCGGGCCCATTCGCTCGTCAGTGTCAATTACTTCGCTGTGCTTGCGACTGTTAGCTCGTTTCTGATCATCATGATTCACCCAGATCTTCAATTCGAGATTCCCAAGACTGTCACTGAATGGTATGTAATTCGAACCCTAAGCTTAGAGTCTAGGACTGATATAATCAGGTGTTTACTTCTTTCGATTGGTATCTCTGGCTTTCTGCTCCAGCTCCTCCTCACTGAAGGTCTTCAGAGAGAAAAGGCTGGTCGAGCCACCAATCTCATTGTAAGTTCCTGCTTGACAAGGCCTTCGTGAACAATACTAACTCATTACAGTACGTTCAGATGGTCTTCGCCCTGATCATCGAGCGAATCGTCTGGGGAACCACGCCTCCCATCACCAGTTTCATTGGCAGTGCTCTGATCATTGGGTCAGCTATCTGGGTCAGCCTACAGAAGAAAGCCCCTGCTGATCCAAGACCACTGCTTGATGAGGAAAGAAGACAGCAATGATAGGAGGAGGCTCTGTCAGCACGTCTATTAATGGAGAGATCTCACAGACTACCGAAGGGAAGGGTAATCATACTAAATGGGTTATACGCCAAAAGCAGACTGCGGATCAGGCTTCTCGGCCACTACTGGAAATACATCTATATGCTAGCTGCGTGCTTGCAATATAGATAATTCATGTACAAACTAATCACGTTGCATATATAAAAGACTTTTATTTGTCAATTATGAACCATGCTCTAGCGTCACTCCTTCGGCAAGCTCAACTTGCACCTTGAATATCACATGATGCGGCTAACTTCGCTTCTTCGCCTTCGCGATACAAGTCGGGCAAGTCTCTATACGATTATGCCGCTCCACCGAAGACTTTCCGCAGGCGCCCCATTTGTTTTTCCTGCGACCCGTACTGCACATCTTGTAATCTCTGTCTGCTCTGTGATCTCTGCCGCATTTGGGGCATTCATAGTTGTAGACTTCTTCGGTGCACATAGTAGACGTCTGCTGTGCTTTTATCGATTTGTGTTTGGTAGTTACGAATATTATTAGAGATTTTGCGGTGTACTACGATGGGAGCGAGAACTTATATACCTTGAAATCATGTTGCCACATCGTGAATATTTACGTAGAAGTCTTCCAGGCCGCTAATATGAGCAGGTGTCATACTTCGTGGACTGCTCTCTGATCATGTGAGAATATGATTTCGACGCCCTTACTCTGGTATCTCTGAAGGGCGACCGGAAACACATTTCGTTACGCATTTTCTGTAAGCACCCGAGGACCCGTGTTCTACATCATGTCATCACAACTCTCGCATAATTTTATGGTACATCCTTCGACAACCGGGACAAGAAAGATCATATTAGCCACATTGTAAGTCTGAATGTTTTCTTGATTAAACCCTCTCCGAGCTGCCCTACTTTTTCTTTGCACAGGTGCCGCACTTGTCCTTCCAGTACTCATGCTGGATGTTATACTTCTCGCAAGCACCCCATTTATTCTGCTTTCTCCCCACTTTGCACATTTTGAAGTCTTTGTGTGACTTAAAGTCCTTTCCACATACTGTGCACTCCCATGTATTAACAATCCCTGTACACATGATTGGTAGTGTATTGTAGGATATCACTTAAGGAACAAGCTATCGGTGAAATTATGATAATTGGAGGTTAGAAATGTCTCAAGATTGCGTTTGATAAGTTCAAATAATTCAGGTAGTTCAAATACTGGTGAAAAAGGCGTGTTCGATGGAGGCTGTGCAATGCTCAGTGAACATTGAATGAACGCTCACCTTGTCAAGGTGCCTCGAAATCTTAACCAAGGACACTGTTTCACCTACGGCTTTAACATTACTTTTTGGCAAAGCGGGCAATCCTTTCTAATCATTTGCTCGAGAAATAAAGGCCGTCAGTATTGCCCTATTGAGTTCTTTGTGCTGCAAACTCTGACGTCAAGGTTTCTTCAAATAGTCTCTGATTCACAGCCGCCACATCTTTGCCCTTCCCCTCCTCCAACAGCTACCTCAACCCATTGTTAATCTTTCTCATATTACATACACACCGCTCACGTTCCACTCATCACCATGAAAGTCAAGATTGTCGGCGGCAAGAACAACTTCTGGCTCTGGACCAAGAAAGATGGCTTCGATCTTACCCACCCGCCAACTCCAGATTCACCACCCATCTACCCCAGAATCACTCTCAACACGCGCGCTGAGAAAGCCACCATCGACCCTGCAAAAACAGCTCTCGTCGTCAGAGACATGCAGAAATATTTCCTTTCGCCTCTTCTCGGTCGTCCTCCCAAAAGTCCTGGTCTGGCGATCGTAGAAAAGCTCGTTAAGGACGTCATTCCCGTCTGTCGCAAAGCTGGCATACCAGTTGTGTGGCTTGGCTGGGGTGCGAAAGACAGTGACCTAGACGATATGCCCCCGAGCATCGCGAGAGGATTCGACTTTCCTCTCGACAAGAACTTTGTCAAACCGACATTCCTGGGAAGTATCGGTGCCGAAATTGGACAAGTCAAGTGCGAGGACGGAACACTCATCGACGCGGGTCGAGTCATGATGCGAGATCAGTGGAACACCGAGTTCCATCCCAGTCTGAAGAGAATCGCAGAGCCGCAAGACATTCACATCAACATGAATCGACTTCAAGGGTTTTGGGGAGGGGACTGCCATCGAAGATGCACTGCGTAAGCGAGGTATCAGAACTGTGCTGTTTGCGGGGGAGAACACGGATCAGTGCGTCGCTGCGACTATTCAAGACGCTTGCACGAAGGGTTGGGATTGCCTGATGCTCAGCGATGCTTGTGCAACGACAAGTCCTGACTTCGCCAAGAAGTGCATTGAGTATAACTGTGAAGGAGGCTGGGGCTTTGTGTTGAGCTGCAAGGACTGGGCTGATGGCGTGGATGCTATTGATCGGGGAGTTTAGATGCGTGATGGCATGGAATGATTGTGTTAAAAGAGCAGGTAGTTTGTGTTTAATGAGATATAAACCTATTCGCAAAGTCATGCAACCATATTAGAATCAACAACGCCAGAACGCAATCCCAATTACCATGTGTCTCTACTTCTTCCCAGCCGAGATCATCGAATCATGACTCAAAATCCCCACAAGCGTATCTCTCTTAATACACTTCTCAAACGAAAAGCTACTCGCCAGCTCCTCCAACTTTTCCTTGCTCTTATCTCTGAACAGCTCTGCCAACTCCCATCCCACATACTCACTCATCAAGCACTCCCGAATCACCCGTTCAAACTGTCGTTCAAAAGTCCAAATCTTGGGATACTTTGTATCTCTGTACTTCTCCAGCACCTCCTCCTTCAATCCCTGAATAAATGGTTCGTAGAGGTGTTTGACGCCATCTTTGTTCACGACGCCCCAGAAATCAAGACCGAGACGCTGCTTCTTGGCGATGAAGGGCGCGATGAGATGCATGTAAGAGGACTCGGGATCGACGTATACCATACCTTGATAACCAACATCTTTGTACAGCCAGATAGACCAGTTTACGTCAGTTTCTCTGTAGATAGCCAACTGCTCCTGTAGCAGATTAAAGCGCTTGGCGTTGGTCTTGATAGCTTCATCACCCTCCTTATGCTCATTCTGATAAACAGGACCAAATTCTCCATTCCAAATCGGCACGTTCTTCTCCCTCATGAACTGCACCTTTCTCTCAAAGCTCTTCCTCAGCTTCGTATTCTGTTCGTCCGTACCCTCATACTGCTCTCCAAGGGGGAAACCATAGAAGCTGTAGTCGTGACAGGCATACACAGCATTGGGAAGAGGATTCTCAGGAAAGGCGCGGAAGTCCATTGCGTATGTGTTGCCGTCGATGAAGATCATATGATCGGGGTCGATGGCGCGGACTTCTTTCTCGGTGCGCTCGTACCATTTTACGAGCTTGGCGCCGTACTGGCCGGATGAGGTCTTGGTTTCGTCGGCGGGTTCGTTGAGGAGGTTGTAGCCTGCGATGACGGGGTTTCCCTTGTAGTGGGCTGCGAGAGCTTTCCATAGTTGGATGGCTCTGTCTTGGTGGTCCTTAAAGTCCCAGAACGCCGCTCGTGAAAGACCAGAATCACTGTGCCAATCTTGGTTCTGACCTCCAGGAACGGCATGGAGATCAAGAACAGCGTAGAGGTTATGTCTTCCGCAGATATCTACACAGCGATCTAACCAGTCAAAACCCGATTTCTTGAGATTATCAGGATCCATATCATCGATAAAATGACGATAATTGAAGGGGATGCGGATACAGTTCAGACCCAATGACGCAAAGTAAGCGGCATCGGAGTCTGTGAAGAAATGGTATAGAAGCCTGTCAAAGAAGAAGTTTGCTTTTTCTTCGCCCATGACTTCGGCCATTTGTTGTCTGTGCTGGTGTTCGTGGCCTGCGTAGCCGGTGATGAAGTTCTCCATGTTGAGCATGCCGCCGATGGCAGCGCCTTTGAGGATGACGGTGTTGCCAGAGGGGTCGACGATGCGACTGCCCTCAGTATGAAGCATTTTACATGTTGATGGTTTCTGAGGGGTTGTTTTGGGGACGGCTTCGTAGGAGCCGGAGTTGTCTGCTGTTGCGACCATGGTAGAGAGTGTGAAGTATTGGTACGAAGAAAGAGAAGATCGGAGAATGAATGGTGAATAGATGATTAGGGAGTCAATAGATCGTGATCTGAGAGGTCTACTTGTTCCCGAAAGTCACTACAGCCTTCACCTAAATAGTCCATACGCTCAAAGTGGAGTGTTTTCTTACGAGCGACACTCCCCGACAGGATCCGCCACGACACCACCACGAACCATTTCCCCGGGATCCCCATTTTTCACCAAGACTATGACTCGCCTAAAATACGGGGAAGCACGCTTTAACCAATTCATTATTGTACATCACAAGTTAAACGTTCAGCCCATGCAGGACCTCCTCCAAGAAATTCCGATGGTTCGACAATCCCGGGACATCATCTTCCCAAGCCCTCAAAACCTGCATGATCCTCTCACACGCATCCCTCCACCCCGCGGGCATTCCCGATCCCAAGAGCCGCGCTGCAAGCAACACGGTCGCTGATCGGACTAGAGCCCGAATCATAAGCCACGTCCCATGATGACGATGCAAAAACCCTGCTTCATTGACTTCAACATTAAGAATATGGTACTCCAAGCCTTTTTCTACAAATTGACGCCCGGGAATTGGTGTGGTTACACCGCGTTCCAAGGCAGCCAGGTGAGCCATTACAAACGGCCAGTACAGACGCTCGAAGAAGTTTACCAAGTGCCCACGAAGGACAAAGCAGCATACATTATCGTCGATTGGCGCTGAAGCAATCGAGAGTTCCGGAGGGAGACTTTCGGCCCATTCGTTGGCTTGCGTTTCGTAGGCGGGTATGAGAAGGGAGAGTTGCTTGAGGAAATCGAGATTTGAAGTTGATGCGCGATGGAGTTCGAGTATATCGTTGCACGTTCTGCTTGAGAGACGTCGGAGGGATATTTCAGAGAGGTAGAATAGCCATGCTGTGTGTTGACGACTTGATGCCGTGGTCTTGGTAGACTCCAAGGGATGAGGAGGTGTTGGGAAGAATGGCGGATACAGCACGCTCGAAGAATACGGCATGCTAAAGTCCGGAAGAGATAGTTCTCCTCGTAGTTCCCGTTCAGACTTCCAAGCAGACCAGTATACAGCTTCTTGCTGCGTCTCACCCAATTCCGGTCTCGCTAGATCTGCCCCATCCATTGCACTAAGAGACTGCGCTCTCTGCAGGAACGGCAACGTCTGACACGTCGCCAAGGCCTGCGAGAAATACCGCCACGCCTCAAAAGGTCTAAACGTACTCATCAAAAACACCCCCGACAAGAAAAAGCACTGCGCCCCGATAATATCTGATCTCGCCATCAGTGTCCCAATCCTCTTCTGCGCCGCCTGAAACAGCGCCTGAGCCTCCAAATATGGCGTCGAATCCGCCCTCAGATGAAAACTCGCATCCAGCGGCGTCGCAATCTTTCCAAGCGCGCAGATGATAAGTGTTAAGCATGACCCCGGCGACCAATCGATCCCGTCGATGACTACATTGAGAACTACTTTTCTGGCGGCTGCTTCCTCGAGGATGGGGTTTTTGCAGTGCACGTGATCGAAGAAGTTATCGAGAAGGGCTTTTACGCCTTGTGTGTCGAGATCTGCTATGTCGGCTAGGGATGTACAGCCGGGTGAGTAAGACGGGGATGGCTGGGGTGGATCGGGGTGGAGAGTTGTGTGGGATGACATGTCGCGTGAGAGGACGGACCAGAGGAGGAGGCTTTCCATCTTTTCGGGGAGGATGCTTCGTAGGGAGATGTCGCCCAAAGACTCTGGGGATAACTGTGTAGGAGACTCTTCGGGCAACAGCTTTTGCGCAACATCTTGATTGGCCGTATCGGGCTTCGGCTCGCGAATCAGCTTCTCCAATTCATCTAATCGTTCCAAGATCTTGAGACTCGCAGGGTCGAATGCCGATAGATCAACCGGGGACTGAATACACGTCGCTCCCACACTGACGCAGTACGAACAAGCCGGTTTCTGATTATCGCACTTTGTCTTCCTGGCCCGACACACTTGACACGCCGTATTGGCTCGTTTGCGGGGATAAAACGCTGTGCCCCTTGGCGCAGGTCTCTTCCCCGGCCGACGATCCGCTTCAGCTGACATGTCTGATGTTTGCGGGGACATGGTAAATGTGCAGAAACGTGGAGGAGGAGAGAGAAACAAAGTGGATTGCTGCGTCGGGGAATATCGCTCCTTATACCTCCTGACTCGTGACGCCGTAAAGTGGGCTCTCATCGGGGAATGTCGCTCGTATCAGCCAAACTGGGGTAAGCTCAGCATCCCCAGATTTTCGGTCTCCCCACAAACCCCAGACTGGTCTAGACCGTGTTAGCTAAAGCCAATTCTTTTTTTCTGCGCATGATTTTCGTGACATGCCATGTCAAACTTGTCAACAATTGCGACTATGGCCTGTCTTTAACCGGAAACTATTGATGATGCTACGCTCATGACTTGGTTGTGCAGCTGCATATAAGACTCGGCAGTTAACCCCATCTTTTATCATCCAGCATTCATCATCGGTTTCCACTTTATCTTATTAACTGCTTACTATCAACCATGGAGACGTCGAATACTACCGGCAAAGGAGATCTTGAACTCCAGGCCAAGGTCTCTGGCACTGAGTTCATTGATGCTAAGAGCCATGCCGTTGAGGCAGATCGTCAAGCGGAGCATGAGTTGACGCTCAAGCAATGCTTCCAAAAGCATCCCGCTATTGTCTGGTGGTGCTTCTACTGGTCAATCGCAGCTGTAGGCTGGTAAGGCAAACACCTATCCCATCTCCTCCCTTTTCACCACTGACTATTCACCATAGGGGCTTCGATGCTCAGATCAACGGCGCCATGATATCCGTCGCCGCCTTCCGACGCGACTTTGGGTACGCCCCTTACCCGATCCTCCCTCTCATCACCACTAACAAACCTCCAGATACGTCGAAAACGGCGAAGCGATCCTCCCTGCCGACTGGCAGACCGCCTTCAATTGTATCAGCTCCGTCGGCGGCTTCTTCGGCGGTTTCATGTGTTCCTGGATCTGCGACTACGTCGGCCGAAAGAACTCTCTCATCATGGCACTCCTCCTCGCAACGGGCGGTACGATCGGAGAGTGCATGTCCAACACCAACGTCGCTTTCCTCATGTCCAAGCTCATCATCGGTCTTGGACTTGGCTTCTTCCTAACGCTTGCCCCGTTGGCGACATCAGAGATCTCACCAGTGGTGTTTCGTGGTATTGCTACTGCGGGCGTTAACCTTGGAATCGCTATCGGCCAGTTGGTGTCAAATGGTGTCATCAAGGCCTTTGGCGAGAGGACGGATCATTGGGCTTGGAGGGGAGCACTGGCTACGCAGGGTATCTTTATCGTCATTCTTGCTGCTGGCTTGCCATTCGCTCCCGAGACTCCTTGGTATCTTGTCCGCAAGGGCAAGATTGAGGAGGCGAAGAAATCACTCATCCAACTCTACGGAACTGGTGTGGATATCGATGCGAAGCTCGCCACTATCAAGGAGACTATCGCCGAGGAACAAGCTGCGTCAGCTGAGGAAGCTTCTTGGATCCAGTGCTTCAAGGGAACCGACCTCATCCGAACCATGATCAGTATGGGAGTCTTTGTCTGCCAACACTTTGTCGGCATCATTTTTGTTCTCGGATACTCAACCTACTTCTTCCAACTCGCCGGTCTTGAGACCTCTCGCAGCTTTGATCTCGGTGTCGGCGTCACAGCATGCGGCGTTCTTGGCAACATTTGCAGTTGGTTCGTCGTCAACTCCTTCGGACGTCGCAAGATCTTTCTCTCCGGTATGGGAGCTCTGACAGTCCTTCTATTCCTCATCGGTATCATGGATGTCGTTCCTACATCAGCTGCCAAGTGGGTTCAAGCTGCATGCACCGTCATCTACGCCTATGTCTACTTCGCCACCGTCGGAGCCATGGCTTTCGCTGTTCTTGGTGAGACAGCCTCGCTGAACCTCAAAGCTAAGACAATGGCGCTTGCTACTGCCACCCAGTCTGTTATGGGTATCGCCATGAACTTTGCTATTCCATATATGGTCAACCCCGATGAGGGTAATCTCAAAGGCAAGGTTGGTTTCATCTTTGGTGGTCTGGGCTTGATCGGCTTTATCTGGAGTTGGGTTTACGTTCCAGAGCTCAAGGGGCGACGATATGACGAGATTGACCACATGTTCCACAACAAGGTCAGCCCTCGACAGATGGGAACCTATAAGCTGTAAGGAAGTGACCCTTGATGAAAGACAGGAGGGTTATGGCGATAGTTTGTGCTTTGTATCTGTACCATAAGATCTTAGCGCGATAGTAATTGGTAAAGAGTGATATTATATGGCGATTAAATAATTCAACTTCTATTCTAAGAGGCCCTGCATCTGATTTACAATAACACTGTATATTCAAACATCATTATCCCCTAACCATACCAGGCTTAATCCTACCCCTTTACCCAAAAGCCAGGCTCGAATATTTCGTCTCACAGTCAAGGCGAGATGCACCGCCAGTCAATGGTGATTCTAAGAAAAGGCAGCCTAGAATTACCATATGCTCAGTAAAACAAGTCATCGATATCCTTAATCGCATCCTCGAAACTGACTCGGATGTTCATCTGAAACCACCACCCGAAAAAAGAACACGCCGCCATGAAACCGGTGGCAACCCCCCCATAACAATCCACCCGTCGCTTGAGGTTCTCCGGTCTTTCGTATCGGAAGCTACATTGACGACAGCGTTATTCAGATTGAGCCACATCCCACTGTTCACGTAGCAGAAGCAGTTCCGAAAGACTCCAATGATCTGCATGAGAGTCGTCGCGATGCTAGTGAAGAGGGCTAGCAGAATCGTGATGCTGAACACCACAACGCATAGCCAGTGGATGACACGGTGCATCATTGTCTTCCGTTTCGTCTTGCGAGTGATTATGAAGTACAACGGTGTAAGCACCATCTGGAAGCCTGCATAAGTGACAAGGCTGAGTGACCGGCAGCCCCAGCCCCTTGGGGGAGTTTGCCACGCCACCACGGCCCCAGCCGCCGGCGGTAGGGAAACAAGAATGATGGTGGGCAGTATGATCCAACCTAGATAATCTCGCTTCTTGATTCGGACGTCATTCATGAATTCCTGAGAGCCACGCCGCCAAGCTCTCGACTTCTCGAGCCACTCCATTTTATTAACCCCCCGGCGCCACATAAACACTGGCTGAAGTATACCGTCATAGATGGGAGGGAATATCATTCTTCTTAGTGGCTTGCGAGTCGAGAGCGGCCGCCCAATGAGCATGGTAACTGGACTAGGGTTGTTGCTTGCAAGAAGGAACCCGTTGACGATTGCAACGTGTACGATAATCATCCATTCGACACCAAAGGCTAGGGAGATGGCGGCATCTTGGTTGCTCTTGTCGCCGAGTAGGTCCAGGATGGTGTAGATAAAAGCGCCGAGGTAGAAAACAACCGCTGCCCCGACGATGGCCCCGAAGGCAGACTGCGCCGTCATGAGCCTCTTGAGCTGTTCGGACAAGCTGGGATAATTCTGCTTTGCCTCGCTGTTCGGCAGCATGTCTGGTACGGGTAAGACTGAAGGCGTCTGGACAGGATGCAGTCTCATAGCGTTGAACCGACGTCTCCCCGTACCCAGTAGCGCGTTAGAAATCAACACAAGGTTGTTAGGCCAGGGCCTGTAGGTCTTGAGTACAAGGTTACCAGCAAGAACGGTCACCAGGAGTTCCACCTTATCCCTCAAGCCATCTAGTCCTTCGTGATCCTTATTGGGGTCAATTATACCAGCCGCATTATTCCCAGCAGCGCTATGGCCCATGGGGTCAAGAGGTATTCTCTCAGACACCCTCAGCCCATTGACGAATCTCTCCGGAATATATGTCCTCCTCTTCAACGCCTTCAATATCTTGAAGTCTAGCAGTGCTTCATGCAAGCCGGCAACCATCATCGGGCCTGCCATGCACATGATAGTCATAACCCATATAACGGTGTCCACAAAAACAAACAAGAGTGCCGGAAGCGTCAATACCAGCGACATAATAGCTCGTTTCCAACCACGTAGATTGGTCAAGACTAACATGTCTAGCCACTGCAGTGAAAGGAATTCGAATGTCCTAGGGATGTTCATGCTGAAGATGACTGATGGAAGGATAAACTGGACAATTGGCCCAGCCCACTGGTCTGCGTTTTCGACTCTGGAGACACCCCAGCCGCTGCATTCGCTCTTGCAGAAATTGTAAGTGACGTAAGCGTCAGGTGCGGCCGGGGAAGACTCGTTGTAGATCTGTCCGCAGACAATATTATCCATGGGAGTGGCGCTGCCATTATTGGGGGAGACAAAGGCATTTTCCTGGCGGGCTCTATTGCAGCATGCCTTGTCACTATAACCCGAAGCAATCGTAGTAAGTAAAGCCAAGATAAACATTGCGAGGAGATGAGATGCTGCTCCGGGTAGCATCATGTTGGTCAAAGCTAGGGGCAATAATGCACGTTTTCACAGATAGATACAATTAATAAACGAAGGATCAGATTATTCCGGTAGCAGTAAAGACCGGCTTGTTGACGAGGCGGAATCGAACAGCACGAAAGTTAAAGAGAGTCGAGAATAACGAGAGTACAGTAAGTTCCCCGTTGGATAGGGTAAGAAAATTTAAATGGGCGAGATCACCGTATTTGTACTTTGGTGAACATATTGAGAAACTTGGATAATGGGTACATGAGATTGGCCTTTCCTATTTCACTGTACATACCCTAATTAGGTATTATAGCCGCCAATGTGCAGCATCGCAGGTTGTAGGGGCAAGGAAAGATGTCCGATTTGACAGGCACCGAATACACTGTCATCCTGCATGAATCATGTTCCTTTACGTGTGCCTTGCCGGCGCGTAGTAGCTGAATTTAAAACCAGGCTTCAGGGGCCGGCCCCTGTTGTGCCTGGGGATCAAGGACACGTCACCGTAAAATTCTGTGCTTATTTCTGGCCGCGTATCTGCGATTTGGGTTCAGGAAATGGATGTGGTGCCAAAGCCTCGTTTTATGTGCTTGTATTTCTATTCCAACTATACTAGAACACTATATACTGATAATCCGTTAGATTAACAGCCTAGAATTAATGTTTGTGGAGGCAATGCACGCGGTTGTTAGTTTGGAAAGCCGAATTTCCCAAAGGGCAACGTAGATCCAATGTGTAAAGCTGGCTAAGCAGCCTGAAGTTACTGTGTGACGTACCTCGAAACTCCAATACATCGGCCAACTCAAGTTCCTAAAAAGACTGATGCTGGCCAGGCAAAACAGCCAATGACGAATGACAGGTGGGTAGCCGGCATGAGCTTCAACCACATCCATTGGTGTTTCAATCCTTATCAGCCGCCGAAAATCAAGCACGGGCGCAGCAATACGAAATTACATTTGCACTTTCAAATAACAAACCGGCTATCCGGTCAGCGCAGGTATTCTTCAACTTCATTCAAAATTCAATTAACGTTCTGGAAGGATTGGGTACCTCCAGTGGTCTAAGTTACTTGATAGAAAGACCCCAGATACCCATTGGGAGACTCTTGTTGATGTCTTCGTAAGCAACCTCATGATGCCTCTTCGTTGGCCCTTGAAAACCCCCCAGTCCGTCAATTACTTGTTAAGGCGCCGTCCGCGAGTCAAGTGGCTGTCTCAGAGGAGGTCATTGGCGTTCAGCCATTACAGGGGTCACAGCCTGATATGAGCACTGCCGTCTTGCCTCAAAATCAGCATAGCGGTGTAAGCAAACTAAAAAGGTACCGATATTGATCTTTTGAGAGCTGAAGTAGTAAAGGAAGGCACGATTCGAAAGCTTGACGCTTCAGGCTAAAGTTTGTACTGACGATATCGATTAAACTGGTCAATGGCAAAAGCCATAGCCTCCGCCATGTTGCATTACTCATGCCGTCTCAGAAACCGACGAATGAGATCACACATACCGCCCTGTGTATCCAGATTTGCATGAGCTGAAAGATTATCCTAGCGGAGCTTGTCTTGTCTATGTGCCTCAGGAGAAAAGACCTATTCTACCCCTCTTGTAGATGGCGAAATCTTAGTGCGTCTGGTAGGTTTGCCGCTGTAAGGGAGTGATCTCTGTTGAAATGCGGCAAGGGAATTTTTGAATAAATTGAGTAAAGAATAGATGTAAAATATCCTTTCCTTGAAACCATATCTACTTGTTACTCACAATAAACTTAACAGTAGCATGATCACCAGTTCCGCCCTGCCTATCAACAGTATACTGAGCCGATTCAACGCTGCAAGAATAAGAGTTAGACCCGACGTACGGGTTGTCATAATCCAGCCTCACGATAGGCCCGTTGTCATCAATCCTCCATTTCATCCAGCCCTCACAACCTGTCTGAATCCCGTCAGACTTCAAACCCCACTTTCCAGTACCGCCAGGCCCGATTGTGTCGGGTGCGTGGGCATCTCGGGTGCCGTGATCGACACCAGAGTCAACCCAGGTCAACGTCTGCTGGGTGTTGTTGACGAGAGAAACGGCAATCCTGCGGGGGGCCGCGGTGGCCTGGCTTGTAACAGTACTGCCAACAGCCTTGACTGCGCTGCCGAAAGCATCACCGATGTCGTCAAAGATAGTCATTGCTAAAAGTTGTTCTTTTTGAAGGTGAGATATGTATATGCATGAAAGTGGAAGGATGTACTTACGCGATAGTGTTTTAAGGTAAATTGATGATGAAGAAGAACCGAGTTGCGATCTCAATATTAGAAGGATGTCCGGCTTATATACACAAAATCAGCAAGCTTGTGTTATCCTGTCTCTGTGGAAGAACTGTTTCTGCCCTCGAACCACCAGCCGAGCATCACACAGCACTGAGCGGTGCATGCTCTTACAAGCTCAGCTAAGCCATGAAAACCTTATAGTATGTGTATATACAAATTGGGACATTTAGTTTAGATCCGTACTTCAATAGTCATAAAATTAGCACGATTTCTAAGCAATAGCTCAATGCTAGTCTGGATGCCTCTGATTTGGACGCTTCTGGGCCTAGCGCCATGTCTTACCTGAGCTCTCCTCTTCAGCAAATAGTGCTTGAATGCACACTCTAAACAGTCCTCGTCTGTTATTAATTGGAGATAAACAATTGCAAAAAGGCTCAAAAGCCTGGAACATTCAATAGTTGTGGCGCTATTGACATTATCGAGAGCTATTGTTTATTTACTGGGGTGTCACAACATAGCTGCCGTTTCAGCTAAGTACAGCAAGCCACAGATTTCAGTTTAGTAGAATAACAGATTTAATACATCAAACCTTCATTAAGTATTTGTATAGCCAGCAGAGTACTAGTTATTGGTAAAGAACTGTTAAAGTCAATATATGTATAATTTAAATAAAAGGCTTAGGAATAAGTATATGAATTTTAGATCTCAATACATAGTAATTTAAAAGACACAGTTTTTAGGCCGTGCTAACAGATCTTCTTAGTAAACAAGCCAATCCCAAAGCCGGATAGTTGTTTCAAGATCCCCAGACAGTTGTTGTTCCACTCGTCACAGTGACAGCATCCGGTGTAATCACGCCTGTAGCTACATCTGTCTCCACTGTGGTGTAATACTGAGTAACCGTAAAACCCTCCGCATTCGTGACAACAACGGTATTGTAATCCGTCTCAGCCACGGTATCAACATTCGTAACGAAAACCGTATTGTAGTTCGTAGCATCAACGACATTGGTATTGGTCACCAGAACAGTGTTGAAGTTCGTAACCGTGACAGTAACAGGTTTTGTGACCGTCGCGCTCTTACGATTGGTTTGTGTCACGGTCTGAGAACCTGTTTTGATTGTTTTCGTAGAGCTGGTAGAAGTGCTAATCTTTCTGTCTGTGAAAAATGTGCTCTTGAGCTTATTAACAGAGAACGTATTTGTTCGTGTTTGTGTAGCTGTGATCGTCCTGGAGGCTTTGGCAGTGAAGGCTATGGTTGTTTGGGCAGAGGGACTGGCGATCAGGCATGAGCACGCGCTGCTGACAGCGCTGGGAGCTTTGCTTGGTAGATAATCAGGTATCTGTATCACCTTCACTGCTCGTTTAGAAGGCTAAGGATGGTTAGTATTACTCAGGATGGCTTTGGAATTCGAGGGAGACTTGCCTTGTTGGCGGAACCACATAACATGTCGTAGAATGTCCAGGGAGATGAGGCGTCTGGTGTAACCGCAACACCCCTATCATCGATGTCAGTACTGCAACAAGCGTTGATCTCGTCCAGTACCAGTGGAGATTGGGTTGACCTACACTGTGCCATTATAACAGTCGCACTCATCAGAGTTGAAACTGAAGCTGGCGGCTTCCGAATCGCTCAAGCAAAAGTCTCGGCATACGCTGAAGCTCGGGTTTCCGATAGATCGACCGGATCCCCCACTCCAATAGTTCTTATCATCGCCATAACCAACGACGTTGCAGTGGACCTCCGCTAAGAGCATGTTAGTGCGGGCTCAGGCGCATTAGTGAGAGGAGGAGAACTTACTATTCGGAACATACACGGTAGGAGTTGCTGCTCTATAGCGACTGTTAGTCAAGTATGTTATTTTGAGGCCACTGTCGTAGAGACTCACTCAACACTAAACAAATCTTGATCAGTTAATCCTCCTTCATGGATTATGTCTGAAGAGTAGTAGCACTTACAAAGTGGAAATTGTGGTTGACGATGTCGTCAGAACATCGACAGTAGCAGCATCAGTAACATCCGTTGTGAGTGTCGTATCAACATCTACAGTAACAGTCGTCGTAACCCCTGTAGTAATCCTCTGGGTCACTTGCACGACGTCTGTCACAGCCACCTGAACTGCCTTAGTATTGGTGACCCTACTAGTCGCTGTGTTCGTAAGCGTCTTTGTTGTAACATCAGTAACAAGTGCAGTGCTGGTCATAGTTACTGTAGTCAAATCTGTCTTTGTTGCAGTGGTGACGGTCACGAGGAAGGTGGTGGTTCGGACAGTCGTGACGCCGATGAGAGTAGTCGTAGTGACTGTAACTCTCGTCGAGGTGCTGCGGACTATGGGGGTTACGGTAGTAGAAACTGTCCTTTGGATGTAGTTCGAGCAGAAAGCAGATCCATTGGCTTGGTTTTTCTTAAAGGCTTGGTTGTTAGGATCGCTGGCTTTACAGACTAGAAAGAGTTGGCTGTTAGTGAACTTCGGCTGGATACTGGGCTTACATACCTGCTCTTGGGTCAAGAATGTTTCTCTTATCGAGCTTCAAGTCAGACTGTTGGCCATTGCTGTCGGCTTCTGGCAGCGCCCACTGAGCTGATAAACAACAGTGTCAAAACTTTCTTAAAGGAAACCATATTCACTTAACAAACATCAAGACAGTCCCGTCGATGAAAGAAAGGAGGGGTCAAAGGAATATTCGGCCCCATTAAGTATTGCAAGTCCACTTAACTTTTGTCGATTTTCTAGCTCGGAAGATTAGCTCGTATATCATAAACTTCATTAGATCAATGAACCAACGGTCTGGTTCTGTTCTGGCCTTGAATAAAGGAACTCTCTAGGCCTAGCACCTACTTGAGTGGCGTGACTTTGACCTGACTTAAGACAATAGTTGACATGTGAGGAATGTTAAGGCGTCGACTAAGTCCTATCTGGAAATTCTGGTAGAGCTAGAGCGACTTTCAACGAGGTAGAAGCAGGTGACAGATGTTTATACTTCAACACCATAGAGAATCTGGGTATTCTAGCGTGCTTCTATTGAAAATCTCTTATTTTCACTGGATGATGAAGTTTTTGGCCTGTTATTGTCCCCCAGTGAACTAGACTGAATCTATCCTGAGTTGATGGAAGAGTCGCTAGGAAACAAAGCGGATTCTCTGGCTAACAACGCAGAATGCAACTTGTACCATTGGCTCTCAGAGATAGATATAACAGAGCGGAGAGCCACCCAGGGTGTCAAGCGCATCATCGATGGTGATCTCAGCTGCATTAATCCCCATGTTCAGAGGATCAGATTTCAAAGCGTCCCGGCTAGGCGGTCTGTTCCCGATAGTGATAGTACCAGCAATATCGCGAGCCTGCTTAGGGTGCAGCGCCTGCCAAAGCCAGTATACCCTGTCAACCATAGCATGATGCAGAAAGAAAACAGGCTCGTTAGACGAAGAGTAGAGGTCAGAGGAGTCACCGCCAATGGCAAAATGACCAGCGCCGTGCAACCCCAAGAAACGATCTGGGAATCGGCCTTGAAACTCATCCTGCATGATTTGAATGCTGCGAGAAGCGTCACCGAGCGTGACGTTGTATAAGTTGGGTAGTGTCATCCATTTATCAATAGCGTAGCGGCCAAGATCTCTACGGAGGCAGCGGGGGTTGTACTCGAGAGGCGTAGTGGTGGCTACCATTCCGTCCATACCGGGAGAGGGAGGTCCAAGGTTAGCGGTTGCGCCGGCAAAGGGACCGTTCTTGATACAGCCGCCTCCATTGCCGCTCGGGAGGAAAATAGTTCCTTGGCCAGAAACGGAACCGTTGTGCTTGAAGAACTCGCCGTCGCCGCTCATGCTAGTCTCGGAACCGTCGAAAAGAGGATTGGTTGCAAAATCGCCAGTCTCAAACCAATTCCAATACTACAATTAATGCTAAGCTTGAAGTTCTTATCGTAGGAAATTAACAGGGTTCACTCACTGGCTGGGTGCCTTTGTAGCCGCACTCATCTCGCAGAGCTTTTTCATAAGCCCAGGTATAGTAGCGATGCCAGGTGAAGAAATTTCCCTTCAAGAACTGTCAGTTATTTATTGGTAACTTAAGAAGGATAGTAACTGACTGTTGCGTGAATGGTGCGAGTCTGGTTGATATGCACAGCCACGAAATCGTCGTATCTGGTGCGTGCCCCAGGTGCGAAAGAAGGGTCCGCTTTGGAAGGTTTCTTTCGAAGACATAGAACGGCATTGATATAAGCCTTTCTCTCTTTTTTAGATAGTGCTTTCCTATGCATCTGTTAGTGACGGTTCAATGCATCGAAGAGGCAAACTTACCAATCCCGGCGCACGTCGGCATTGGCAATTGTGCACTTCTTGCGACTGCTTGGTGCCTGGGCATTCTCTAGCGCATTGGTTGCTTTGCTGTTAAGCTCTAGCAGGAGATCGCTAGCGGATTGAGTCGGCGAGGCGGCAACTAGCGACGATGCGCCCAGCAAAGCAGCGAGTATTGTATAAGAGAGCTGCATGGTTTCTCAGCCCGTTTTCGTTCCTGGTCTTTGCAATGTCTGGTCGGCAACAATGTAGGGCACGAGAGGGCAGCGAGATGAGATTATAATAGAAAAGTAAGCAGAAAAATACGGTCAAAAGTGTACTAGTCCACGGTCGTATAAACGTGAAGATGGAGAAAAAGTCCAAGGACCCTTGCCGAGGCCAAGTCGGAGCAAGCTTGATTCGTAGCGTTGCGCCGCATATTCCGCACATCATTACTGGAACCAGATTTTACAAGCCCTTGGCTCTGCAGCCCTAGGGCGCAGGGTCCTGTCAGCATGCCAGAATTACCAGGCTTCTCAGCCAGGCACAATTGAGGCTAAAGTATTGAAGAGCCGGTGGGTGGAATATTTATTGCTCGGCATGGATGTAATGCTTATCATGGAAGTTATCCCGTGAGTTTTCGTCAATTGACGAGCAACGTGTTTGGTCGCGATTTACCCGGATGCCCCTGGACATATGCATCTAAGATTTTAGGGTAATCAATAGCTGACCGTTGTTAATTCGCGAATTCATACCAACTATGGGGTAGTTCACAATGTTTTTACGTTTAAACAGCCTTTGCCTGCTAGTCTCGTATATGCACGCTGCAGTGCTGACATCATGTAGCTCACGCCTCCAAATGTAAACCGGAATCTCAGAGATAAGCTTAAATATATTTTTAGACTCCTGGCGTATCTTTATTGTCGCAGAAGATTCGCCGTACATTTCCGTTAGTTCAAATAATGAAATTTATGACACCGGTCTAAGGTCAAGGTCGTATGTATGTCCGGGCTCTTGGGTCAACTTCTCTATACCTCTCTGGCCGATTTGCGTACCTTGTGTCTGGTCATCTATCATCAAACATGCTTACCTACTCCTGATCACTCAACGCCCTGTGCAAGATCTAGAACCTCTGCTTACGAGCGTAATCAGCTTTGTTGGCATTGCAGCTTCACTACTGTCCAACTTTCTTCCTAATACGAACATGTCACGATCTTACAGATATAGATGCCACTGAAATCTAGTATTGAACCGTAACAAGACCCTCGTTGTTTGCTAAACGACCTACTCGCGCCACCCATTCTTTGTGCTCGGAGCTAAAAGCTTGAGAATACTTAGCTAAGGATCCAGATCCAATATTCAGGTCAACTCTGACTGGCCAGCCTTACGAAGAGACCTTCAAGAAGTGGGTTTGTCAAGCACATTCCCTTGGCACGGAGGACTGTGGGTCGATGTTGAAGAAATCAGCCCCATAAGGACGGAGGTGATAGCCTCATGGAGCTAAATAATCGTTTCAAGGGTTACATAGTTCGGAGTAAGCGAGAGGGCAGACAGATATTAATCATGTGATTGAAGGAGTAAACAAATTAATCGATCGCCGTTTAAAACCTCTTGTTCTTTCGCCAATCCCCGTTGTGATATTGTTAAGCTTGAAACACGATGGCGGATACTACTTTGTCAGCCTTTCAGGGCACTTTAACGTCACTGACAGCTCGAGACTGGATAGTAGCTGTCATATCGGCGTGGCTTGTTTTTAAAGTTCTGCAGGCATTGTATAATGTTTCGCCTCTTCATCCTCTTAGCAAGATCCCTGGTCCAAAACTGGCCGCGGCAACATATCTGCCCGAATTCTACTACGATGTAATCCTCGTCGGTCGCTACACCCATGCTATCAAGCAGATGCATGAGAAATACGGTATGTACGCCTCGAAAGTCAAAGCAAAATGTGCTAATAGTATTTTAGGCCCAATTGTCCGCATCAATCCCAACGAGCTGCACTGCGCTGACATGTCCTTTTCGGACGAAATCTACGCCGTCGGCGGTCGCAAACGCGATAAGCCCTTCCATCAAGTAAATGGATCCGCAGCTGGTACTGGAAATGCCTTTGGCACCCCTGATCACGACCTCCATCGCGCGAGACGTGCACCCGTCGCCAAGTTCTTCTCACGAGCGATGATTGCGCGTCTTGAACAAGAAGTTCACGACCTGGCGCAAAAGCTGTGCAACAAGCTCTTGGCCGAGAACAAAGATGAAAAGGATCGCAAGCCGTTTGAAATTGCGCATGCATACAGCTGCTTTACATCTGATGCTATCTCAAGCTACTGCTTCGGCGAAGCTTTTGGATTATTATCACGGAATCAGTGGCAGCCTAACTACCGTGAAGCCACTCTCGCTGTTCTCAAACCAGTGTTCTTCTTCCGCTTCTTTCCTATTCTTGTTTCTAGCGTGAAGCTGGGTAAATATTTTGTTGACTTATTGCCGACTGATATCGCGCTTCTTATTCGAACCCTACAAATCGACATCCCATCACGCGTTCAAAAGACGAAAAACGAACTGGATGCGGGAATTGTCTATGATCGACCCACTATTTTCGCTGATCTGCTTCAATCTGAGCTTGAAGATAGTGAGAAGAAGCAGGATCGTCTTGTTGAGGAGGCTGTTACTATCGTCAACGCTGGGACTGAAACGACGAGCTGGGCATTGGCTGTGATAACATACTTCCTCTTATCGCAGCCCGACACTCTTGCAAAGTTACAAGATGAACTGAAACAAGTTGTTGAAGATCCATGCCACTTGCCTTCTTGGACGACATTGGAGCAGCTTCCATATCTCGGAGCCGTTATCAATGAAGGTCTGCGTCTGTCATACGGTGTTTCTAGCCGCACGGCTCGTGTGCCTACAACAGAAGACCTTATTTATAAGGGAGAGTTT